CAGTAGAACTTGATAGCAGAGGGAAATGGAAGAGAAAGTTATTCAGGTTGGACTACAAACCTCTGAACTCAGGAGACAGCATGTTTTAGAAAGTGATAATTTTTCTAACAGTAGTCTTTCACATTTGCTGCTTTAAATGCAGCACTTTGACACTCTTCCCTAGGCACCAATGACAAATACAGAAAGCCGTTTGTCTATGAAATAAAACCAAGTTAATGGCATGGAAAACACCAGTTTTCTAGGTTAGGTTACTCTGATCTTAACCCAACAACTTAATAAGCTTTACATTTCCAGCTACCTGCATGAAGCTGTAAGTACTACGTACTTTTTTATTTCTCAGGGAAAAAAAGCTTTTTTTCTGCACTGCTTTGCTGACACCTAGTGAGTGAGCCTCTGCTCCAACAGCTCTGGGCACATGAGCCCCCCAAAAAGAGATGGTGACAGAACAGCCTCTCTTTGCATTCTCCTTGCAGTGAAATGCATTTAAACGGCCCCAACTGAGATTCAGCAATGTGCTGAGTCATGCATCAACTCACTGCAGAAGAATGCAATGCTGATTATGTTGATAAGAGATGAAAAACATGGAAGTGTGTTAAAGAGGAGAAAGAGAAAAGAAGCACACTGAAAATAAGTAACAGTAGAAGTTCTCTCCTTGCAGCCTAAATGCCTTTTACAAGGATGACTGACCCAAGGCAACCCATCACTGGTTGGGACTTGGGTCTTTTCCTGCCTCACATATTTAACTGGGATATTTCATTGCCCGTAACTTTTGGTTATTAGCTCCTTTGTTGTATGTTTTTGTGTATGTAAAATATGAACTATAAGCAACTGCTTATTAATGTTTCAAAGTTATTTCCACTCTAATCCTATCATTATAATTGTATAAGCATGACATTTGATCCTTGGCTTAGCTTGAAAGAAAAGCAACTTTCTCCGCTTCATTGAAGCTGCTTAATATTTCTGGGGGATGGCACGAGTTGGATGTCACAGTATTTCCCGGGGCTGAGGAATCCTGCAGCTCACCACAAACACACAAACTAACATTTTTAAATACAGTGCTCCTGTTTTAAGTAGAAATTGATGAACTTAATCAAAGTGCTAACGATCTGGGATAGCAGTGATGAATAAGAGGGCATCTCACTTTTCAGAAAATGGCTCAAGTGAGTGACAACCATATTACAAGACTCACACTTTTCTGGGTGCTTAGAAACACCTGCTCTAAACTTTCAAGGATAACAAGTCAGGGTAAACGAGCCTGAACTCTCAGATAGATAGACAAGTAAAAGACATCTCCAAAACAGCATTACATCTTTCACAGTTTCATCAACAGCAAGTATCCTAAGGACTGCACAGGCCAAATATGAGTACAACACAACAGAGAACACACATGAGAAGGTGCCCATGGAGGGAGTGGATGTACTTCTCAGACACAGCTGAAACTACCTACATCAGCACTGCTGAAGTCCTTCCTCAACAGCTTGGTATTGGCCACAGTGCTTCAGCCAGTCAGAATGAATCCTGCATATAAATGGGAAGCACAGACATTTCGCTTCTATCTCCAAGGCGCAATGATATATTTCACCTTTATTTGTGATAACATTCAGGCTCATAATCCACTGCATAACTCAACAAAATCACTATCATCAAAAGCCAATTTAAAAACACTCAATTTTTACACGGGTATATATTTTTCTTTTAATTAAAAATATTCCTTTATTCAGAAATTTGTTATGGAAAACAAATTTTCCTCTACTTATTTCATATTTGAATGGTTTAAATTCAATAAAATATTCTACTTGGGGCAGTCACACATGACTTTTTGTAATTAAAGAAACCTGCAGAGAATCTCTTTGGCTGGTTTCTATCATGCATAAGACACAGCTCTGGATAAATTAATTCTCAGCACTTCTCCTGTAGTAATCACACTCTTCTTTAATAGTTTTTTCCTTCCAACAATAAACACGAAAACAGTGCCTGTAGATGATTACAAAGACAAATAACTTTTAATTGCTATTAAAGGAAACTCATTCAGGTTTGTATGAATGTAAATACCTTAATGCCATCTTTTAATCACATATATTCAGTAATGTTGGTTAATCCTGAGATTGAACACAGGCAAATATCAAATCAGATGAACACCTCCATTAGACAAACTGAATCACATTCAGAATTTTTCTTTCACACATTATTATTTTTCATACATCACTTTCACAGCCTGAGCCACAAAAGGTTATTGAAAAAAGAGGACCATTTAATATGTCATTCACTGAATTCTCTATTAACAGTAATCAATCCATCCAAAATTATTAGTCACTTCTGCTTTCACCCTTCACCACAATAATTACAGTTTAAATACTATAATCAAGGAAATAAAATTTCCCCATTGGGGGAAAAAAAAAAAAAAAGAAAAAAGAAAAAGCAGATAAAGCAAGAGAGCAGAAGGCAAACAAGATTATTTTAACAGATAAGTTCACGCATATGGCTTTTTTTTTTTTTTTTCCCCCAAAAGCTTCCACCTCTGAGCATTAACCTTATTTAACTGAATGGCTGAAACTTCTCTCTACTCAGTACCTATTTCGATTGTCTTGATCCCTCCTCAGTCCCTATCTCCCCTTCACACAAAGAACATCCTATTCTTGAGAAAAAGTACAGAGATGTTTTTTATTGACTGCCCCAGTGCCACAGCTTGCACTGTAAAACCCACAAGATGTGATAACGTGGACCACATCCCCGAACTAATTATAAAAATATTAGTGCTGTTCCTATGTTTTTCACTGTCAGAGCTTTTGCTAATACCAACATCAAAAATACATGGAACATGTCTGATTTCCCTATTCCCAATGGACAGGTGCGAGAAAAAGAAACAAAATCAGTGTGTTTTAGTAGAGTGAGAACTGCATCCAAAATCCAGATGGCCCCACTCTAGGATATACACTGTGAAATCCTGCTACTTTCTGTATAGCCATCACCACTGTGACTCTACCATCCAATCAAGTCATCAAGACAATTTAGAATGGTAATAGAGTTCTTGAAGGTTTGGTACAATCACTGGAAACAATGTGTATCTTAAAGTTTCTGATATATTTTTTGAGAAAAACAGAAGTACTCTATACATGTCTAATATCCAGATCTTCATACTCGCTATATCCACAGCTACCAACCATGGTTAGAAGTAATAGATCTAGAGAAAATATTTCTGAAAATAAAACTAATTGAGTAAATAGAATGTACAATAAAATATTGTGGTGATTTTGATCCCTTCTACTTCTTCTCAGACTTTTTCCTTCCTCATTACAAGAATTCATTCAGTCCCATGAAAATGTACTGCCCTGCTCATAAAGTACTACTTTGAGACAGCCTCTGGCTGTACTGGATTGCAAACACCAAACACAAGGGTTGGATGATATTTCCATGGCTTGATTTTCCATCTGGTCATTTGTGTGTTATAGAGAACAGAAACAACTGCATATCCAGAGCAAACAACTAGCTCATGAAGCACTACTTTTTTTTTTTTTTCCTTTCATAAGGATTTATTTTCTATTGCATTTTGTCATAGACCCTTCTCTTCTAAAAATTCTCCTAATTTCATTCAAGCAATATCTTTAATATCTTTATTGGTCTTTCCGAAGTAAAGATTACAACGCAGAATTTGGAGAACTAAATGAGAAAAATAAGCATGAAGTGATTTCTTATTCTTCATAAGAATTGTTTCTTTGTTGGGTCACTTTTTTCCAAAATGATAGAATAACTTAAAAATATTTAAAAGTAAAACTCAACATGTTTCTGTCTACTCTGATACATATTTTTGAGCTTGATTATTCCTCAATAGAGTGTCAAGAAGAAATGTGAACCAACTTATTTTATGTGTGAAATGAAGTAAACATTTTTTTCTTTGAAGGCACAAAGTCATTTCAATTTTGACTGCAATAATTTTTTATTGTCTGCACGTTTTCTGCAAAACATCTCAATCGAAACAATATTGATTCATGTAAGTTAATACAAAAGAAATTGATTTTTATGTATGATGACTTAGGAAGGGGAGAATTTTTGAACACGTTTTATTTCACAAAGCATTTCTTAGACACTCTTTTTATAATCTTATACAAGAGCTAACAGGTTTCACCATTTCTCATTATTTACTTTCCTAGTAAATATTGATCTGATTAGCAAGGAAACTGACAGATTTGGTTCGGAAATATTGGTGGGGGGTGAATAGTTGGTCTGGGTGATATTGGAGATCTTTTTCCAACCTTAGTGATTCTATGATTTCTTACAGCACCTTTCCCAAACCAATCTAATAGATGAGTCCATAGCAATACAGTAGATCTGATGTCATGCCAAAAAGATGGATTTACAAGGCAGAGTAATCTGTTGAAGACAACCAGTATACGCACAGGTCAGCGATTGCCAAGCAAGCCCATTGCATTGAGGCAGATCCAAGGTCAAGTCAGAAAGCCAAAAGAGTAGGTGAGGGGCAAGGTCTGGACCACAGATATGGGCACAGGCACAGCTGCAGTGTAGCTGCAATTTAGCTCCTTGATGTGGACCAAGTACACAAACTAAGTCCTTGGTATAGACGAAGGGCAAGAACTTCACTTTAACAGCTTCCACTTGCAAGGAGAGGCAGCCTTCAGTGAGACTTCCTACCAGATCTTCAGTTGTACCAAATTGTACACAAGCCCAGGCCACAAAGCCCCTCAGAGAGCAGGAGTATGCACTCAGAGCCCAGACATGATCCTGCATTTCAAAAGAGCTTCTCATAAAACCTTTCCATCCTTATCTTTTTTTTTTTGTTTGTTTGCAGGTACCTAAAAAGTTGATGCCAAGCCTTATAAGAAATGGAGGTAGGAGAATAGAAATAACAGTAACTGCTTCACTGATCTATCAGCCTTTGGCATAACTAGTATCACCAACACATATTCATTTGGGGAACTTCCCTAATCCCCATGTAAGCATCATAGAAAATACCACAAAAAAAAAAAAAAAAAAAAAAAAAAGCACGTGAAGTTCATTCACTGACAATTACTTTGTGGTTTGATATCATCACACAGTATTTCTCATCTTCTTTATATTATTAAATGGTACAAAAAATCATGATCTGAGAAGTGTCATTTGAAATAGAAATGACTCAAATATTTTTAATGCAGATGATCTGCACAAGAATATTGTGTATCTTTGAAGGAGAAGAAGGACTTGGTGAAAGACATGAGTTTATGGTAAGTTAGAACACTGATGAGCAGTCAGAGGACTTCCTGGAAACTAAGCAGAGGTAATAACATTTCTCTTTGAAAATAGATTCCTATGTGGACCTATCTAGATGAAATGCAAAAAGTCTGCAGCAGACACATAAAAACTTCTTCCCCTCCAGCACATACTTATAAGTCAAGAACCAAGTAATGAGGAATTCCAGCAGCTGTCAAATGTTATACCATGAATTTGTTCTCCAAAATTAGTGGAACAGATGCAACATTATTTCATTTTTACTTTCCGTACTTAGACAGCAAACTATAAACAATCAGCCACAAGACAATCATGGAATGTCATCATGAAGAATATTAACTAGTACAAGTGATCAACTCAACTTAGTTTTTCAGAGTGGAATAAATTGACAAATAATGCATTTAGTTGCTTAAAGGTAAGCCTTGATACAACCATAATTAAGCACCAAAAGATAACTATGTTCAAGTCAATCTTTATTCAAGGTGAAATAAAGCACACAGTAGTGAGATATTTATCATTAAAAGACAGATATCAAAGAGGATCAGTTTAATAAATTATTATTACTCTAAGTATTAGCCTATGTAAGCCTGTTGCACAAGTTCACTGAGAATGATTAACTAAAATTACCATAATGGAGTCTACGACTCAGTAAATACATTTTAATAAAGTGATCCATCCTATATCTAATTGATACAAACATTTACAATCAGAAAAAAATACTCAGAAACCTTTTTTTGAACACTATTTGACATCACAGAGAAGTGCTACCCCACGCAGTACCCAGTGCTCTGGAGGCTGAAGCGTCCTAAGATCCACAGCAGCAATGTAATTCACATCTGTTCGAATAGCCTTCTTGTAGACTGGACACGAATATAGACGTGGATCTTTTGAAGCTGAGATGACAGAAAAGATGTAGAAGAAAATCAAACTGGGTTATAAAAACAGGATCTTAGCAGACTGGGCACAAGGAAATAAAAAAAAAAAACACCAAAGAAAAAAATTTCACTTGATTCTCACATTGTTCACCACCATGCTATTGCCAATGAAGGCTACATTCTACTTGAAATTCTGGGAGATTTAGGATTTAATGTCAGCCACCAGTAACAGGATATAGCAAGAAATGTAAGTGGACACTCTAGCCTGATTAGCACAATTACTAGTTCAACCTGTCCACTGAATATTAGTTATTAATAATATATTATTATTGTGTTAAAAAAAAAAAAAAAAAAAAAAAGGAAAAACAGTGAACAATTTGTTTTGAAATGCATTTAGTATTTCAGAGTATGCACCACTGTCTTCTTCACTTAGGAATCAGAACAATAGTCTAGTCTTGCTTAGTATCTCAGAGCTCATTACTTAGTACATTGGCTGCTTTCACAGTGATTATGTCTCTTATAAAATATTACCTACACAAAACCCTGGCAAAATATCATGTAAGCAAGCTCTGCTTCTGGAGATGGAACACTTTTCAACAGAAGCTTCCAATTGTAGACTCAATATTGGGTATTCCCGTCCTACTGCATGTTTCTCTTCAATGGCCCTTTCTATTTTACACACATATGCCACAAAAGCAAACATTAATCTAAATCATACATATCCACAAAACAATTTTTTTGTTGTCCTTTGGCCTCCTAATTTCCTTTCAGTTCCTACAGCCCTTTTCTGCCTCAAATGCCAAAATGTGTGATATTCCATCACATCCCTCCACTGCTTCCTTACCTGTCTTAACTCAGCATAGCTCAGTCCAGGAAAAAAAAAAGTATAATTTTATATATAAACAGTACACATATAAGACATTATTTATAAATACTTTAAATGTGTAATACATGTTATATATACATACATCTATGTAGTGTGTACATATATTTATACATATATTGATATATATGAAAAACTTGTATATTACATTGGCTTTTAGTGTATGGGAAAGGTTACTTGTGTTGGGGTTAAAGAGGCTAAAGAGTAATAAAGTTATGTACACACAAATTTTGATTCAAACATCTTCTCAATCTAGAAGCTGCATTCTGCAAATATCCAGATTTCTGATCTTTAAGCTATCATATAAAATGTTTACCAATTACTTCAAAATATCAGTGAGAAAATAGACTAACTCACTCCAGTGCCACACAATACCCAAATAATCTGAGAAAAGTAAGCAACAGTATCTCCAAAGTTGTATATTAATAGCACCACTAGCATGTACATTAATGTTAAAATTATTAATTTCTACTGGGAATTAAGACCTTTAGTCACAATGGAAGACTGAAGGCAAGCATGTTTTTCATGAGGCAAAGAACAGTTGATCTGCAATATGTTTTAGAAGTTCTTAATGCAATTAATCTATCTAAATATTAGGGCAAGAAGTACTCATTATTTATTATCAAGAAAGTCAATAGCTTGCTTTTTGTGGAAGACTAAGAAGTCTCCCTTGTTCAAACAGACTCAAGATGTTTACATGAATGGGATACAGCCTGACGAAATTCCTAAAGCCCAAGAGTCTTTCATGCCATTGAAATAAAAGGGTGACAATGAAGTCTATCAAATTAATGTCTTCTGCAATACAGCTACTTACTGTTATTCTCTGCATATATCCTTATAACTGGCATCATCTCGAAGAGCACCTTGGGCTTAGATTCAGTCAGTCTCATGTTTTTTCTGTCCCAGCTAGCTCCTTCCAAATACAGCCCATACACGTAGACACCTTCCACAGGAGGGCTTGTGATATCATCCTTCATCCATTTAGTAACCTCATTGCACAGCACTACACTGTCCAGAGCCCATCCTTTGTTAGCCCTTGTTATTTCCTGCCCAAAACAGATAGAACCATGATCTATGCTGATGAACATAGATACTTACTGTTCTCTTTTAAAGCAAAAAGTGGCTCACTTGCTAAACTATTCTGACAAAACACAATCACTAAATCCACAGAAACACATACAGTAATAAATGCTCCAAAGTTCATACTTGACAAGTATAAATAAATAAAATTCAGCTATTGAATTGCAGAAGTGTAAAAAAAAATAAAAGAGGAAAAGAAGTTCATGAGATATGAGACATTAATTATCCACTCTAACTTAATAATATTGTAAGGCAGTGTCTACATACATAAGGCCAGACTCAAGGTAGGAAAAATAACATACAAGCTGTTGATAATGAAGAAGCATGTGGCAGAATAACACTCAGAAAGTCTTAAACAGTCAAGCATTCTTATGTCTTCCTGGATGATAAGATAGAGTCATGCGCATAACTCAGCATTCAACACAGTCGTATATATATATAAAAAAAAAGTATATCTAATAACACACAGAGTGAGACTTTAAACACTGTTTACCTGTCTCATTGCAGTTAAAAATCCTTGAGGATTAAAAAAACCTGTTATCCAGAAGCAGTTTGGTCGGCTTTCAAAAATCCAACTGTAAAACTGGTTGTTTCTTTCTAGAAGTTCAGTAAACCAGAAACCAAGTGTACTGGAAGCCCAAGATGCCTAAAAAATAATGAACAACATGTTCATTTTCTAATCTTGTTCAGCAGTTTTAAAACATCATATTCAAGTCAATAGAATGCGACTCTTCACAAGGTAGTAAACAACGTGACATTAGTAAAGCATATTTAAAGTTCATTTCTCATAAGTTAACTTTTAGTCTGATAGTTGCCTCATACAGAAACCTGAAGAAAATTCTTGTTCTGCTCAAATTCATGGCTACTATTCCATTTGGATATGCTTAATGCTCCCAGAGATAGTTGTCTATTTTAAGACATTTTTGCAAAATTAGATAACTGTGAGAACTAGAAAGAATCATTGCCTATGTGTCTTTCTAAAGTCAGAGTCAGTGCCTCAAGTTATTAGGATTTCTGCTGAACCTATTTGTTTTTTTTTCTGAAAAAAAAAAAAAAGAAAAAAAAAAAAAAGGAAAATTGAGCTTATACTATGGAAAGATTTGTGATTATTTCTCTCTTTATTTCTCTCTTTGAGTAGTCCTATTGTACTTGTGCTGTGAAGCATCTACTATGCTCTATGTTTTGTACCATGAAAACACTTAGTTAATAAAAACAAAGCAAAACAAACCTCTCTACGTTTATTTCCATCAGTTGCTATTAACAACTCTCGTTCTCCTTGAAAACAATTTATATTTCCGATTTGTAAGTGAGAGAGTGGAATAATCTAATTACATTCTTTAAATCAAAGAGAGCTGTCAGAATTCAACCCATGGGCTGAAGACAAATGTAATACAATGAAATCTTTTAAATTAAAAAACTTAATTGCTTTTAAAGAAAAATTAGCTGGATGGCTGGTTAATGTTTTCAAATATAATCAAATATTCACACTAAAATACACAAGTGGAAGGATTCTTCCATTATTCTAGCAGTTAACTAATTCAAAGGAAGCCCAATTCTATCTGAAGTTAGGAGAGCACATTTATGTCCATTAAACAAGTCTATTGAGCTGTCCAGTGAGTATGAATTCCTCAATATATAAAAAAATTACAGTAAGCAGCTTAATAAAACCCAATGCCACTTGTATCCATCAGACACTCTTTCCTCTGAGACAGATAGCATTTTATTTTATTCTGTATCAGTGTATAATTATTACAGAATATTTAATTTTACCTCAGTTTCAAGGTACCAGGACAGCTAGCCTAGCACAATGCTAGAATATGAAAATCAATTTAATTGATCTTAATTGATGTTGCAGTAAACACCACTTCAATATCAACCATATCAAACCAAGCAAAATGATATGATCAAGACTTTGCAAGTCTTCAGAAGGGCCATGACAATGGCTAAGAGACTGGCGCATCTATCATATGAGAAAGGCTGAGAGAGCTGGGACTGTATAACATGCAGAGGAGAAGCCTCAGGGGAGATACTGTCAATGCTCATGAAGAGAGAATGAAGGTTACAGAGTTCAGACTCTTCACAGTGAAAGGACAATAGGCACAATACAAAACATGAAAAATTTCCTTTTAGATTTAAGAAATCTTTTTTTCTTCATTGAGAGTGATTGAACACCAGAATACAGAATGGATAGAAAGACTGTAGATTTCATTCTTGGAGAATCCTATGATACTTTCTCTAGTCCTGCTTAAAGTAGTGTGATTGGACTAGACTATCTCCAGAGGTCCTTTCCAACTTCTACTAGTCTGTCCTAATCTCAAAGAATAGCAACACTGTACTCCATCAGTGTGGGTGCTATTTTTGAAAATCTATAATTACATTTAATGTTATACTCTTCTCTCTAGCTTTCTAACCACCAAAAAGCAACAGTTTGTCAAAATGGGAAATGCCTGTATCTCCCACACGCATTTCTGGTTTTATAAATTAAAGAGGACTTGCTTTGACTATGTTTATTTTTGCCCAAATTCTATCCCAGCAGTTGCACAATATCCTAATTAACATGTACACTTGTGTTTAAAAGAAGTAGTTATTATATGTCTAGAAGGTTATAATAATTTCCTCTAACAAAAAAAAAAAAAAAAAAAAAAGATGTGCACTTACTTTTTTCCAGCTTGCAGGAATCCTCCCATCATACATGCAGTCTAAAGCATCCCTCAGATTTTCACTCATAACAATTGTCCCATCAATGGCAAGTTTTAGATCAGTCAGAGTGCTTCTTACTAATGAAATAACTCTCTGCATTTGTTCAATCTCCTGTCGCAAAAATATATTCACAGGCTGAAAAGGTCCCATGTTCTTCAGTTTCTCTTTTACCTATAAGTAGTAAACCAAAGACACTTCAACAGAAATAAAAGCCAAGGGTGTATATATGTCCAGGTCAGGCATCGAAACAATTTTTAAAATATAATACTAAAGAAGTTAAACAGTCAGCTTGGTATATTTCTCAAGTGCTCTGCAAGACAGAAATACAGCATTTGTTCTAAGTAAAATCTATGATACTGAGACTGGCCGTAGTTTTAGTTTGAATTATGATTCAGTCTCTATATAATTCTATAAGCTAAGGTAATTTAAGCATCATTTAGGCCATATTTCATCTCAAGAACTTCAACTTTAATGCCAACAGGTAATTTCCATGGTTCACTCTGTACAAACCAATCAAGAGTGATTACCCCAGCCACTCTGCATCAGAATATCAGCACTATTTATCAGCAGTGTCTGGGAACTATCACAAAGGCAGGCAATCTTGTATTCTAATAAAAAGTGCTGATATACTTTTATCAAAAGTGAAAATTTAACAATTTAATAACAACAGATCACAATAACAATAGATATTTTTTAATTTATATGGCCTTCTACTCTGCACTTGTGCGGTTCCATTTGGAGTTCAGGCCTGGAGCCCCCAAGACAAGAAAGACGCAGAGCTGTTGGAATGGGCCCATGGAATGGGCATTCAAAACCAGATTGGACAGGGCCCTGAGTTGCCTGATATAGCTGGTGGCAACAATGCCCGTGCAAGAGGTTGGAACTAAATCATCTTTTAGGTCTCTTTGATCTACAGCTATTCTTTGACTATATGATTCTATTTGTGAGGTAGGTAAAAAAAAATTACATACCAGTTTATTCAGATTTTGCTACACATATATTCCAAAACAACAACAAAAAAAGGAATTCATATAGCTATTGACAAATGAAATATTTTGTAATTCACATTCACTTTGATTACTATAAATTACATTTAAATTTGTCATTTTAACCCTAGTTTACAACAGAATCAGGATCAGAGCTGATCCTCCCCAAAGATTTTTCTAAGGCTAAGTTTACTTATATAATGACAACATATAAAATATGCCTTTATTAACTGTCATATCTGGAGATGCTAAAAAGAAGCTGGAGATAGGCTAACAGCTACCAGGAAATTTAGCCCATCACTATAGCAATACAATTCTGAGAAGCTTATAATCTTCTGCAGATCTCAGACTTCTGGTTCAGTAACTATGGCCTTTTGGAAAATCACAAAATTCAGACTTCTAGGAAGACTATAGTTCAGAACCCTCAGCAAGTACAAACCTTTGAGAAACTGCTAGATAGTTATTCAAAATTCAGATAAATCATCTTCTCAGACAAAGTACATTAACATAATTATATCATTTGAGTGAAGGGAGACTATGTAACTAATAATGGGCTACAGAAAATATATAGCAGTGTGGGTACCTAAAGAGAGTATTTGAAAAGTTATTACTATGAAAAAAAAAAGAAAGAAAGCTGTCATATTGTACAGGTCTCCTCGCTCCTTCTTCAAAGAAAAAAACAACAACAACAAAAAAAAATCAAATCCTTTTGCTGAAAAGTGAAACAACCTAAAACTACCTACATGTTGTAAGCAGAATCCCAGAGTAATACATGTATTAATGTCGTAACACTTCTGCAAGCATAAGTACACTTGTAACCTACTACAATGTCAACAACCATACCTGAAACACTAATAACTCATTCTGCCCTCCCTAGTGCAAATGACAACTTGTGCATTAAGTGGTTTCATTTTTTTGAAAAGCTCTTTAAAAAAGTCTTCAGTCCATACTTAGTGACTTCATTATAGATGTTAAGTATCTGGTCAGACCACTATGAAATATGTTTTTAAAGTATAGTCTGGATGAATGAGTATAAACACATTTTTAGAACATCCAACATAACTTCTTTTTTTTTTTTAATTCATACAAAGTAAGATATAGCAAATGTCTTTGACAGAATTTCAATAACTCACTTCAAACGGTACATAATCAGCAGGAAGCTTTCCCAGCATATCGTCAGCTAGTCTGGCTACAACTGCCTCTCGGGTTTCACCTCCTCCACCAGAGCTGTCCTTTGGCTGAATACTGAGGATGATGTCCAATATATCTTTGGAAAGTTTACTTTCATAAGTGATATCAGCATTGGGGTGCAAACCAAATACCTCTGGTGTGTCATAAGCAGGAAGACTCTATAAAGTGAAAAATAAAAAGAGCACAACTAGAGATAGATTTATATACTAATTATATTCTAAAAAAAAAAAAAAAAAAAAAAAAAAAAGGTCGATTAAGAGAATAGATTTCTTCAAACAGACTTACTGCAAATATCTTGCTTTGAGCTATTTGTTATGTCACAGTTCAAGTCACACTAAAGTTAACAATAAATTCAGGTTTTACCTCCATACACTATTTTAAAAGTCACCTTGTTCTGCCATATCTCAACATTGTTTCTGTGAGGATGTACTCAATGTCTGGACTCCATTCTATACTCTCTTTAATAACTGTATCCTTTTCAGTACATCCCTCCAGCAAATCACAGAAAAGAGTACTGATGCGATGATAGCACTAACTACTACTACACAAACAGATAAGCAAACAGTTAGAAGGCAATAAAGAGTCTGGGGAGACAGAATACATAAACTCAGAAGACAAAATTCCAGAACTCAGGAACTTGTGAGAAACTTAAGGGAAACTTTTCTTCCTGTTAAGCAGCTTTCATTTACCAACCTGTATATATTGAAGGTATTGATCCACCATAGTACATTTGGGTATGCCATATCCTTTGTAGAAGCAGAATTCTTGACTGAACATTTTTTCATTGAACCAGACCTTAACAAAGGTGTTCATCAGCCTTTTGTCATAGTCATCTGTCACACGGCCACCATACTGGATCTCACCTATCATGTAACAAACAGTACTCCAGGAAATCCCCTACAACCAGACAGAAAGAATTGACTTCAGCTAATCCTCTTCTCTCTTATTTACATCTCCCTTAGTATGATAATCTGATACAGTAAATCTTGCATTTCTGTCTCTTTTGGAAGATAATTATTTTCTTACTACTCTTGTGTTATTATAACACTGTGTCTGCAGAACACCCTCAAGGATTTCATAGAATCATGGAATGGCTTGGGTTGGAAGGGACCTCGAGGATCATGAAGCTCCAAACCCTCTGGTGCAGGCTGAGCCACCAATCCCCATATCTAGTACTAGACCAGATTTCTCAAAATGGAATACCTTGACAACTAACTCAAATGCTCTTGTGGCACCTGAGAAAGAGGGATATAACTATACTCCCATCATGCTTTCAGGTTCTTTTGAAAGGTTAATTGCAAAGTGATCTGCCATATATCCCTCTATATATAACTGACCATATGAAAGTAAGAAGTTCTATACTATCAGTAAAGGCAACCGTCTGCTTCACTTTGCTGCCAAAATAGCTTGGAGAAGTCAAATCAGTTTGAGTAAAAACACTGAGACAAAAAAGTATAAAAGTGGATTGCTTTTAACTATCTGATATAGTCAGCATTGAAAAGGAGATCTATATTTTTATTTTTATATTATACTTGTGAAGTTTTAGAAAGAGAAGGCTTGGAGCGTTGTTTTTTGTTTGTTTTGCTTAAATATACAGTATTGCGAATTGCACATGCACGGATTTAAAAGTCTAATTTAAACCTCCTGTGCTGCAAGCATGTATATTTGAAATACTGAATGTTTGTGGAAATTAAATAATAATTTAAAATTGTGCTTGAGTTTCAGTTATTGGAAACTATGTAATACATTCTACTATTGAAAATATTCATGGCATTAATCTATCTTCGTCAGAAATGTTAATTACCTTCTTGGAATCTGTGCCATCCAAGTGGTTTTGAATGAACTGCACAGTGGCATTGAAATCAGCTTGGTTAAACTCATAGGGTATATTCCAACCCAGAGATCCAAATTTGCGTCTTTCTTGAATAGTGGAGTGTAGAAAAGCTACAGCATACAGCATCGCTTTCCACTGTACCATGTCACTGACATCTAGCAAATCTTGGCTGACACCTATTGGTTATAAGTGAGTTTTATAAGAAGGAATAGTATTTTAAAAAGTACTTCAAATCAGTACATCAATCCTAGAGATATTTTGTTGACTATCTGCATCACCCAGGAGAAAATTACTGTCCTACATATTGTTCTATGCTGGAGATTTTTCATTCCAATAGCACAAATTAAAACAGTACTATAAATTAGTCCAGACAAAAAGAGTAAGCTTAAGAGAACAAACAATTTACTAATAGTTGAATCCACATTAAGTTACTTTCTCCAAAGACTCTTTAAATACAGACCTTTATTGAATGCAGTAAAGAGCACTTAATTGCCAGCAAAGAAATCGTGTTGCTTTTCTGCCAAAATACACAAGGAGATTAAAAATTTAAACATTCAGAACTGTGTAGCAGCCAATATTTGAGAACAGAAAAAGTAATTCCATGCTTTGCTATCTATATAGTTCTGGTATCAGAACTTCAGTAGATCCTCTCTTCCTTCTAATTTTCACAATTTCTAGCTCAAAGAATCAAGACCTGTCCTGACATTGTTGCGATCGGTTCCTCATAGTTGTTTCCAGGCACTACCAGTGGCTATTGAGTGACCACATACTAACTGTGAAGAGTCCAAAAATAACCAAAATTTAATTTTGAATCACTGCAGCACTCACCACTGTATGTTCTCTTTAGTCCAGCTCTCAGCCCTTGTGGTGGTTCATTGGTAAATTTAATACACATTTGGAGCAGGCTGATGGGGAACTGTTTGTGGATTTCAGTTGTCATCCATAGTCGAAAGCCTTCATGGACAGTCTCTGCCTCTATTATTGTGTCCATCAACTCGTCCAAAAAGTCAAGTCCAAGGTGGCAGTTCTGCAAAAGTGCCCAACCTCCCTAGTTTAAAATGGCAGAATCAATATATTATCAACAGTGTTTGCACACTAAAAGCACTGAAATCAATCTTGGTTTATGAAGTAGGTTAAGAACAAAGACAATGTACCTTAATCAAATCAGAACAGAGTATAAGCACTCTACGTGTTTATGAAAGAAATTGAAGTAAGAAATTCTCCACAGCCAGTTTTGCCTGATGACGAAAATGTAAAATTCATGCAGTTCAAATAATTGATCAATTCAAATATGCTCATCAGTCAAGAACTGGCACCAAAAATTCCATTTTGTATAAAACAATCATGTCTGCACAAAAATCAAGAAGTTTATTATGTTCAATTAAGTGAATGTGAAAAGAAAGTTCAATTGCTGAGGATGTGTATTTATGCAAATAAATACAGTTTCTTAAACCAGCATTAACTACACAACAAAAATCTTTGTTTTATGGCAAGAGTTTCAGTTGATAAAGTTTCCAAAAAAGCATTCAGATATTTGTCATATTTGTCTCTTACATGAGCCATTGTCTGCTGCAGAAGTTTACGAGCATGGATTTCTTGCCCCTGGCCCATGGAAACATAACGTGTCTCTGTCTTCAGCCTTTTTCCCAAAGCAATGATGGAGTCTGTTGGATCAGAGCCCATGGAAAGAAAGCATATGAGAGGAACACGTGGATCTGACTCTTCCCATGTCTTCTCCAAGTCCAAGATGACTCCTTCTGCATATTTCTCCCCCATAGTGTCAACAACATATTTTCTTGCCTATATTAAAAAGGGTAAATTTACTATACTACATAATCACTTAATATCCTTTTCTTCCCAGTGCAAATACAACTGCTATGTGTGCTGAAGAACAAATGATGTAAAATTTATATAGGCCTTATTCTACATAAAAAGTATAAAATATAGAATGCTATACTGTATACATTTTAATAGCAGAAATAAAAACACGCAACTAATCTGTTTTATTTGTTAACATTCCACGCTGTCTTCGAAAGTTCTTGCAGCTTTATAAAATCACTTAAAACTTACTAAATAAATATTCTATTGTGTATATCTCCATGCATTGTTGTATATATAATACATCACATATAATACCTACATATATTACAGACTAATAAAAAAAATAACCTTGACAAATACGGTTTAAATATTTGAAGATCCTATTTTAGGGAACAGATAAAAAACATAATAAAAAATAAAAAACGCTAAGCCTCAAAGTCATTAGGTCTTTCCCACCTTTATGCTTAAACAAATTATAAATAAATGGTAATAATGATGAAAAAATCAAGAAGAAGTAAGTAAGAAGTAAGATCACCTCTGTTATACCTTATTTATTTACTGCAAAAAAACACATTATTCTTCCTTTACAAAATGTAAAAGGCTCTTTCTCAAACAGCTTCAGATAATCTTTCCTGTATGCTTTCCCAATACATTGCTTGTCTCTTAATCTCCCAGTTAATACTTAGAATCATAGAATGGTTTGGGTTGGAAGGGATATTTAAGATCCTGCAGTTCCAACCCCCTGCTATAGGCAGGGACACCACCCACTAGACCAGGTTGCTCAAAGCCCCATCCATCCTGGTCTTCAATGCTTCCAGGGAGGGGGCACTCACAGCACACAACCTTACTGGGCAACCTGTTCCCAGCAACCTGTGTAAGGGTCTCAACACCCTTACAGCAAAGAATGTCTTTTTGATATCTAGTCTAATGTAAGACTTCTGTGTTACTTCTCAGAAAAACATATTTAGCATTTGATAATTTATTTGTTTTCATAAAACAACCACAAGATGAAAAGATATCTTGCCCCTATTAGCAGAACTGAGGAAGAGCTAATTTTGCTTGACTAGTTTCAGATTCATTGCACGCATCTAAGACATTCATTACACAGCATCGCTTAGCCTTTCATTGACTATCCCAATAAATGATGAGCCTTTCTTTTAATTCAGTTGCAATGTCTAAAGGCTTGCATCCATAAAATGAATACCACATTATTAGTGATGTATTCTGACTTCAGTAAATTACCAGTCATCACTCTGAAATTATCAGCAGTTGCATAATTCTTATTCTTCTGCACTGGAGCAACACAAAGACTCCTAGAATAGTCTCCTAGAACCTGACTTTAAAAAAAAAAAAAATTATTTTTTTTTTAAGATTTAGTTTTACATTTATCTCTTTTCTAAATAGACTATTTGAAATTAAAAATTTTGAACAGACACTAACATGGATTTTTCTAAGGTTGGTCTTACAATTGTTCTATGCAAGAATTGATTCCTCAGTTCAATTATTTTCATGTTATGTTTTTCCTCAGTCAATAAAGTAATGAAAAGATTTTATTTCAGCCTAATAAGAGGACACTTCTACAATACCAGTGAGTAATATTAGCAAGAACAGTTAAGAATAAAGCCTGAATTGATAAGGGATAAACACATCAGCTTCCAGATGAAATCCTATATCCATACTAAACTATATCAGAATTATTTTGAGAGCTTGTAAAAATGCATAGGTTATCTGTCTGATAAGATTTTCAGAAAATTCAGTGCAAAGGTCCATTAGAAAAATTCCTTTTAAGTATTAAATAAAATGTTACTGAATTTGAATTCTGTAACTATTATCTAACAACACCTGGATAGATTATGCTGGCCATATAAATGTACCTGAGCAATGGTCCTGTCAGGGCATAAAGATCTGATAAGAAGAAGATGTCTGAAGCAATCCAGGGTTTGACCATAGCCACAAGGAACTGGTTCTTCTTCAGGATTCTCTTTATCAAACCAGATTTTCCACTCTTTCTCTGCTCTAGAAATCTGTAGTTATACCAACAAAGGAGTAAATGTCATATACAAGTCATATAACAAACACTGCAAGCTCGCAAGCTTTTAGTGAGGGTCAAAGATGCTTAATCCACACACAAAGTATTTATCAGCGTTATTCACAGATTTAGTATGGTTATTAAGAGAAGAGAGGACAAGCTTTCAGCTTTTCAGTACAAAACTTCACAATGCAACAGTATCTTTCTAAGCATTCATATTCTGAAAAGAAGGGCTACTGCTAAGTACTTTCCTCTAATGAAATAACTACATAGAAAGATCAGAAAGCAGATAGCTTGATTGGTAGCTTTGAGAACACTAGGTACATATCTACTCCCCACAGTACAGAAGGTATTATTCACATGTAATACTTGCAATTTACTTACTCCACTTTATTATGTGGAATAAGTAAATTGCAAGTATCATATGTGAATAGGACTACAGTACTACAACAATAGTACTTTACTACCACACTTAGTATCATCAAGGCTCTTCAAGGTCCATATAACCAGTAAAATACTGGAACAAACATAAAGCATAGTTTAAGAAAGCAAGACAGGGATGCAAGAAATTCTAATACTCTTGAGGAAGAAGAGTCAAATTCAAATGTGAATTGGATAATGGCAAGTTGTAAAGATGTATAACTATAGTGTGTGAAAGTTTCTATTTTTTTTCAGTTTTCCTGTGTTGGTTTTGTTTTGTGACTGTTTTTTGCCTGTTGTTATAGTTTTGGTTTTGAGGGAGGGGATTGTTCAGTGGTGGCTTTTTTTTTTTTTTTTTGCTACTTCTCATTTTCTTATTTTTAGGTCTTTTTATACTGTTTGCTTAGCAGTCAGGGCCAAAACTAATTACACTAAAGCCATCGTTTTCATTCTGTTTACAAAATAAACTAGTTTCTCTCTCTATGTCTTGATCATTATCAAATAATCATCCCCAAACAACAGATTATTTTAAAAAGCTTTTGCTTACTCGGTCAAGAATATCTGAAAATTGGCTAAGTTTACTAAGCTCCACTAAATTCAGCCAAGTCATATCCAGGATCCATTTAGCTGGTTTGGGAGGACAAGCTTTAAGGTCCAGGGAAGCACCACCTGAAAGAAAAAAAAAAGAAAAAGGAGCGGAAAATCTGGAACACATAAGGTAGATACCACAAGACAATCTCACATGACTTCCTGTCCTCCAGTCTGGAGATATTCTTTATAATATAGGATAGTCATCAATAAATTTCTGAGTAAGCTTGAGTTTACAGAGGAAAAAGCTCTTTTTCTAATACTTTTCTTCAAACATTTATTGCTGTAGAAAATGTGATGATTTATTCAATATGTGTATTTGCGTTCCTTGGAATTCCAGTCAAATTAAAAGAAAGCAACACAAATAAAAATGAGGTTACAGGGATTAACCATCAGTAAGTCAAGCCAACTTTGGTGAAATACAGTCCGCAGTATGGTTAACTTACACAAATTTGGTTTTCCTTGTACCTTAATCTTTGTTTCTTTCATTAAGATTTACTTAGACGTGTCCTTGTACAATGTGCCTGAAAATAAATATTATCTGAGAAATACATATTTGAGAAATTAAGATTTTCTGAAGATTCAACACGAACAAAGTAACAGTTCTAATCCATAAATAAATGTTGCCTAGAAAATTAGGAGCATATTAGAAACCCATGGAAAAAAAGTATGAAGCCACTCCACAATTTTCACTGCAGGTACCCTGTATGCATGGCATGAAGACTAATGCCATGAATGTGTCGTGTTCAGCGAGAAGTCAGATATTCTTTTAAACTGTTAGTTTTGCTTTTGTTTCCTTTTTGCTTGCTTGTCAGTCCACAGTTACCAAATAAATAAAAGGTTAGTATAATTATTTTTCAAAGTAAAATCACATACATGGTGGTATTTGAACAGCAGACATAAGTATCAGCTGAAATGATAGTTATCAATTTTCCTTATCAAATTTCCATGATTCTCATAGCTAAACATCAAAATTTTATGTGCCCCTATAAATTAGAACTACCACATGAAACTGTCTGCCACTAGTACAGAATGATAAGCACGTATTCCTTTGCTTGACTGACTTCTCACGTTCAAAAAGGAAGCACTAGGCTAGGAGACACAATCACAGCTCATAAATTTTCTGCAATAATATATATACTCCACTTAAAACTGTTCTGTAGTTTCAACCTTTAATAAGCGTCAGAAATTCTTCATGCTTCACTCTGTTTCTTTGTATATCAATCTTCAAAGTAAGTAATAATGTGAAAAGAAATTTGTGCTCCTCATAGAGTCCTCGGGCTGCATATTTGAACACTTCATATGTCATATGTTCGATAATATTAGTAATCCTCTTGCTAGTTATAGGGCTTTTGGCAGACCTGTTGGAAAAAAGATCTGTGGTTGAATGTCAACTTGGATAGATCTTACTAAAGAGAATGCTATGTAGAAGAGAAAAAGGCATAGCTCAAAATTCTGAAATATCAGACAGCAAATTAGCAACAACTTTCAGACTGAAGGAACAACAAAAAAAAGATTTCAGTTCCTATGAAGTCATTCCACATAACTGAAAATCAACACAGTATAATGTTTCCTAATAATTTAATAGCTAATCTACTACACCTCCATGAATAGATAAGTATGAACAATACTTGTTAGCAAAATTACCTGGCTAGGGAGCTGTCAAAAAGCCCCAAAAACTGTCGAAGTGAAGTCTGATACATCACATTGACCATGCTCATCTCAGTAATTAGAAAGTACAAGATGCTACCTCGAGTTGCAACTGAAAAATAGAAAACGTTTTCAATGTAGAAAACTTTAAACAATACAACAAAAGCATTGAGTTTAAGAGTACACGTAATCTGAAGGTCTTTGAGTTGCTCCGCTCTTTACTGGCCAGAAAAACACTATATTAAGTTAATCTTCATTTATGCAAACAAAATCTTTACTGTAATTAATGCATACTATATAAAGTTCAGTTTACAAATACGAGCATATTTAGAGAAAAACTAGTTGTTGGGATATTCCGTTAAACATTTGATTATAAAAAGTATGATAGTTTCAAGAACTGCTTGAGCATTCAAACCAGTTTCTCTTACAGAATTTTATAAGAACCATAAAAAAGCCAAATGGATTAAATTGATTTAACTTACCCAGCACTGATTTAAATTACTTTCAGAAGCCATTTGGTTTTAAATACAAAGATTTTATAAAAACCACAATGATTTCTGCTACATTAACTGTACCATTTTATACATTTCCTAAAATCCAAGTATAACATTCCAGATAGCACCTTGTTTCATGTTTTCACCTGCCAGCTAAAAGCCAAAAGACTGATGAAATGTGTTGACAATAACTCCTTAAGGGTCTAAAAAAATATATCAACAAAACAGACACAATGCATTTACCTTTATACTGCTCCCTAAAACAGTGCTGTTTTGAACTCAACCGTACAGTTACTCAAATACCCTAAAGACTACTTTCACTGACAGTCCATAAAAAGTGTCAACATTTTCACAGTTGAGAGAGAACAATCAAGCCATCCAAGCTTCTTCTGCAGTAGATTAGAAAGACAGGTACACCATTTCCTAGATACATTTTGCTTACAGGAAAACACAAGTGCTTCCCAACCATTATGGTCATCCTGATTTCACCCGGTCATTTCTCTTACTCTAGGTATTGCTCTTTTAATCATATGCTCCAGCCATTTCCCTTCTATCACTACCTTCATAGAATCACAGAATCATAGAATAGCCTGGGTTGAACAGGATGCCAAAGATCATGTAGTTTCAAGCCTCCTGCCATGGGCAGGGTTGCCAACCACAAGACCAAGCTGCCCAGAGCCACATCCAGCGTGGTCTTCAGTGCATGCTGGAATCCTTGGATTCCTTGTGGAATGCATCCACAACCTCCCTGGGCAACCTGTTCCAATGCATCACCACCCTCTGTGTGAGGAACTTCTTCCTAATACTTAATCTAAATCTCCCCTGTCTGAGATTAGAACCATTCCCCCTTGTCCTTTCACTATTCACCCTCATAAACAGCCATTCCCCCTCCTGTTTATATGCTCCCTTCAAGTATTGGAAGACCACAGCAGGTCTCCCCAGAGCATTCTCTTCTTCAAGCTAAAGAAGCCCAGTTCCCTCAACCTTTCCTCAGAGGAGAGGTGCTCCAGCCCTCTGATCATCTTAGTGGCCCTCCTCTGGATCCATTCCAAAAGATCCACATCTTTCTTGTGCGGGGGCCCCAGGCCTGGACGCAGTACTCCAGATGGGGCCTCACAGAAGCTGAATAGAGAAGGACAATCACCCCTCTCTCCCTGCTGGTGACTGCTTTTTAAAGCAGTCCAGGATATAGTTGGCAAAACCTTGCACTCACCAGGTCTGTATTCTTCACGAGCTGAATTTATCTGTACCTCTGTTTCAGCAGAATTTTGCAGTTTCTGTGTTACCTCCTCAGCTGTCTTTTTAGTATTATTCAGTACAATTATTAAACTGTCATCATCTGCCAGAGAACCCTTAGTGCTTGTAAGTCGGAATAGAAGGTTATCTTCCAGCTCTTTCATCCTCCTTCTGTTTAAAGTCACGTCTTCCATAAGATCTGTTCTTTCTTTCTCTAATTCCTGTTGAAATACATGGTAATAATTGGAAAACAGAAAAGAAATCAAAAGCAAAATATGACAAGGTACTTAGTTCTAAAAGCGCTACTCTAACTGAAATAGTGGATGTCTAGAATAACTGCACTAACATATAGAAAGAATTCCAGTTGTATTTCTGACAGTAGGTCTATCGCCATCTTTCCAAACTTTCTATGTAGATACGCGTTAGCATATCATTCCAACAAGTAGGATGGAGAATGCTGATGTCCTAACAGATCTATGAGTCCAAGAAATTAATTGCTTTTCTTCTTCTATTTCTAATGAAGACAGGTGCAAACATCTTTCAAAAACCATCCTTTGAATTCACTCAATCTAATGCTGTCTTCATTTATGCCCTGTTTTTCAATTACTATATTGTAAATATAGTCTGTTCAACAAGGATCTTTCTTATCAACTAATCAAGCATCAAAGCTTTCCAGCACATCTGAAATACTTCTCCATCAGACAGGAATAACATTAGTCTCTCAAAAAAATGATTTGCTATTTAAGAAAAGAAAGAATATAAAGCTCAAATTGAATTTTTTGCTACATTTATTTAGCTTGTTACTTTTAGTAAACACAAGTAAAGTCATGTGTACACTTTGTTTTCCAGTAGTCATACTTAAAAGTTAAATATATATGTTGACCAACAGCTTTACATAAAGGCAAAAAGAAAAGCTGCTTAAAACATTCAAAAAAAAAAAAATGTTCAGAGATGCAATGACTTTTAGATTATTCTTCTGTCTCTCTTAAAATAATTTAAAAAAAAAAAAAATTTAAATATAAATTCCTCAGAAAGAAAAATACTCCATTGAAACAATATATATGTTTCAATACAATGAGGTAAGAAGGATGAAAAATGTGAAAGGAAGGGTAAGGGCCTTTCAGAAATAAATATGAATCTCTGCCCAGTTATCAATAATTACTGAGAAAGATGATAGAGATATTAGCTATGTCTAAAGAGGAAGTCTCCTGCACTGTTTACAAAGGTCTGGTGGATGTTTTCAAAGTTGGAGACCATGTTCACTCCACCTTTGCCAAGTCCATCCAAGCACTGCATTTAGGCTGCTACTTCTTCCAAGCAGGTATAAAACCAGGATATGATATGCTATCTTATGAAGTACCAGAGGCATCATGAACCTGAGACCTTAGCAAGGCTTACAAACAATTTTTTACTTTACCATTCCAATAGCCTTCATTTAAACACAACTGCTACATACTTTTTTCTACTTCCTGAACTTACAGTCTTCTCACTCCTACATTCTGCTTAACATTCCTAAATATTTGAAAGATTTTGGTTTTTGAAAGTAAATTCTTTAATCTTAAAAAGGAAATTAAAAATATATATATTCTTAAAAAAAAAAAATATATATTAATCTCATTATCATATTTAGTTCTTTTTCTTGTCACTGTGCAAAAGGTCTGATGAAACATATCACCACCAGGTAGAAAAGATTTATTGGGACTGTTGTCATAGAGTAATGTAAATATCAAACAGTGTAACAGATGTAGAAATAAATTCAATGATTCTGACAAAAGCAGATAAAATAAAAGACAAAAAAAACATGCTATTAACTCAGTTTCAATCATCTGATGTCTAATGGAAATGAAAAAAAAAAAAGCAGGTAGCAATTACAAGCAAGAGAAGAATTATTTTGGCTTCATGAAGCAGAAACAGATTTTAAAGTATAGCATTAAAAGAAGGTTAGCATTCAATTAAATAATTATGCTGAAAAACCAGACAAATTAAATTTCATGTTGCACTGAGTGCAACTGAAAAGGTTAAATGTATTTTAGAGTGCAACATATTTAAACAAAAGAAAGCTGTTTTCCTTGCAAGAAGAGCCCAAGAAACACATTTGATACAAAATGATCAAAATAAAGCAAGTGAAGCAATACTGGATTTTGAAGTGAAAATCCATTCATTAAGCTTTCAAAATACTTTGTGCAGATCAGAAAGAATACACATGAGAAATTTTTCTGCAAATCTTCAGATATTTCTAGTTGTAGCATCTGGAATGCAAAAAAGCAAGCCATGTTGCTAAACTGAAGGAACTTGCACCAAAGAAGCTATTTCAAATCCAGTGTTGTCTAAGTGCTTTCAGATGTTGATGTCACTTTACAAGCTTCACCAAGGAATGCTAGTTCTTAAAATTATGTAACAAAAGCTGCTAAATAGCTTTCATGGCTGTCACAAAACTATTCACAAGTGCAAAAATTTTAATCAACTGTGTGCCCTTCCCCACCACAAATCTAGAAATATCAGTGTAAAAATGTACACAGCTTCAAATATTTCTTGCATACTATAACTCTATTACTAACCTGTCATAACTATTTCTAGCATGCTAAATAAGAAATTTCTTTTGCAAGTTACATAGCGACCAATATAGTAAAGAAAACAATCATATAACTAAAACAGTATAAGTCACATATCATTCAGACATGTATCAAGTCTCTCAAAGCCAAATGTTCTAAGAAATGAAGATTAACTAAAGTTAACTTAAGTAACTTCACAGAAATACCAGCTACCCATTGACATGCTTAGCTCATATCTTACAGATTGGTTTAACACTCTGAAGGAAAAGAAGAAATCAGCATCAGTATTCTTCCTGGTAATCAATATTCTTTTAAATGTATGACACACAGATTCTACCAATGGGCATGCCAGAAAGCAAATAAATTAAAAATCACACTTGGCAGAAACCCTCTTTTGCTCACATCTACAGGTCATTTGTTCTCAGGACAGATCAGTATTAGAGACAGCGCAATGGGAAGAAAAAGATCTACATATGCATGCCGAAGAACAGTAACTCTCCATTTTGCTGGCTGTGCTAAAGTCACGGTGAACAAAACATTCATTGCTTTCCCCTCCTACACAGAGTCATTCTCACTGAAGAATGCAACAGGTCTGGGTTAGGCATAATCTGCCTTCTATAACTGGTGGCTGCCTTTCTGCTTGATGCCCCTCATGTACTCAGAAGAAGCTTCTAGGGGTATTTGTTCCATAACTTACCCAAGTACTGAAGTGAGGCTGACCAGCATGTGGTTATTAGGATATACCTTGCTCTTCTTGCAGACAGCTGGAGTCACTAAGAATTGCTCCTGATGTTGCAGCCTTTCAAAAATGATAGAGACCAGAATCCAATGGCATTAGCCAGATCTTACAGCACCCTAAGTAACACCTCATCTGATCTCACAGACTTGGGTATGTCTAATGAGCTTAAGAGATCCTTAAAGCTATCTTCGACAGTGAATACTGCTCGATTCTTAGGAGACTGCTAATAGATTTGGAGACCTAAGAGGCCTGCTGGCAAATCTTACCTGTGGAAACTGAGGCAAAAAAGACACTGAGTTCCTCAGCTTTTTCTACAGCCCCTGCCACTGGGTTCCCTGCCCCATGGAAGAATGGCACCAAATTTTTAAGTCTGTGTTCTGCTGCCGATGTACTTACAGAGACTTTTCTTGTTCTTCACCTCACTCATTAGTTTAAGGTCCTGCTGAATTTTAGCTTTCCTAACTTCATTCCTACATGTACAGGCAATGCCACTGATTTCATTTCACAGTACTTCTTTTTTATGTCTGAGCTCAGTCAAGAGTTCTTATGTTCAGCTGTGCTGGCCTTCTGCTATGCTTGCTTTAGTGTGTTGGAGAAGAACAAGTAGAGTATATAATGGAATTATTCAGCATTCAAACTGTGAAATTAAACACAATGAAAATACTGTGGGGAAAACAAAATGCCAACAACTCAACAACAATTCTGACAGTACAGTAGGCAGTGACTTTTAACCACTCTGTAAAAACAAAGATATTTTCATTTCAGAGCTCTCAGCTTGTAGAACAGACCACTAGAATGGGCTCACTGATCCATTTTCAGTGATTATTTTTATTGGCAGAAAAAGATGAAAAAACATATGCCTTCTGATGTGCATTTGCCTGAGTGATCAAAAAGAAACTGTGATAACTGAAGGAATCTGCTAATAAAACAACTGTCATTCTGAGGAGTATGTTGTGTTGCAGGACTCAGAAGTAAAGTTTGGCCATAAGTATTTGTGTACATACACATCATGGGATGTTTCAGATGGTGATAATGCCATTACATAGTGAGTTGACAATCTGTCGCTGGTTGAAGTGAATGTAGTAGAGCAATGAAGCTGTCTGACAAAATGCTAGCTTTCACAGAATAAATATTGTTTTTCTTATGAGCAATATGGACTGATCAGGGAGGAAATGTAACTACTTCACATTAACAAGGAAAGTCAAGCCATTAAGTAGGAAAGTCTTCTATCAAATAATAAAATAATTATTTTATTTTATTTTATTTTATTTTATTTATATAAAATATAATTTATTATTTATATAATTTATATTATTTATATAAAATAAAATAAAATAAAATAAAATAAAATAAACAACCATAAGACCCCAGTAGCTTCTGAAGTGCAGGAATGCATTCCTTTCCAGAGAAAGTAAACTGGAACCACTGCCAAAATTTTAGTAAATGTGGTCATAGATTCATAGTGTTATAGATGCATAATATCCCTTTTGATCTAACACCAGTTGACTTTATAGTCTGAGAGATTAAGTGTCCAGTAATTTTAAAGATACCAACCAGCATTCAGAGCCACTGGTGGTACGTTTATTGGTATTGCCATTCTGAACTTGGAATTGTTTGATTATTATAGCTGTATTTTCAAATTAACTACTGAGCTCATTTCTTCTCAAAATAAGGAAGTAAACTATGTCCCTTGCAATCCCTTGTCATGAGCTCCACAGTATTTAGATGGATAGATAAGAGTTTCTGTTCCGGATCATTTTCCTTTTCCTTTTCACAGACCATGCTCATCATGTTATATGTCAGCAAGGCAGGAAAAATAAAATAAAGTATCATTGCAACAACAACAAAACAAAACAAAACAAAAAAAGGTCATTTTTTTCCAACCCAACTTTTAAATCATTCTAAATAGGCTATATTAACATCACAACAGAGAGAGATAGAAAGTTACTCTACAAACTGGGAAGAGGAACAAACTAAAAAGAAAGTGAATTCTTCCAGAGGTAAACACATAAAGTAAGGAGAAAGTAATTATTTCTTTTACCTGTTTCTCAGTCAGAATGACTCTACCCAAGAGTTGATTTTCGAGACCTTTCATGGTCACAGTAAAGTCAATGATGGAAGTTCGAGCACTAATTTCAGGAGAGTAACCTGGATTTGGCAGTTTTGTAGTAATGTAAAGTCTGAAGCCATTCATCACATCTACTTCTTTGTCACCAACTTTCACCTTAAGAAAAGTACGAAAAAGAAGTCTTGCGACATCAAGGGCCAGTACACATTCTTTCAGTCACCACGTGTAGAAACAAATGTATTTTTCTATTCAAAAGTACAAACATACAGCTTAAAATTACAGGTCTGATGCAATGAATTTGTTAAACGTTAAATTTGTTATCCATTAAACACTTTAACTGATAGGTTAACATATTCTGTCAATTCTGATTGAGACATCCCAAATTGAGAGCACAAAAGCAAGCAAATGGGAATGTTGGTACTTTCTCCACTTAAAAGTTACCATAAACAAAGGGATAAGAAGCAGTACAGGTTAAATGTCTTAATTATATGTTAACTTAAACTCATCTTTGCATCACTGTTAATCAAGCATTAATGACTTTTAACATTTTAGATGCATATCTTTAACAGCTGTTATTTTGTGGAGGACAGAGAGGACACTGATTCCAGTTGTTTGATCATTTGTTTTGTTTTTACCTTATTGGTGGAACCGGATTTAATGAAATTTCTTTCTAAAATATTATCTAATGCTGGGTCAAGCTCTTCACCAACATCTTCTATCAAAAGAGGTCTTCCAAGAGAAAGGCTGTCTTCTAAATGATTTCTAAAATACTTGTGATTCAAAGAAGTGATCTAAAAATAGAATCGTGGAGCTATATGATAAGTTTTGTCCAGAAACCAAACATTTAGCCTGTTTTACATTTAAAGATTGTTTAATTTTATTCACATAAATTATTAACAACAGTCCTATAGCTTAATCAAGGCAAAGACTGTGACTCCGAGAGAAGATAAGTTTAAATGTATTATATTTTCAAATGCCACTGAATGCAAACTACTAATTTTCAACTTTTTCAGTAAAACAACACTCAGTATGTAAAGTTTCGATATCCTACGAGTGCAATGAGACCAGAAATTCACAGCATCTCCTGTTAGCCACAGCCTTAGTTGGTTGCCAACTATATCCTGGGCTGCTTTAAAAAAGAAGTGGCCAGCAGGGAGAGGGGGGTGATTGTCCTTCTCTACTCAGCTTCTGTGAGGCCCCATCTGGAGTACTGCATCCAGGCCTGGGGCCCCCGCACAAGAAAGATGTGGATCTTTTGGAATGGATCCAGAGGAGGGCCACTAAGATGATCAGAGGGCTGGAGCACCTCTCCTCTGAGGAAAGCTCGAGGGAGCATATAAACAGGAGGGGAAACGGTTGTTTACTAGGGTGGATAGTGAAAGGATAAGGGGGAATAGTTCTAATCTCAGAAAGGGGAGGTTTAGGTTAGGTATTAGGAGGAAGTTCCTCACACAAAGGGTGATGATGCACTGGAACAGGTTGCCCAAGGAGGTTGTGGATGCCCCATCCCTGAAGGCTTTCAAGGCCAGGCTGGATGTGGCTCTGGGCAGCCTGGTCTGGTGGTTGGCACCTCTAGCAAGGTGGTTGAAACTAGATGATCATTGTGGTCCTTATCAACCCAAACCATTTTATGATTCTATGATATTTCTCAAGATGTCCTTTCTCACATAAAAATTGCTTTTTAATTATTATTTGAATCACAGATTTGCCATATTTTGTCAGCTGAGAGTTTCTAGAGGCTATGAAATCACAAGCATTCCTATTACCTGAAGTTCATTTTTGCCTTCCTTGTTCTTAAGCCAAATTTTACCCTGTGCCTGTGGATCAATTAATAAAGGATAACGAGATGCTTTAGTGACAATGATTCCGTTCTGTATGGATAAGTCATCATTTGGTAATCCTTGCAGGCTCCATTCACTAATAGTAGAAGCATCAGTCAACATTTCTATGAGGTTCAGATTGTTACCAAAGGGAATTCTCCGGGTTTTCATTTCCTTTTGCCAGTCATTTAATAGCAGATTGCGGAACTCTTCATTAAAAGGACCAGAGTAGGATAGAAATGCTGTAGCCAACAAAACATCACCTGAAAAAAGAAAAGAAAGTGAAGCAAAAAGAAAGGGAAAAAAGAAAAGGAAATAAATAAAGAAGAAATAAATATAAATTTTAAAATTCTATTCTTGATGGAGATTCTTCCTTCTCAAGTTTTTAATGTTTTTGATGGTAAGTGGAGGAATGTACTTTGGCTCATGCAGATGACACATGAGCTTCATTCCCCAGGATCGTTATATAATGAAGCAATGATACATTCCACTAGATAACATATTTACATTTTTATTTACATGCACCTTTTCAGTGCAACTCTAGGAATCAAGAGAAGAATATGTTAGTACAACATATTATATTGGTTTTATGTGGCAAGGTTTTGATAGCAGGGAGTTGCAGGGACAGCCACATACCCAGAAACAGACAGTTAAACTGGCTCAAGCAGCTCCATTGCCACTGCATTTCCAAGTGTTTATTTATAAAATTAAAAATTACTTCCATGAAATAGAAGTTTCATTAACATTAATAACTGCATTTAAAATTACTGACTTTATAGTTAGAAGTCAGTATAACTTAACATTAGTGTTCATTTTCTCCACGTATATCCTCTTATACAAATTTTACTGGTGCTTCCTAACACATCACTCTATGGACTACTAACTACAAACATCAGTCAAGTTAAAATACCAGTGTCACAAGTACGTACTGCATCTTATGCAAGTAACATCTGCATAGCATAAATAGACTATTGTAGGATTTAAACAAACTTCAGCCTGATTGCAGACTTCTCCTAGCTGTGTTTAAACAAGAAAATTAATAACAATTGCCTCAATTTTTGCAATGAGAAATTTGAACTACAAAGGAAACATTTGAAATTCCAAATGTTTTTAGTTTCACTACACATTACAAGTAGATCAACTAATTTACTTCCAAGATCAAGGACATGAACAAATGCTTACCCACTAGCCTCTTGGTTTGCAAGGCAAATTCTTTACTCTGTTTTGTCCATCTATCTTTTTCACCTGCTAGACCACTTATTAGACTTGAAGCTGTTTGCATTTTATGCCGGCAACGATCAGCATCTTCAAGCAAAGCCTATAAAAAACCATAAACCAAGAAATACGTTTTACAGCTATGTATCTGATAGGCCAGAAAAATCTCTAAATCTAATGAATCCAGTATAACAACAGCGCAACAATTTATTTTTAATTACATATCATATCACTTTATAGATTTGGAGGGAAAGTGACAGGGAAAAAGAACATCAAAACCCACTAGAAATACCTGCCATAAATATGGTTGAAATATGGTTAGTATAAATATGTTTAAATATGGTTAGTATATCTTCTCATAACTTTCATGTTGGCGCATATATTAAAGCATGGGTGATCGAGCCTATTACCTACTAGTTATGGGAAAATCTGCATTTCAAATAGATTATACGTTTATATCATATATTAATGAAACTTGATGTTACAGTACTGGACACGAAAATAGCACAAATAAAATACTTCTTGCAGGGGTGGGAGACAGGAAGAGGAGGAGGAGGGGAGAGAGGGATCCAGAGAGGAAGTACCCAACCACTCTTTTCCACTGTCTATCAATGCTTTTTCCAAGGAATAATGAAGAGTTATGAGGGAATACATTATGTTTTGCTCAAAGCATGGGTGGCAGCCATCTGTAACAGTCTCTTTTCTGCAACGATACGTTCACCTGTTTTTCTCTCATGGCTTTTTCATACTCTGCCTGTACAATATCTAATTCTTCTTGCTTTGCACTCAGTTCTTCTTGAGCATTCTGCAGATCCAACATAGCAGTGGTTAGGCGGTTCTCCTGGATTGCTAAATTAGCCTGTGAAGCAAATAAATAAAATAAATACATTCCCACATAAAACATCTCAAAGCATTTGCCAAAGAGAGTTTCATTGCATTGTATTTCAAAATCAATAGAGATTTCATGATTCATTAAAACCTTTTATTTCACTTCTATAATAAACTAACTCCTTGCAGGGAGCTGCAGTTAATTGCTCTAATGTAAATTAGAAAAACAAATAAAAAAATTTCAGGGCAAACCAGCCATTTCCCAACAAAGTTTGGTCTGAACTGGCCTTTAGAAAGACCAGTGTCACCAAAAGCTTATGCTTAGTCTAATGAAAGATACTAGCACTAGCAACAATTCTTCCTTCACTCTAGGTCACCTCCATTACACCCCCATTTTGACATACATTCAAAATCATGCCTGACCACGTTCTTTCTGACTTTCATTCTTACCTTCCAATGACTATTTAGGCCTGTTTTCCCCTAAATAACACTGATGAGTAAAGTCTCTGTACAGTCTCTTTATGAATTAAAATGCTGAATGAAAAGAACTAGATCCTGAGATTTTTTCTTAAGATAAAGCAATTGCAACTGTGAATTAAACTAGATGGCGACTTCAGCCCTTCAGTTCAGGAGCCCAGAGGCATAAAACTGCATGATCTATTTAACGATCTTTACAGCCTACGAAAAGTAGTACATTTGATGCATATTTCACTGTAGAGTTACTATTTTCAACATAATAAATTCCTGTAGAGGCATGCACCAATTTGAATAAGACAACTGATGTTTCCAGTAGATTAAATCCTCAGTTGCACTTGGGTAGGGAGGAGAATGAGCAAAAGTGTGTATGTTGCTTTTTACCTTTAAGGGTAATACTTCTTTGTTGATGGAAAAAAATACAGCCATAGCTTTGGTCCACGAGCAAAGCCCAGCAACATTCCCACATACTCTCTTAGCTGTCTCAATGTTGTAGTCCATCATTTCAAAATAAGGGCTCAAAAGCTCTACCACTTCTTCATTAATGGTGTCCTTCGGAAATTGCTGAAGAAAACGTATGCAATATACAAGTAATACAAGCAAACTACACAAATATGTATTTTAGTGCAAACAAAACACTACCAGAATCAGAAATGTTAATTAAAAACAGTTAATATAAAGTTGTCTATCTTGTGCATATCTGGGAGATTTCCAAAGACATTCTACTCCATTCTGTTTTCTCATGAAATTGAAAGAGTTCATTTCTGATCATCTTTATCTTATCTGTTAATGTTACACAAACTAGCAGTCAAGTATGAAATATCACTGAGATTCTCTTTGAAATTCCATTTCCTTTAATACTGAATAAATAAAAATCTTCTAAAAGAGAGGATTAACAGGCAAACATTCTATGAGATAGTCCTTGCAAAGAGTAGCCAGCTTCCCCTTAAATTACCTTATCTCATTAGTAGTACGTGTTTCAATTTTAATTGTTTTCACAGTTTATTTTTTTTTAAACAATGCCTTTCCTATGTTCATCCCCATAGCTTCCAACTTTATACTAGAAATTTTGACCAACAGATATTCTACTCAATTATCTATTTTCAAAGATTTATTTACAAAGTATAATAAAAGTATATCCTTGAAACTGAAAAATAGCTGTTCTCTGTGCATAAACAATAAAACCTTGAAGACTTTCAGTAAACAAAGATCCTGACATGAGTAGATGCAACAATGAACATCGTATAAATAGTATCCATGGTACTATGAACCAAACAAGTTTGTATGGTCAGGCCATTCATCTGTGATTTTCCACTAGACCAGAAACAGTGTGATCATAAATGTAGAAATGTACTGCTATTTTATAGAGATATTTTAACCAAAATATACACTTCAAGATGAGAACATCATTTCTCCAAATGAAGAAATCAGGTTATTATGTTCAGTGGTACAGTGCAACATAAGAAATTCTCAGATTATTAGTAGTTTAAAACATGGACCAGTGTAGATTTATTCACCAAATACTCATTTCATTTCTACAGACATGATACAAAGCTGAAAATCTCAAACTTCAAAAAATTCTGATTTTATCTATCCTAATAATCACTGATTTTGTGTATGCCACAAAACATGTTACAATGCTCAACAGGTAGGAAAACAAAAATCTTGATTAGCTCTAAACAAAGGCAAGTAATAGCTGTTCAAATGCTTAAAGCTTTGAATCACTTGTCACTGAAGTTAATTTCATTTCCCTACTTAGGAGAAGCTATAACTGACTTATGACCTGATTTTCCCACATGGATTTGAGTTTTATTTCATTATATCATACATTTAAGCCCTTGACATTTCAGATTTCTTGCGTACCTGATTTCTCTTCCAAATTGTTCTCCTAGGAACACTAAAGAAAATACATTTCCCTATTGTCTTAAGGTTAAAATGACACAAAACAGGTTATACAAATACCTGTAGGTTCTGTAAAAAGTTCCCTGCTGTCATCAGTTTCAAAGATTCTTGCCATGACGGGGTGGTACAGCTCTTTTCCTGATCAATTTTTACACTGTTCAATTTTCGTTGGAAAAGCAGTAACACACAGTCCATGATACGCATAATAAGGTGAGGAGGTCGACCAAGTGTTCGGACTGTGGCAATATCTGCAGGCTTTATAGTCTACAAAATTAAAACAAAAGAAAATACTTTTATTATTTATTAAACATGGAAAAAGGTCACCAACAGCATTAATCCACTTCAGAAGAAGAAACTTACTCTTCCTGATTTAAAATAATTTTATCTCTCAGAAGCATGAAACTGTACAGATCCTTCAACTATAATTTGACTACTACCTCATAGCACCTGCTAGGAAACAGCAGCTCAGCCACCTCACAGCAGCACCTAAATTCTTAAAATGACTCCAACCTAGGAAGACAGAAATATTCTGAAATTTTATATTCTTTTTCTATTTTAACGCAAACCTATTCACACAGGAAACTCAGTCTAGAAAGGAAAAAGCATTCTGTTGATAATTGGTAAGTGCATCTCTGCAACTTCTACTTTATTGTTCTGGACAAATTGCTGATGATGAAGTGAGCCTTTGAGAAAATTAAATAAATCATAATAGTATATGAAACCTTTGTCTTATTATATATGGCAAAGTCAGTCAAGGGTGCAAATCTAACACCATAACTTGTACATTTGGTTATTGGCACATTATCAACCAACAGCACAAAATATATCAACCGGAGTTTCAATTGAAAATTAAAATTGTCCATTTGCTGAACAACTGATTGCCCATTTTGGATTTGGCATTTGGGTGGAAAAAGATAAACAAAACTAAACCTAAACAAACTCCAGATAGATATATCTATTTGTATACATCTTCTGCCAATCAAGGAGTTACACAGAACATCTGAAACCTTACATGTTTCAAAGGAGCACATTTTTGGGGTGGAAGAAATGTTATACTCAGTCTGGAGTTAGTACCAACCTGTAAGGCTGCTTCTGCCTCTTCCAAAGCAGGCTTAGCAGCTTCTAACTTTTCTTCAGCAATGGCTTTGTCAACTGAGATGCTGTCCACAATAGCTTGGGCTTTGTCTTTCACTTTCTGAACTTCAGCCTTCACCTTCTCAGCAGCCTGTGCTTTTACAGTAACTTCCTTCAATACCTAAAGAGAAAATTCACAAACAACATATTAAAGAAAATATCTCACTGAAAGAATTTATATTTTCATTGTAATATTTGATCTGTTGAATTCAATTTTCAGAACCAGAATGTCTTTTAAAAAAGATGGTTTTGCTGTCACCTTTTTAAGCTTCTATTATCGCTTTTTTTCCCACAGCCTAACCTCCTCTTACACACACACACAAAATTAAGTGCAATATACTTTAATGTTTGTACATACCATGTCAGCTTTTTCATTAGCAATCTGAAGTTCTTTTTCTTTTATCTCCAGCTCTTTGCTTAGAGCAGCCACTGACACAGAGGCCTCTTTCAACTTTTCCAGCCCAGTATTAACTCTGGAGTTAAAAAAGAAAAAATAAAAATAGTAGTACATAATTCCTTTTAAAATTTACATTTTCCTTTCCAAAACATTTCATTGGTAGAATGAATCAGATGGATTTAATACCAAAATCTGTCCTACACACAAAAAAAAAAAAAAAAAAAAAAAATTCTTCAGAAACTTCCACATACATTTCTGTTGTTTTCAGAATCAAGAAAGTAAACAATAAACAATTCTCTCAAAAAAAAAAAGAACATATGACATGAAATATTCCACACTTTAACTCAAAGTGAATGTATTCATCATTACATTCAAATCCTAAATTTTGGCTCCATTTATGTCAATGACCCTGCTGAGCTCCAATCTGATACTCTCATAGGACTGATTCACAGCAGAAAGCATTTTGGGATCACTAGAATCCTAAGAATTTTTGAGAAATCGTGAGATTTCTCAAATCACTATTTCTTGTTTGAAGAGGATATTAAAAAAGTTAATAAAATCAAAACATCAAAATCAAGACCAAACAAGAGAGATTAACAGGAAAATAGCACTAAGTTAACACTTCTCTCATTAACTTCTCTCATTAACATGCATTCGAAAAGTGTTTGTTTGGTTTTTTTTCTATCAAAATCTAAGTACTCGTATACAGGCTCTTCAAAAGTTTATCTGTAATCTAAGAAAACACACATTTCGAACTGCAGAGTCAGAAAGAATTACAAATGTAGCAACTTCAAAGTCTAAGCAGGACAGGAACAGGTTAAAAATACATAACAGATAAAGAATAACATATACTAAAGCCCTTCAGTTTATGCAATTAAGGTGAAGTGAAACAAATTTATGAGTATGGAATAATCTGGTGCACTTTAACTTCAGAATGTGTAAGGGTGGATTAGATATCTCCCATTTTATAAGTCTTCATTGATACCATGAAGATTATGAACTCAATTTGACTTCTAAAACAAAGAGTGTTTCAAAGTGAAATAAATTAGTCTGAGTATTTCTTTAAGGCTTTTAGAATTTTATGCTGGTCTTTCACAATCAAGAAGATAGGTTTTCTTAAGGGTGATGCCAACTGATACAATTTCACATTCTATTTGAGTATTTCTCATATATCATTAAATCTGCAAATAGATTGTAGCTTAATAAAGTGCTTGAAAAGCATAATTAATATATCAAAAACACCTAAAAATCCATAAGCAAAGGTTCAATAATCACATAGTTACACTATGTGATGACAAAACCGAAAATGCCAGGGTTCTTTTTACCTGTTCATATCAGAAAAATACAACTGTTCAGCAGGAAAACAGAAGTTGTTCTCAGGTAAACTGAATTTTATTGTGAATTTGTTATCAAATAACATGCAAATATCTTCTTTTATTCATTAAAAATACATGTTAATAATTTATATTCATATCTTTCCACCACCATGTTCTTCAGTGCATCACTACCCTTGAGTCTTCAAGCTACGCGTCAAGAGCATCTAATATTTGTTCAAGTAACATCTTTATACTATTTTAGGAAACTTCAAAGAAAACTTTTGCTATGCAACGAGACCAGGCAGGCATTGAAATAAATACACCAGAATATATCTATCTGAGGGAGAAAACAACAAAAAGACAGCAGTAAACTGAGTAGTATATACCTGTTGGCAAATATCTGCAGTTCTGCACGTTTTTCTTCATATGTAGTTTTATAACCTTGAATAAAAGACAGATAGGATTTGGGAGTCACATGTGTAGAACGTCTATATCTTTGAAAGTAATCAGAACACTTCTCTGCCACTCCATCCTGGAATGAGCCCATACACTGCACAATTTCTCTCTTTGTCTCAGCGGTGCAGTCCATATCATATGAGGACAGGAAATGTTCAGATACTTAGAAAAAGAAGAAAAGCATAAATGTAAGTAAATCTTCAGGAAGTACGTTTAGTTTATAAACTAAGCAATCAATATGCACACTACCTATCATGACAAGCAGAAGTGTTTCACCTAACTTAAATCTTCATTTGCTCTAAGTAATTGATCTGTTCACCACTTATGCATATTTAGCTCAATATGTGTCTAAACTTTAAACAGCATTACATTTTTAACACTTCTCCATCCAATATTTTGTCATTTATACGATAGTATTGATTACACCAAGTAATAGCTCCAGAGAAGAGAATACCTCTGGAAATAAAGTCTTCATACTACAGTTATTGAGGATATAAGATTCATCTTATCACTGTCTTCTATAAATTTAATTTTGAATATACGGAAGAATTACCAGTCAATTTATTGATAGCTATGACATGGGAAATGCTTTTACATTGCATGAGTGAGATACAATGCCAAGCTCACATAGCTTCTGAAACTCTAGTCTTCCTCAATCTGCACTAGCAGATTCTTAAATTATTCCATACATATCTGCAAAAAATGTATGGTCAAGGATCTGGTACCCTTTAATTTCCAAAATGTGCATCTACTTCTCTGTAAACCTGCCCAATTGCTAGCTACCACGAATTGGGTAACCACAGCCTCTCTCTGTGTCTCATCACAGGCATTGTCACCAAGTGTCTTTGGTGGTATTTTGCTTTCTTTAATAGTGCTTTCAGTCATTTTTAAGGAGAATTTTTCTTATTCATATCCTTTCTTCTGTCAAAAGCATTTCAGCAGCATAATACAGCAAGAAGAAAACACCAATATCTAATTTATTCTGCCAGTATGCTGGCAAAACAAGCTTTGTTTGCATTCAAAGCATTTAGAAGAACTTAATGACCATGAATCTCAGAATTAAATAACTGCAAAGAAAAAACCTACACCTACCAGCCACTAGAGCATCCTTAGGCCATCGGCTGAACCAATCTATAGTGCATCCAGAAATGAGGGCAGGGAACTTTAAGGCCCTGTTTCGGAACTTTTCACCTACTGGTGAAAAGCAAAGAACTACATGAAGGTTCTGACAGACTCGAGTCATGAAGTAGTCATACAAAGTTTCACTGGTTGGAGGTCTACGTGGATGTTCCTTCTTGAAGGTTGTTATGAGGTCACTCAGGATTTCATCTATTTCATCACGAGCAAATAAGTTTGACACCTTTGAGAAAAGAGAAGGTTTTTTTCACCTTGTAGAAGATGACCCAAAGGAGAATATATAAACATATGATTGATTTAACACATAGCCTTTCAGGAAAGAACACTCATTTCAGATACAGAAGTTCTAAGGACCCAACCCACTTTTTTTTACACAAGAACTTTTTTCTGAAGTGACTCTGTTAAAAACACTGAAATCAAACTTGCTGTAAAGTAAAATCTATTCTTCCACGTGAAAAATAAAGCAAAAATAAAATAAAAATAAAATAAAATACAAACAAAAAAAGTCATCCTACCCATTCTAAACACATTTTCCATATAAAAACTAACTGCAAATTAATGAGATTTTTAATCTCATATATTTTTGATAAGCATCAGTGATGTTCCCTAAGTCGTAATATTTTTTTTTTAATTGTTATCATGTTCTGCAGTTTATCAACACTTAAGAGGGTCTGACAAGACAATTTTTTTGTATGGTATGATGATGTGCATTCATTAAAATAGATTCTGTTATTTTGCTTCAGAATTATAAAATTTAAAAAGCAATGAGAAAGATGATAAGAATGTATCCTACCTCTCCTGATGATAGAACATTATTCAAGTATTCCAAGAAAGACTCATCTTTGACCTCATTGTCTGTAAAGAGAAAACATATGCCCTTTCCCTGCAATCCTGAAGTTCTGTAAAGAAGTTTCAGATCTTCCATCAAGTTTGAAGTGTTGTAAGATCTACAGAAGAAGAGTCATGTTAATCTTCACTCCCTTTAAAACAGGTTTCTGGGTAAAACAAAAATAACTAGAAAACTTAAATAAGAAATAATTTCTTGGAACACTGGTGGATAGATAACACCTACAGATACAGTACAGTGCAAGGTACTGTATAAAAACAGAGTGTAAAGATAACTTTACACTGTCAATATTACTGGCCACCATAAAAAATAAAAATTCACAGAAAATCAATCGAATTTAGCCAGTATGAAAGATTTTCATGACTTTACACTTCAGGCCAGGCATGTCTAACCCACAGCCCAAAAGCCACATACCCAGCTCAGTTTACAATGTGGCCCTCACCCCCTTCTGCCGCATCATCATGGTGGTAGTTCTGCCCTGCCAAGTAGCCCAGCCTGCACACAGGACACAAGGAAGTCACAGTGCAGTGCTGACAAGTAATATGGCAGTGGAAGGAAATCAAGTCATTTTTCAAATATTACAATTTTAAAAGACATTATATGCAGAAATATGCCACCAAATCCGATGCATATCAAGGAATGGTTCATAAAGACAAAATAGCAGAGCTGATAAAAGTGTGTAATCTCAACAAAATATTTTATAAAATAAGTTAAAACTCAAAAGGACTGTTATAAAAGCTAGTTAGGTGATGGCAAATCTGATTGCAAAAAAAAATCAAATCAGTCACCATTTCCTGATGGTGAGTTTATTAAGCAATACAGCTCAACTTGACATTTTTATTAGAGGCATTGATAACAAATACGACACTGTAGAAATGGCTTCTTTGGTGCCACTGAAAGACATAACTTAATCTCCTGATTTGTAAAAAGCAGTAAAAAAAAAATTTAAAGCAATTTTCTTTAACCTTTGTCATCATATCTGGTATAGCTACCAATGGTGCCCCAGTGATGGTTGATAAAAAAAAAAAAGAAAGACTTATGGCACAATTGCTACCAATACCTCACATTTCATGAAATATCACTGAATCAGACATCAAGAAGATCTACATGCAAAAACTTCAAAAATAGATAATGTCATGCCAATCATCACCAAAACTGTGAATTATGTAAAGTCCAAGGGGTGAATCATTGCCAGAAACATCACACAAGCATAGTTTTATGCTTTTTGTTGCTGGTTTTTTTTTAACATTCTAATAAAAAAAACATTAAAAAATAAACTCTGTTACTTATATACATTAAATTTATTATATATTTTACATGTGGCCCAAGGCAATTTCTGTTTGCTCAGTGTAGCCCAGGCAAGCCAAAACGTTGGACAACCATGCTCTAGGCAATAGCACTTGCCCTATGTTGTGCTTATTCTTTCTTCCACTGCAGAGACTGGGAGCACATTTTATTTATAGGAGAACTTCAGTGAGTAAGTACTTAGTTGCTTAAATTTTAGTTTACACTTACCGAGTTAACATGATCTGGAATGTATCATAGCCGGCTATGAATGATGCTAGTCTTGTCAAGCTCTGCTTTCCAGAGCCACCAACTCCAACTAAAAGAGCATTTCCACGAGGAGTACGAATCACTCGAGAAATCTGTATAAGTCATTCATTAAATTCATTAATCATCATATCATTAATCTGTATACAGTCATTTATTGCTGAAATGTGTAACGGTTACACACCCAAAAATCTAGTGCTACTGCAATAATAGAATTATACTAGAAATGCAGAACAAACCAAAATTTTAAGTTTGCATTAAAGGATTCTATACTACTATCAATACACCTATGAGCATTTTCACTTTGAAATATTTTCTGTAAACCTTCCAGCAACAACCACTTTATTCCATCACTGCAAACTTTCAGTTATCAATAGAACTGCACTTCATACTTCCAAAAAGCACAAACAAACCTCAGCAGTGACAGGCTACAATAGTATGAAAGATCATTAAAATTGGAAACTAAATTATAGTTTCCCTCATTCAATACCCCTGGACCACTTCAAGTAAGTGGTCTGTAAGACTCTAGCCTTCTTCGTTGTAGAAGAAAGAAAAGAAGAAAAAAAAGAAGAAAAAAAGAAAAAAAAAAGAAGAAAAAAAGAGAAAAAAAAGAAAAAAAAAAGAAAAAAGAAGAAAAAACAGAAGAAAAACCTGCTTCTCTTTTGTAAGAAGTTTATTCTATGTGAACAATCCTCTCAAGCTGAACTGTACTAAAAATTATTGTCAAGTTTAGTCTATCCTCAAAGGAATTTTAAAAGTGAGCGTATCGGGGATCTACAAAAGAAGTTTGGAATACATTTATTCCTACTCATCCTCCTTCATCAGCGGCCAATTATGTCCTAATTTGATTTTTATTTCACTCATTCCAAAGAGAGGAAAGGCTCTCAGAAGAATTAATAAGAAGAAACATTGAAAAATAGTTAGGATACTTTGGAACATGACCTCACTAGACATGAAAGATGGAATTTTTCCATCTGAGGAAGAGCTGAGTTTTTAATATTTGGTCAGAAGGTGAAACACAAAATAGCAAAAAATGACCTGCTTCAATAATACAAGTAATTTACCTTGATTTGTGCATACCTTCATTCATTTTGAAACACAATTGAATTCATTTGTGCTGAAGACAAGTGAAAAACAGCAACAGCAATAATGAATTGCAAAGCAAGATTGTACCTTTACTAAATGAACCATGGCATCCTCAAAGAAAACCATGTCCATACCAGTGCCACGGGCATTCTCATTGTATGTTTGTAAAAACGTATTTAAACGATTCCGTAGCTGACGAAAGCAGTAAACTGGCTCATAAATTTTGGGAATCCTTACATCAACTTCTGATTTTTCTCCTAGAACAAAAAGTGCATAATGAAACCTCAGCAGTTCAAATGACTGACGGAGTTACAGTGTAGCTACAATGAGCAAGGGAAGTTAACTGAAGGACTCTGAGTATTCAAAACTAGTTTTACTATACATAAAATTTCATATTAGATATACGTATGACAGTACTGCGTATACTTTCCTATACAGAACAGCAGTCCTTCTTTCTCTGCCTCCAAAACCTGAATAGTGAAAATCTGAAAATAACATCGATGCTAGAAGCAACAGTCGCAATGGAGAATAAAGGTAAATAAATATTGCAGTTAAAAATTGCAAATAACTTTTTTTTTTTGTAAAAGAAATATATTCTAAGCTGATAAAATTGTTTCAGTGGTTAAAAAAATTTACTAATAAAATGAATCATTTAAGCACTCAAAGAAATGTACGTTCACTGTGAAAAAGCATATGCTTGCTTCAGCAAGGGATCTGAAAACCACATAGTGCTTTCGACACTTCCCAGTCCAGAGAAAAGGAGGAAATTGCAGTATCTCCCATATCCATTCATAAGCATCAATCATGCCTATAGGAGACCAGCCTTTCACTAATTGTTACAGCAAATAGGATCGCAGAATGGCTGAGTGACTTCTGAAGGCCATCTGGTGAAAAACCTAGCTCAGTTGGGGCCACTTCAAACCCAGGAGGCATGTCTAGACAGCTTTTCAGCATCTGAATATTAGAATAATCCAGATGTAAATAAGTTTCTTAAAAGCTGAATGAGACTTTTAAACAACTTACTCAGATATTTGATAAGGAACTAATAGGGAATACAGCAAGGAGTTAAACAGTAGTGATGTTTTTACATTTTTGAACCATTTAAGAGAATGATGCCAGTTTAATCCTGTTCCTGCAGTTTTATTATTGATGACAAAAGACAGCATGGTCAAGTACCAGACCTAAGAAAGGGCAGACATTTAAATTATTTACAGAGGTAGCAACGGAAATATATTGTTTTAAACTCTTCTCTAGCTCAAAGATTCAGAATTATAACTACTAAATTGCAACATCAAAACTTATTGATAAAAAACACATTTGAACAGCTTGAGGGTTGGTAGAACTCTAGTACCTCTAACGATTTTTGTGAAGCAAAGGTCTGAAGGTTGATGTTTGGATTACTTCATCTCAGGTCTCTCAGGGATGAATATGTTGCAGTAGTACAAACCAAATAAACACGGGGCATGTATGTCAACTTACCTCCAGTCTGAGCACATTATTCAAAGTTGATGTTAGATGAATATTCTACGCATTTAAGAGCTCAGAAACCCGATTCTTGCTGTTATATTTCATAATAATGAGCAATACTAAATTCCATTACAGGGACAACTAAAACAAAATAACCATTTTTATGCTTACCTCGTAGAGTCAAAACAGGGAGAGGTTCTCTAGACTGCCAAACATATTGAAGACAAAACACATCCTTTCTAAACAGAGGCCCTCTACTTTGTATTTTCATGAAATTTCATTCCAGATGGAGTATTACTCGGGCAGGTACAGTTAAATAGTAACAAAAGCTAGTCTGAGAAATACATACTTCTTTTCACATTCATTTTTCAGATTAATGTAATACTTTCTAGTTTAAATTTCCATATTAAAAGTCACTCTTCAATCACTCAGTATGTATTCTGATTTACATTTCAGTCTTCTTTGCATTCTCAGTTTCCACGTAATTTAAAGACATATTTAGCTACTTTCTCACACCAGATCGATTTCTACTAGTTTTGGGCCCCTCACTGCAAGAAAAACATTGAGGCCCTGGAGTGGGTACAAAGAAGGGCAACAAAGCTGGTGAGGGGTCTGGAGCACAGGCCTTATGAAGAGCGGCTGAAGGAGCTGGGATTGTTCAGTCTGGAGAAGAGGAAGCTCAGGGGAGACCTCATTGCTCTCTATAACTACCTGAAGGGAGGTTGTAGTGAGCAGGGGGTCAGCCTCTTCTCTCGTGTAACTAGCGATAGAACTAGAGGGAATGGCTTCAAGCTGCACCAGGGGAGATTTAGGCTGGATGTTAGGAAATACTGCTTTTCTGAAAGAGTGGTCAGGCACTGGAATGGGCTGCCCAGGGAGGTGGTGGAGCCACCAATCCTGAAGGTGTTCAAGGAACGTGATAGGTGATAGGTGGATGGTTGGACAGGATGATGTTGTAGGTATTTTCCAACCTCACCAGTTATGCCAACCTTTTGCAGCTTCCACTACCCATCAATACAATGACATGAACAGATAATTGAATCATCCAACAGTTTAATAATGACTTTCACCAAATCCCCCCAAAATCTTTTTTCTGTTCTTTTTTTATCAACTGAGAAGTACTCCTGGGTTATTTAGCTAGCTGGGTCTGCTGCAAAATTTTTATTTAAAATAAACGAGAACATTGTTATAAACCAGATGCATAATCCAGGAGCTTTTACTAGTATTACGGAGATTCTGAAATAATACTAATTCATTACAAAATAATATATTGTGTACTTTTAAAAAAGTACTGGGTAAGCTCAGTGCTACTATTCATACACCACATCTCTGTGTTAGCTATAGTGCTATGTTTTATCTAATACAGCAACTCAACTCAAATCATGCAACACTTCTTTCACCATTTTAGAATAAACAATTCATATTTGTTATTTGCCAGTTTTACTCACCTTGACGGAAATGGAAACAAGACCCTTCTATACAGATTATCTGAATATAAATATGGACTTAAAATCCCATAAGCATGTTCCAAAAATTGGTAATATCCAGTAATAAATGTAATATCTATCTTCAAAGTCACTGGACAAGACAGCCGCACTCAAAGTATAACCTTACTTGTGCATTTTTTAAATTCTATCCTTTTCCCCACTCCACCCACCACAATGACTACCAGAGCCCATCTTACCAGTTCTTTGAGATACATCCCTTAGGAAGTCAACAAAGAATGCATCAATTTCAGGATTCAACAAAGTTGTCTTTCCTTCGAATTCCTCCTCAATGAGTTTTGCCACAGCTGCGTCAAACCACTTTACATCTTCCAAGGTTGTGAAACGATCAGCAATAACACTCTTACATTCATGCTTCCACAATTTTATTAATACCTTTTTAGAAAGCAAACAAACAAAAAAAATCTCCATGATTTCAATCAGGTAAGGCTTGCCAGTAAAATTATGTTGATGAAAAAATGTTTCTAAAATATTTTTAAATCATAATAAAATAGGAAAAGAAACAGTGGTAAGTTTGGTTTCAATCAGCAGAGAGATCTTAAACATCTCATTCAACCCAATAACATTTCAATTTTATACTCAGTTAACTGTACAAAAAGCCTTTATCTAGTATTCCAAACCACAACATATATAACTATATAAGATTTTATTTCTGTAGCCCTAAGACACGCTCTATACATGGGAACAAGGGTTTATACATCAATAAACCATTTCCGTAAATGATTACTGTCTAAGTGGAAGTTGCGTGAAAATAATGGCATCATATCATGAACACTAAATTCAGAAACACAGATGTCACCAGTAACAAATCCAAACCAGAGCAAATTCTGTTATGTATTATTTCACCAAATTCACTATACTTTTCAAATCCTTCTATTTGGTCAGAGGCTGTAGAATAAAACCTAACAGACCTGGTTTTAATCCTACACAACTACTGTGCAGTAGTAGAAAAGATTCCAAGTACTTCTTGAAGAATTCATATTAGTCTACAGTGCTTTGTATACCTGATGCATACAGTGTCAAGTCAGATCTGATATTTAAATTCATATAATGAGATTTTGAACAATACTCACATGTAAAATCACATTTGGACTGCTTATTTTTTATTTTGGAAATTAAAATCAATTCTAACAATCAAATTGTAGATACAGTAGGAGGCAGGAGCTTGCTTATTCAACAACTAGGAAATTACACTAAATATTAAGTGACCGTATAGCCCAGATATAATACATTTTTTTCTGTGATTACCATAACCATTGCTTTTCCAGAATTTCATGTTTCACTGCTCAAAAAACTGAATTAATTTTCCTTAAAATACTTGAAGAAGAAATGATGCATAAAGTATTTAATTTTTCTGAAGGAAAGGTGAGTTATGAAAAAAAAAAAAAAAAAAAGAATCACTATGACTTGTTATTTCCTCTTGTTTTTAAGTTGAAAGCCAGAAGTTAGTTGTTAGACAAGTATTAGGCAGTGATTGCCAGCCATAGGATAGTAGTGAGGGAGAGGATAAATGTTTATTTTTTTAATGAAGATATATGCCTTTTCAATGAATTAAAACAAAAGTGAGTTGTTTGTCATAATTTTCTTTGCTCCCTGCTTTAAAATAAGCATTATTCATTTTAAATAAGCATTAGTCAGCAACAATACAAGCAGACAGAAGCTAAGCCTCTTCTGTCAAAAAAGTTTAACTTATAGTCAGGAAACGAAGTTTTCATTTTAGGTGGCACTGTAAAAGCCGGACAAAAATATTCCCTCCAAAAAGCTGAAAAATGTTTTTCAATCAAAAACAATTTTTTTCTAATGTAATTTTAATGCCATCTAATTATACATTACCTCATTATGCACTAACTATGACAAAATCACTGATGTGCTGCACTTACCTTTGGTTCATTGATCACTTCTGATGTAGCGTTCAGCATTCCCTGCCAAATTCTCGAGAGATCTCGAAGGTTGAAGACATAATGGAACTTGGCGGGCGTGGGCAGCATTTTCAGCTTGGTAACCTGCCACAGCCTGCGGGTCAGCGGTACTAGCTTGGATACTGTTTCTTTTACATCTTCTGAAAATCCTCGCTCACTACAATAGTGCCCTTCTCCAATTACACCTTTGGAAAAGAAAATTGCCAAATGACAGGTTTTCTAAAATTCATTACTGCAACATCAAGGGCTATGATCTTTTCAAGCATATCTGTTCCTTTTTATTTCCTTTTTTTCTTTTTCTTTTTTCTTCTTTTTTTTTTTTTAACCCCTTTCTTTCTCTCATCTTGATTCAGTTGGTGTTGCAGAATCTTGTGCCACAAACACACCAGATATTTAGCTCTTACAAAGCATTTGTATAGTGAATCACTTCACTGAGAGCACTGTGATCCTGTCTTTTTCTGAAAGTCCGGTCATTAGCACCTTGCTCTTAACACCAATAGCACCTTTGCAATTCTCCAGCATTGTCACCAAAACAAGGAGCAGCCTTCATCCATTTCTTCTTAACTCTGGCATACAAATAGATTCTGAGGTCTAACAATTTACACATAATTAAGTTGCAGGTGCAGAGGGATTACTGAAAGAAAAATATGCCCCTAAGCAAATTAGAGAGGGATTAAGTTTTAGTGTTAATAATAATGTTTACACATAGAGGAGCGGGAAAGAAAAAAAGAAAACAAACCTAGTATTTCCAAAAATCATATGGATACAAAGCTAATTTTTCTTTACCAAAAATTTTGTCAATAGAAGAATTAGAAGGCAGAGTACAGTTGAACACAGAAAACTGTCTCTTGAGTCTCTGTGGAATGTCATTGCGACCTCCCCCAGGATGGATCATGGCAGCCAAAAACTGAATGTCCACAATGTTGGTAAATTCTCCAGGCTTTTCCAGGTTATATAGTCCATTTTGTTCCATGAGCTGCCTAACTATCTCATTAGTGACCTGTAAAATAAGCAGGCAGTATGCAACAGAACACAAAAAAATGGAATAGAAAACATACTTCTGTGCTTGAATGTCCCAATATAGAATATAAATATTATTTTCTCTCTAAAACTCCCACTTTTGTGTTTGTTTTTTTCTGTAGAAAAATGTACTGCTGCAAATAATTTAGACAGTACTTTTCACTGATAATACCTATGAAGAATAATCCTTGTGGAAGAAAAGAATTCCTGATTTAAAATTAATCCTTCATATCTCAGTTCAGTCTCACTGGAACACTGCATGATTTCCAACATAACAGTATTGAAAACAGTTTCAATACTTCTCCCTTTTAACATAAAATTTCCAGTTTTCACAAGCTCAACCTCATGTATCTTTACATGTTGCATCTGATACCAAGTATTTTGACAAAACTTCCATGTGCAACAACAGCAAATATGGTTTTTCAAGCTGCAAACGTTGGATTACTTCCATAAAAAGCAATGCAAGATTCTTTTTATCAGATATAGATGAGGCCCCCTTCTTAATCCTATAGAGAGTTTACTATGGGAGTATTTTTCTCTAGAAATTCTAACATTAGTTTCCAGAGCATTATACTTCAGAAGTACCTTATCAATGCAGACAGTGATTACTTCAGTTTTTTTCAAAAGCAGATCGTTGTGTGTCACAATATTTTAATTATCACCTACACAGTCATGATATGTGTGCCAAGAGGTTTTTTTGTCTAACTGAAGGTTTTCAATTTTGTGAGCAATAAATGAATATCATAAAAAACAATTCTAAAATCATACAGCCATATTTCATGGAATACCCAACCATCTAAGTGAGCCTCCCCAGGGCTCAGTTCTAGTTCCAGTTTTTATCAGTGATCTGGACGCAGGATTAGAGCAAATCCTCAACAAATTTGCTGATATTAAACTGGGAGGTGCTATTAACTCTCCGGGGTAACCAGAGGCCTTGCAGAGAGACCTAGACAGGTTGGAACACTGGGTGACTAGCAACAGCATGAACTACAATAATGGAAAATGACAAGTTTTACACCTGGGACAGAGTAATGCCAGATTCAGGCATAGACAGGAGATGAGTGGCTGGAAAGCAGCTCAGCAGGAAGAAATCAGGAGGTGCTGGTGACAGCAGCTCAGTATGAGCCAGCAGTGTGCCCTGGCAGCCAAGGGGCAAGCTGCGTTCCAGTGTGCATAAGCAAGAGCAAAAGCAGCCAGCCAGAAGAGATGATTCTCCCACTGTATTTACTGTTGGTGTGGCTTTGACAATGCTATTGAATATTGTGTGTAGTTGTGGCCACCACAATATAAACAGCATGTTAAGATCCTTAAAAGTGCCCAGAGGAGGACACCAGAGCTGGTAATGAGGCTGAAGGCATTGTCTGTGAGGAGACCTTGAGGACATTACACTATCCAGTCTGGAGGAGAGGACGCTCAGAGGTGACCTCACTGCTCCTTGCAGCTCCCTGAGTAGGAGAAGCAAAGGGAGGTACCAGGCTCTGCTCCTGGTCAATGATGGCAAAAAGGGAAGGGCATAGGACTGCTAGAGACAAGATTCAGACTGTGCACTAGAAACATTTTTTTTTAATCAAGAGGGTGGTCAAATGCTCAAACAGGCTTCCTAGAGAGGTGTCTGTCAGTGCTCAAGAGGTATTTGGATAATGCTCTCAGTAATATGCTTTAACTTTCAGTGAGCCCTGTTGATATCAAGCAGTTGGTCTAAGTGATCTTTGAAGGTCCCTTCCAACTGAACTGTTCCATTTTATTTTAGCTGCTTATTTAGTCAGTATATTTATTCTACTTTAGTTTATGAAAACATAGAGCTGCATGTGTTCTTTAAAAATACCATTTAAAAATCAAGTATACGTACCTAGTTTACTCCCCATTGGCTGACTGAAAAGGCATTTTGCACTGAAACAAAGAAAGGAAGAAAATAGCCTTTCCCATCTTATTTTCTCTTTTACAAAACTAACCTGATCTCCCCATTCATTTATTATGGGCATATTCACATCATCAATGAAGACTGTCATCTTTTTGCCTGCAGGTGGACCATATGTTGTGCCCATGCGCTTGTCCATGTAACTTTCTATTGTGCGCTGTTAAGAAACAATTATCAGAAAAATTAAAAAGAGCCACACTTTTTCATATGAGTCACTCATTTAACCACATTACAGGTAATTATATAGTATGTGTAACTCTTGTTACACAGAATTTTACAAAGGAAAATTTATACAGCACTAAGTGCTGTTGGTAATAGCAGTAATCCAACTGGAACACCTGAAATATCATGCTATACCATGAGGTTGGTATAAAATATTCCAAATATTAAGTTTAGACAACTGTGCCTCAGTTTCGTAATTTTGAAACCACCTCAAATTATTTTCCAATTTCAAACTTGTCAGTTTGCTGAGCTTCTCAATTTTAGAATGGTATTTTAACACATAATTAACACACTTGTTTGAGACTAATGCAAATAAATGAGAATCCATGAGGCTTAATTTTGTGTATATAAACATTGAAATGCACTGAGAAATGTTTCAATTTCAGTGATGCTAACGAGGATCATAAAGAGTATGCAATATCTTCATCTACATTTGTATTCTACTGAACTATTTTATAGTCCATGTAGTTGAGGAGGACCTTAGATAATCATTGCATCCACTTGAGGTTTAAGAGAAGAGTATTCATCTTGAGATAGAGGGGAAAGCAAAGGAGGAGAAGTAGAGAGGAAAAGCGTAGAAGGGCAGTCATGACATCTGTTTGAGATGTCATGCCAAAACTTCCAATTCTGAAATTCAGTTTTTTTAATGCTAGTTGGGCAGTATGAGCTCCACCAAAGCTTTTAGCACTACTTTTTGACTTATTCGACTGAATAATGCAAAATATAAAACTTTTAATGAATTTTAAGAATCTTTTATTGTGATACATATTCATTTTATCTATCCTCTGTCAGTTCAACCACCTGCTAGCTAGCATCTGTAAATACTGAGAATAACAAATTAAATATCTGTTAATATTGCAAGATCAAACTAATAATCTGTCAGGTCTGACAGAAGCGATTCTTAATGACCTTTCCAGTAGACATCAATACACTACATAAAATCATAAGGTGATAATTATATTCATACATGTAAACTGAATAGACTTAATGAAATCATTTTATTTTTTTTAGAAGCATGCTTGCCACCACTATTTTTTTCAGCTTCTCACCATGAAGCCAGCTTACAGATGACACCTCAGGCTCAGGGACAGGACTTATGCTTACAGCACAGACAGTGCTTAAGCTAGGCAAACAGAACTATATAATAAACATTCACTAGATACATGCAGATAGTAGGTTAAGGAATCTTGAAATAAATCTAAGTAGCTCAGCAGAAATTTGGACAGGCAGCACAATTCAGGATTTAAGTATTCAAGGCTCTGTTTAGAGCAGCTGTGCTGCATGTGTTACTTTTTAATGAGTAATGTAATTTACTTCAAATTGCAGACAGCACAGACTTTATGACAGATTGTTGTGGGTAGCACTTACTTTACACATGGGTTTTAGTGAAATCTAAGGAAAGTCGCTGACAGCTCTACCCAATTAGTGAGAACCACTACATCTGACGTAAAATCATTAAGTATGGTGAAGCAAATAATAGGCATGTAATAGTCTAAGAATAGCTCAACAACTAGTGAGACGGTTTACAGAAGTCTTTCAAATCAAGTGCCTTGTCCATCTGAGTAGGTAATTTTTTGTTTCTGTGCTCATTTGCAGCTAAATAGACCACTTTCAGAAGTATCTTGCCAACAAATTCTCAGTACCTCCATTAATCTCTGAATCCAGTCACATACTATTGGAGAGTGAATGACTACTATACCTGGAAAATTAACGGAGTAGTTGCAGAAGAAAAATTCAAACTCTTAGCCATGTGGCTTTCGGGGTTATATTTCGACATAAAACATTTGATGATAACAGTCTTTGCAGTTCCTTGCTCACCAATTAGTAGAACAGCCTAGACAAAGACAACAAGGAAGTAAGATAACACATAAGAGCGGTGTATTTTGGCAAAGCCTCACTAATTCCACATATCTTCTCAACAAAGAACATGTGGAAGCAAAATAGCTAACATTTCATAGGCCTTTGCAGGCCTCAATTGTTCACCTTTGGCAGCAAATGGTCTTGTCACTCACTACAATTTAAAGAACAAAGAAGGAGATTAAAAAAAAAATGATGTACCATCTAGAGCCTCATTATTTGAACCACTTCAGTCACTGGTGTTATTTACCATATCCTCCTTATTTGACAATTTCAGTAATGAAAGAGTTTTATTCTTTAAAAAAATGTCTATGAATTCTGTCATTGACCCGTCTGGACAGAGTTCCTAGCAATTGAGCCTGGCGCTCTGCTATTCTGGGCTCTCTTCTGAACCACTTCTGTTCCACCATGGCTACACTGCATTCCCATTATTTCTGGAATAGGATGGATGGATGGTTGGAGGGACGGGTAGTGAGAAGCTACAAAAGGCTGAGAGCAGTGAGAGTAATAGAATTCAAGTATATTCACATGAATACAGCTCCAGAATCACGATTATGGTTTTTTATCACAAAAATGATGTTCTTCCTTTTCAGTAATTTCCTATTTCTCTCCTGATTCAAAAACTCCACCATGCATACTATTAGCAGTATTTAGATGTGAAATGCAGATGAAGTACCTTGCCCTGTTTAGCAATGGTTTCAATAAGGAAATCCATTCTCACGTTGTCAACATTTGGCACAAGAATGGAGCTATACTCTGGCGTGCTGCTACTAGGATATACATACTCTTCAACACGTGTATTCCAGTGCATCCAATTACCTAATAGGAAAGAACTAAAGTTAATGTTTATAAAAACTAGATATTTTCACTTATTTTCTATCAATTTGATTTCTCTGTGAGTTCCTCTTAAGTAGAATATTCTCACTCCATAAATACAATTTATCTGTCTCACTACTCTCAGACCCCTGAGAGAAGCAACAAGATCCACTGTTCCAGCTGTTTCCTAAAATTATGACAAGAACATGATTTTCCAGCTTGACTATTTATTCACTTGATAATTCATTCACACAGCCCATGTAGCTTTCTGTAGCAATATTTCCACATTATGATTTGTCAAAGGGAATAGAAAAAAAGCTTTATACAATAACACCAACATAAAGTGCAACTGTAAAACAAAAAACAAGGTAACTTACAAAAAATATGTCTAAATTAATAATTGAAAAGCAAAATTTAAAAAAGAAATTCTAAGTTCTACCCCGAAGTACTCAAGTGGGTAACTAACCATCAGATGCCACATAATAATCAAATATGGTATTTTCACTGCCTTCTGGAATACAGGGAAGATCAAGCTTTACTGTTGCACAGTTTCGAAGCCAGTGCTCCATTTTGCATCTGTCTTCCAGTTCTAGTAATGCTCCTATGCTCCACATAAGAGAGAAGATATACAGCCTTTCCAAGTATTTTGCAGTCAGTTCCGCACCTTGCTCCTGAAGGATTAAGTTAATTTTTTATTATCAATAGCCTGAAAATTCTGCTTGATAATCACTAGAAACAGTAGGTTAGAAGCCTTCAGTCATGTTTAAATTTAATGATGCCTTCATCAACAAATAGACTGAATAATTATCTAGTGGACTACAAAATAGAGAAAACGATCCAGCAAATACCCCTTTTAACGACCCATTACACTGTTTGATCTGTTTAAATTCTAGTTTATAATCTGGTAACATCTCTTTGGAAAATAAAAAACACCCCAAAGGAAAGCTGCTGATGCATGCTTTGTGTGAAAACCAAATCCAAATGTGAAAAGCAGGCACAGGCCTACTCTTGCTTTAAAATGAAAGAAAATATTCCCAACAACCTGTACTTTCATTAATACCCCAAGAATCCAAAAAAATCTCCTTTCTATATAACTCCATGACTTAATTTTTTTTCCGTTAGATTACGAAAATATAAAAAATCTGCACTACTTTACCTTAGGTGGGATAAGGCCCTGCATCATATTAATGCTCTGCATAATCACAAAGGCTTCCAGCATCTCAGTCTTGCTTTGCAGAGACTGAATGCTAAAGCGATATAAGTCTGGGAATGATGAAGAGTACAGCCCACGTAGAATTTCAGCTTCTTGAAAAGAACGCCTTTTCAAAAAACCCTGCATAGCAAGAAAATAAATGTTATTTCAAACGCAAGATAATAAAGTCAATCTCTACTAATTCAAAAAGTCCTACAGACATGGGAAATTGATATCTCTTCGGGAAAGTTGATTTCTCTTGTTGTAGGGCTCAGATTCCCTGCCTTTTGGGCAGAGTTTGGCAAGCAGAAGGTGGATGTGGAAATAAATAACTCCTACTGGATGTGGATAGAGAAGCATAAAAAGCATTCGCTGTTTTAAACAGCAAAAAAAATAATTCTTTCAAATATATATATATTTAAATCACAACAGCTGTGATTAAACTCCGCAAAGAAAGAATATGCATTTAACAGAAGTTTCATTTTTTCTGCACAATGTTAGCTTTTAGCTGTGATAGAGAGAGCCTCAGAAACATCTGGAAGGTGGAGAGAAAAAGGTTGCATTTCAGGGAGGATGTCTGCTGAGTGTCCATAAACTTATGCTGTGTGCTTGACTATTAATAGTATTTTTATTGTGCATCCCCATATATGTTAAAGTGGGTAAACAAAATATAATTAAAACTGCTTTATAAGGTCACAGAATGGTATCTGTGCTTTAATGCCTTTAGCTTAAAGTTACGACCTGCTTCTTAGAGTTACTCTGAAGTCTTCCCTCACCTGGGTGGTAGAATTCTTTCTTATTTCCCATCAGTTTATTTCCTATATAGAATACACATTTTTAAAAACACTTGCAGGTGCTTCTCCAAAATTTATACTAAATGTTGGAACAAATTGAAATAGAGTAAATACTATTTCAACATGGCTTTTTTGGTGCGCCTATGGTGTTACACTGGAACAGGGTTCTAGGGCACTTCTGGAGTTTTAGCGTATTGAGATTCTCAAAACTCAGCTGGATATCCTTTGCAATCCACTTCAGCTGATCTTTTTTGAAGTAGGCTCAACTACATGGTCTCCAGTGACCCTTTCCAACCTCACCTATTTATGCACTTCTGTGATTCTCTTTCACACGTCTACTTTCATTATTTTCTGAAACTCAATTTTTCACTGCCCAAAGTAAATAACTTATTACAAATAGGTAGATGCATGAAAAAGCTTTCTGGAAACAGGTAGATGGAAAACAAAGAGTTAAAGATTAAATGGCAGCACTTTTTAAAACAGGTAACTGGAACTTGACCAGTTGTTCAGAAGATACTAAGACACAAAAGCTGATAAAATATTGTTTTTTGAAGAGGTTGATGACTTTGATCAATTTGTAAAATCTGCTTTAAAGTATATTAGACAAGACTACCAATGTAAAATGTTTTAGATCTCTTTCAGCAGTTGCTTATGTATTTATATTTAGGTATTTATAGATTATGACAGAAAATCTAAATATATACAATGCTTTCTTGAGCTACCCATATTTTTTTAAATTAATTTTCAAAGTTCTTCTGTTCTTCAACCAATACTGCGTTTCCTTCTGCATCTGAAAAATAGGAACTAAAGAAAGAAAATTCCACTTAATTCTGTTGGAAAAATCAGTAAATCCTTTATTAAAAAGAAAGAGAGAAAGAAAGAAAACAGCTTCATGTTTCCCTTTGTTCGTTGCTGCCACTGAAACAAAAGATTGAATTAGTGAAACTTCCTTTGTTCAACACTTAGTCCAACACAACTTCATTTAGTTTCTGTACCACTCTGAAATGATGAGGTAAACCAGGTCTGATAAAGCAGAATGCCCATTTTCTTTGTTTTTGCTGTATTTTCTGATGAATCCACAGCTCGATTTAAACTGAAACATTCTATGAGTGTTGTGTGCAAATAAACAGGAGAGAATACCAATGCATGGAGGCAGAGCTGTGCAACCCTAACATCAATACGCCTTAGGCAGTGTTGTAAGTATACAGAAACTGGAATCTCACGGGAACCACTGTCCTAGATGCATAATTTTCACTTACACTTTTCCAAATAGCCATATGAATTTAAAAAAATAAAACAATTAAAAAGCACAGTGTTGCAGTAATATACATAAGGCACTTGTGTTCTCTGCATTTGTTTGCCTTGGTAAAAATTGAGGAACAGTCAAATTATTAGAAAACTTACCAAAAAGTATTTTTGGTCTTGGTAAATATATATATATATATAAAATAAATTATTGATGATTGTCAAGTGTTGCAACAACTGAACAGCTAGATTCTTATGACTTCATATGAAGAGAAAGGAGAACAGCTCCTAGACACTACCAGACAGAATGGTGGAGATCATAAACAGGCTGGAAAGCAGAAAAAATGAATATTTCCTGTTGTTCCCAATCTTTGAGCACTGCAAAGCAAATATATTTCTGAAATCATGGTGAAAATTTTGTAGAAATCTGCTCTCGCCTTAGTTTTACTAGCAAAAGAACAGTTTCTTCTGTCTTTTTGTTGTTGTTGCAATAAAATAATGAATACCCAAAAATTTTAGGTCAGAACGCTAGAGGTATTTTACTCAGGTAGAAAAAAATAATGTATTAAAATAACTAGGAAAGAATATTTGATTGCATCACTAATCTGACAGGGGCAAAAAAAAAAAAAAAAGAAAAAAAAAAAAATCAAGAAAAAGATCCAGACATTCTTTCTTCTGCTTCTGGTTGAATTTCACTAGGTGAACAGGATTGTAATTGCCTAGCTATAATATTCATTTGCAGTTTTTAGTTGAGTTTGTATTACAGGTTGGTGTGAACCTTACTGAATTATCAAGTCTTCTCAACTCTTCCCAGAACTTCACCAGACTCATGCTCAGGACACACCTCCCCCAGGGGCTTCACCACCTCCTACTCCTCCCTGAAGAGCACCAGGCTTTGTCTGCTGCTCAGGACCTGAACTGATAGATACACCCTCTCTTGGTTTCTGTTTGCACTGAAACCTTCTATATGTTAAGAACAGCTGATCCAGGCAGTACCAGAGACCATCTCCTGGGGCACATCAACTTTTCCTGGATTGCCAGACAAATCAGGAAGTTATAAACAAGGAACCCTGTCAAAGACAGCTAGTAAGACTTACATGCATAAGAAGTTTTATGGGTTAAAAAGACAAGAAATCTGAGAATGTAGAGTAGGACCTCTAAAATTTGAAATGTCTGAAAATTAATACAAAGCCAACTGTATTTGTTTCTGACTAGTTAAATAGCATTGCTTAGATGAGCCTTAATTAAATTTTCCACAGGTATTCTCTACTTGAATTGGAAAATAAAAGAGAGAAGGAGATTATAAAACTCATTTTAAAAGTGATAAACAACTTCTTAAAAATGAGAACAGCAAAATTCAGTCCCTGAACTCACAGTAACCCATTAAGGTTTGTTGTTTTGAATCTGCAAACAGGGAGTAAATTATATTCTATTTTCTTAAACAGGAAGACTACATTATTCCTAGCTTAATAAAGTTGAAAGTCCAGGATGAAGAAATGTTAATTTAGGATTATACAGAAGAGAAGTACATTAACTTGGTTTTCAAAAGAAGCTAATTAAGTAGCTCTCATTATGAGAACAGGAATTAGTCTTAGAAAGAAGAAAGTTTCAATTTCTGATATTCATGAAACATTTCATGTTTTATCAAAGCACAAATCACCTAAAATTTTGGGAAATTCATTTTTTTATTGCAACAAAAATACCATCAATAAGACTGCCTAAATATGACAAAAAATGAAGATAAATAAATATTTATTTTAATTTAATGAAAGAAGCAAAAAGTGTTAATCCTGAGAAGCTTAGTTTATGGATAAATTTCTAAGACAATAAATGGCTTTATAATAAAAATAAAAGTAACTTGAAAACTTTTTTTTCTTTACTCCTATTGTCTCCACCATTTCAGAAAACTGGAGTTTAATGTTGAAAGTTCTGTTGAGAGATACTACTGGGCAACATTATGTTGATTCTTGTCAATTCTTGTATTTCATCTTAACCAAGACATTTATGCTCAAGTCTCTAAACGTGTCATTCACTATATTGATATCATTACTAGTGGTCAGTCAAGATGAGGACTTTTTTTTTTTTTTTATAAGCTTTGGCCATGTGGAAGACAACATGAACAAGAAAAAACCTTTACAAATCAGATTGAAATTTGAATATGTTATACACTGTTCTTCCCTCTAAAACACATCTGTAACATGTTCTGTTTTCCTAACAGTACCATTGGACACAAAACTGCAGAGAGAGAGCATAATCACTGCTTGCTTTTTTTTTTTCTTAAACATTTTGCTTCCAGGAATATTAAACTGACAATTTAACAGGTAAGAATACACATTTAAAAATCAAAATTTGTAAATCCTGCGTTGACTTTGTTTATGGTTCTAAATGCCAACTGCAGTCAAGTTTATGAAATATCAAGAGAACCTCTATTTTCTTGAGGACTGCAAGATTCCTGAACTAGCCTATTGGCTCTTTATTTTTCCTTGCTCTGAAATTATAGCAGAAGCTGCTACAAAGTTGGTATTTTGACACTGGACTTGCTCTTCAACTGCATAAAATACCTTGAATTACAAATCTGTTGAGATGTGAAACGTGCAAGTTTTTAAAAGTGTAGTATGTTGACTATGTTCTGAAAAAAATCCATCTTTTGTACAACCATAAACTCTGCTATTTTAAATTCTCAGATATAAATTTATACAAGACAAAAGCTGTTTCATATCTAACCACAAAATTAAGTCCTAAAGTAACAGCAATGAACTGCTGAATGCTAGAAATAAAGCTTTCCATACATAAGCAAATATAATTATTTGCTACTGTACCTCAAGGATAGGGCTCCAGTTGAGAACTGATGAGCTCATGAATACCATCCCATTCCTTGAGACTGTTGCTGGAGAAGCATTATCAATATTGTGAGGTTCAAAGACTATTTTACAATTTGGTGCCATAGGTATACGATCTCCATTTGCAAGTGTTAGAGTCCTGTTGTCATCCAGGACAGAATTAAGGTTCTCAATCCAAATAGCATCAACTGGACCATCAAGAACTATCCAGATGTGGTCACCTGCAGTCCAAAATGATTGACAAAAATGCCTATGAAAGAAGTTTCAGTTTCTTTCAAGGATCAGTTTCTTCTGTCTTTAAATATATTTTGCACTAATTCTGAATTCATGAACACGGCCACAATCTCATCTTTAAATACAATTTCCATTCGCATTACTCACTTTCAATTAAGTGCTTCATTTTTGTCACCTTACCATAATAATTATCCTTTGCCCAGTACATAAAGTGTCATAAGCATAATTCATCATTCTGTAATAGCCTGAAACACAGTTTTATGGATTCAATCTTCAGTTTAATAATAAATTGAGTTTATTTCAACTTACAGAAAGCAACATAAAGATAGAAACAATAGACCTATTTTAAACCAACATTCATCTGTTTCCAACATGCTAGTGAGATTAAATGAAAGAAACACTTGAAAAGCCACTCTCTCAAGTAGCAAGCTTAGTTTCATATCTAATGGAGGTCAATCAAGATTCTTGTTTTTTATACTTATGCTTATGAACATGACCCTGTTCCCTTTGAAGTTTCTCTGAAGTTTCCATTTAGTACTGGAAACGTATCTCAGCATCTGCATGTGTCTCCTAGGAGGAAACAAGGCCCTGCTTGCATGACTTAAATACTGGGTAACACTCTTGCCCTGGCAGCTCCCTTGGCTTCCAGCTCCCCACCTCTTAGGTTTCCAGCCCTGCTGGGCATTTCCAGATGGCTCTGTAGTCAGAGATCATTCCAATCTCATCTGCCTCAGAGTCCTTACTTCCTAAGCCTAGGTGCTGTATTGCTAGGCACAAACCAGGATGGTTCAGGCTAAGTAACCTCCTCACCTCTGAGCCAAATACCTTTGCATTTATAGTTTTTCATAACTACAGTGCAGGTTTCTCAGGCATGAGATGTTTGGGAGTTCACTTCATAAAGATGCGTTACTAAAGTATTGCAAATAGTGAATCTTGTTGAGAAAGTCACAAAAGTGTGCTAACTTAATATTCCATGTTGAGAGAAAAAACAGAATCAACATGCTACATTCTCATGGGTATTACATTTCCAAATTTGAAACAAAACTATTAAAATTAAATCCTTTTTTTTTTTCTATTGTAAGGAATCTGTATACTTAAAGAACATGAATTTTGTTGGAAAATTGAATAAACAATGTTAGATTTTCTTTATTCCTTTTCATTTCCAACTTTAGTCATATAGGCCTAATGATAACGTCACATACTAATATCCAGACACAAGAAAGAAGAATCTGTGTAGCAACAAGTTATCAAAGCCTTTACTTTAATTAAAATATCAGGCTAAGAATATGTCAAGATTACTTTATATACACCAGGCAGAAACTGATTGCCTAAAAGGAATTACCAGTGCCATTTGAGATGAACTATGATATGTGCAGGGCTACCAGATATGACACTACCAAAGGAAATTCACATCCTTCTGTTATGGCAGTTTGAAACCAGGTGAAAATGCTGACAACACCAAAATTTTGTCACAATTCATTGCTGGGGGAGAAGATTTTGATCTTTCACTTTTCTTTTGTACAAGAGCCTATCATGTCAAAGAAAGGGATCAGCAAATTCTGCGAAACAGTATTTGCTCTCCACAGTTTGAACATAAAGCACTTAGAATGGAGAATTTTCAAGTACAATTACACTTTTTTGTCATACCTTTCTTGGCTCTTAATGTTTTCCTCCAGAGAGAGGAAAATATTCCATCTGTCCAATCATTTGTTGCTACATCAAGACGACCAAACATCTGCGGTGCCGTTATAGCTTTAGGATTCATTCTCATTTCACGATGTGGCTGTCCACAATCTAGGCAAGCACACTACCAGTTAGTTTTGGTATTTACACTCAGTAGGCAGAAAACTTTTAAAAATTCAAAAGCTTTACATCCAAATGGATAATTTAATAAGTATTCAGGATTGTAAGAAATGGTGTACTTTTTGGTAAAGTTCGTAGCTGGAAAAAACTGATAGAAGTAGCAGCTACTTTATAATGCAGATGAAGACACTGTCTTGTTAACTGTGTTCAAAAAGGAAAAGGGCTAAGTACTTATGATGATGAAAAGCTTTGAGCATTACTTCAGCTGAATCTGTGAGACACTTCAACCACTTGTTCCAGCTGCCTACCCAGACAGCACTGTTCTCAGTGTCACTAGAATAAAAATTTCTGATGTATGCAAAACTGGATCTGTATGTTATATGACTTTGAATGTCAGTGAGGTGTTTTTAAAAGATACCACCACAATACTATTTAGATTCACAATACATTGAAATTAATTTTTCCATTAACTTATCCTCACAGTGATATAATTTAGGCTTTCTATAAAGAATCAAAGCAAAATGTTACAACATTTTATAGTAAAAATGCTCGCACACCTGTCATGGCTTTCATCAAAGTGTGGATACAAGCAGTTTTTCCTGAACCACTGGGTCCTAAAGTCATCAATCCATGTCTTACTCTCTGAGTTTCAAAAAGTTGGATAACTTTCAGTTTCCAAGGAGGATGACAAACAAGTCCAGCATCCTCCACCTACAGATAGTGTCAGAAATACAAAACACCACTATTTCAGTCCACAGGATATCTTGATATTTTATAAATATTTCATCAAAATAAAGTGTTTGCATATATAACAGCTATTTGGAAAAAGAAGTTATTTGGTGTTCAAATTTGTATTCAGTACAGTAAGCTCTGATAAAGTATTTTCTTTTTCTAGCTCTATGAGAGTTACTCTATCGTTTTAAGAAAAGGCAGGAACTTTAGAGACGCTCTTGCTAGCAATGTCTTTCATAGCTACTTAGTGTCATTCACTTACCTCTCAGAAAGGTTTTTTTTTTTATTATTGTTGACATTTCTAATTATAAAGTTCTTTAAGTGTCTCCAATACCCAAAAGTTCTTCTACAAAAAAAGTTGTTAGATATTTATCAGTGTACAGAGAGACCTTTGAGAAACTTCTTCACATGATCCTTCTGAGAAAAGATGTGATGTTTTCCCATTTTTTACTGGTTACAAGCTTAAATAAGTTATCTCACTACAATGACATTACTATTACTTGTGAAAGTGACTTAGCTGGAAATGAGTAAGAGAAAAATTGGAATAATTTCTAAAGGATTCAGACCACTGTATATGTCTTTGACTAAGTAAAAAAAAATTCTTAAAACTCACGATCATATCATACAATTGAAATTCCCAAAATAACAATTATAATTTATTTTAAAAATAATTTCTGTATTTAAAATATGTTCCAAATACGTTCCAATTTTAGAAAATGTTATCAGTAAAAAAAGCAGTAACCTTTTATTAAGAGTTGGGTGGGGTTTTTTTGAGTTTTTTTATTTCTCTTCTTTACTGTTACATAATTATCTGAGGAATTCTTCAAATTCTGGAGGAATGTTCAATAAAGCTGATTGTGTAAGTGTTCATACTTCATTAACCTTTTCTATTCCCACTGATGTTCTTATGCTAATCCTATTAGTGTTTCAAAAGATCTAATGAAAACCAAAATAGAAGAAATGCCATTTTCCTTAAGCTCATGTTCTCTGTTAGACTTCATACAACCATTAAATCCAGATTCACATAAAGGCAAATGTACACAGACATGTTTTCCAAACTGATCACCACAAATGATTCACACAGAAAACACAAGCTGTCACAATCACAATTCAGTGACATCTGTTAGAATAAGACTAATAATGACGTGCCAAGAAATATTTATTAGAGGTGGCTTATTGAAACGTCCACACCTCTTGAGTGAGAGAAGGCAAATAGTCCCGGTGGAGTTTGCCCTGGGAAATCCATTCCATGACTGTCCCCTAAGTGGCATGACCTGTGACCTTAGCTGTTAGCAAACACCAGGAGAGCCTGGTATGCCAACTCTAAGGAAAAAATAACATGGAATGTGAAGCAGAGTGGAGGTCCCGTGGCCAAATGTGATCATTCTGCAGGGATGGAGACTTGATGATACTGATGGAGCTGATCAATTATCTTATTTCTCTCAACCAGCCCCAAGCCAGCAGTTTTCCACCCTTTGGTCAAAAACAGGTTCTCTGAGTTAATTTTGTAAAACAAAGATATGTTTGACTAGAGTCACTCAAGCTCCACCTTAAAGTAAGAAAACAGTATAAAAATGGCTTAAGAGAGAAGGATTTCAGGGGAAGATACTATCACTGATAAGTCAGCAAGACCACAGTTGATTTTTGGGACCAGCTGACAGGCTGGGCCTCTCTTTCCGCTCATAGGGATTTCTACTGGATGAGATCTGCACACTCAGCAACATCAAGTGCTTCTGTGGGAAACTTAGAGGTCTCTATAGAGTTATTCCATAATTTAGGACAATTGCAGTCAGCTGTATTATTCGTGATCTTGGTTAATCTCACATGTTTTGCAGGCAATGTATTTGTCATTGCCAATCCAAAAGAATTTATAATCTGGTGATTTAACAAACTGGACTAATAACTAATCTAGCAGGAGAGTTCTCATTCGGTGTGGCTAAATGCCTTAAAAGCAGTTGTGAGAGCCTGTTTAGAATAATTGGTAGTGCATTATTTGTGAATCCTTAACAGCAATAACTCATATATTGAATTAGATCAGATTTATACTACTGAATTGGACAGTGCTCAGAATCTAAGCTAAGCTGCCCCTCTGATATCTGAGGATGAGCTGGAAAGAAACGGGGTTTATTTTCTGCCAAACTTCTTTTCCTTTTCACACAACACATGCCAATGGTAAAGACTGACAGAAAAGCTTACTATTACTGGATAGATTCAAAACCACTAATGTTCTTAGACAAGCCATCATGCTAGCAACACCACAAAAGTATAAATCAACAGAAATATTACCTGTTTGTCAATGGCAGCTTCCAGTTCAGGATAGCTTTCTTTATCAAGATGGATATCTGGAAATAGATCTTCAATTAAACTCAGGAATAAGGGTTCATCTTCATCAATCTAGTGAAAGTCAAAAGAAAAAAAAAAAAATTAAAACCTATTTTACTTTTCCAAGCATCTTGGAAGACAACCCTTAACCCCTGTGGGTTGAAGAAATATTTCTAAATGTAAGGAACCACCTATGGTAACCCTCCAGGTGGTAGACATACTAGCAGAACACAATAGAATGAGATCATGACACTTCCAATAATCAAAAGTAATTGAAAAGAGATTTCATTAACAATTTAAATCAGATGAAATGGTACTCATTAGTACAAACAACATTATTTTAAAATAATGATTAAATACAAGAAGCAGAAAACATTAGGCCAAAACTTCCATAGAGGCTCTTATATACTCCTATTTGGTAATGTATTTCTGAAGGTGCATTGGAAATACGTTTATTACAAAAATCTGAACAGGCCAAGTTATACAGGGAATGCAACATTTCCAAGATAGCATCAGAGTAAAAGGCCATAGGCAATATTCCAGTGAACACCTGAACAGATTTAAACTGTGTTTCCCAAAAATAAGTGGCTCTGAAGTACAGGCTAGTTAATTTACCAGATCCTCAGAGCTTACCAGTTTAGACAGGTTCATGTCTCTCAGCACACGCATAACTATGGTAGATTCAGTATCTGTAGGATTTGCTCTTTTTGCTGCTCCTAATGTGCGTAGCACTGACAATATATTCCGTAAGCCAAAATCATAATGCACCTAGAAGATACAGAAAGTTTGGGAAAATATTCTCCTAGTTTGTAGGGATGAAACAATTCTTTTTTTTATCATTTAAGGTATAAGAAGTGATACATGCAGCACAAATGTCTCCTAACATCTGCTGTGGGTTACTCACAACAGATTCTCAGCACCACACAGTCACTCCTTTAGGGGGATGTCAAAAAGAACTGGAATGCTAAAAGTGAGAAAATTTTAAGGTTGAGATAATGGCATATTAATAGGTAAATACACAAATTAATACTAATAATTTGTGTCACTATTTATAATTTTTCCTAAAGATAATTCTTTCCTCAAATGAAAATCACCTGCTTTGATAGCTGTTCTTCACAGAACTTGTACAATGTAAAGAATTTCCTTGCCAACACAACATTAGCAATAAAACCACAACTAGCCAACTTGACACGAATTATAATTTGACGATCAGGAACCATCATGGCCACTGAACGGAAGTTGATCTTCAAGTTTTCAGGAAGTTCTTGCCGTCCAGCATATCCTGGATTCTGGAGAAAATAACAATTTTTGAAGTTAATTGCATCTTGCACAAGTTGAAGAAACAACAAAGGAACATATTATCTCATTAGACAATGGGTGTCCAACATTTTGGCTTACCTGGGCTGCATTGAGAGAAGAGTAATTGTCCTGGTCCGCATATAAAATATATAAAAGTTAATGTATATAAATAATGAAACATTTCATTTTTTATATTTTTACAAAAACATTTTATTTTAAAAGAAGGAAAGAAAAAATATAAAACTAGTGGAATACTTGATCTTGTTTTTGCAAAACTAATGCATCAGTGTCTGGTTTGATGGAAGTGGTTGCAATTATCAGTAAATTCTCAAGGTTCTCATCAGAGATTTTTGATCTAACATTTATTTTTGTGCTTCATCTTTGAAAACAGTTCATAAATGGATGTGCTGCCAAAAAGTGATTACATGAATAAGATATGATTGAAGTGAGGGGTATTTTTCTCTGGTAAGAGAGGCCTTACAAAAGTCTGGTAAAGAGACATAATCAAATTTTTCTTTGAGTTGAATGTCTGGCTGCAACTTTATACATTTCATTTGAAAATCTGAAGGTAATGTATTTATGTTAACTGAAAGTGGAGTTGCAAATATACCAAAAAATTGATGATTTTTTTTTTTTTTTTTCAGATTTGTTTACCAAAACAGAAAGCACAGCTACATATTTTCTACTGTACAAAGGACAGTCTTCATGTTCTGGGATAGATTCAGATTTTCATGTTCTGGGATAAATTTTCCTTTTGATTCCATAAATGACTTGATTTCATTTTGCAAATCACAAAATCTTTTCTTTTTTTTTTCTTTTCTTTTACCTTTACTTCGCCACCTTGCTTCAGCAAAGTAAAGGATGTCCCCATGATCAGCTTCCAAACTTTTAAGGATCTCCTGAAATAGGCAGTGATTTAACCCCTTGGACTTCATGAAATTCACAGATTTGATGACAATTTGCAGAAACGTTAATCCAATAGACGTTGCAAAACTATTTAAAATCATATTTTATACTTCCTCTGAGCTTTTGAAGATGTAAGAGTACTTTGGATGTTTCTTCCACAGTGAATGTGTTAACTTATTAAATTACATTAAGAAATGACAGAAGCCCAAGTTTAATGATTAAATAAAAAAACTTACACATCTGCTTAACAACAAAAAACACGTGTCTGCACAGGTGTAGATGTTATTGAAATATTATTATTGCTAACCACTGTGTTTTATTTGTCAAAGTCATGAAAAATATCACAGAAGAAGTTTACAATCTTGCACGGTCACATTACTGGTTGTCCGGGGCCGCAGGAGGCAGCCAGTGGGCTGTGGGTTGGACACACTTAAACAAAAGTCATTTTAAAGCTTTAAATTACATGGAAAAGGTGAATTATCAGGCAGATTGACCATCATATCCCTACAGCATTTTAGTCACTTTATATCCACAAGGTATGAAAGATGTTATACCCAAACACTCCAAATCTAGATTTCACATGTCTTACAAGTCCTGTTTTGACTGGTTATTTCCAACTAAATCTCTACGGTCATTTTTCTACATTTGTAATAAAATGCATATTTCGGGAACACAAATGTAGCATTCAGAAGTTATGGGACACTTAGATAACTTGCCTTTATCAGAATGGCTACTGTAGCAAATCAATTTCTTAACTGAAGATGTTTGATGTCAGTGAGAAAAGACTGAGTAAACCGTCTTTGTTGTAATACTTACTCCTCAAATTGTCACTGAGTACAAAGAGCTGACTGACAGAGTTAGAAAGTGCAGGTAACATACTAGTTTAGAAACAATCATACAATTATCACTGGTGTTTGCAAACCTACTGAATACGTACCATAGTAAGAAAGATGCCAAATTCCGGGTTCATTTCCACGTTATCTCCATCAGTGAAAACAAAGCTTTTCTTACGCTCTTTCTTGCATGTCAACACAATTGCAATTTGCTGTGCAGCTACTGATAGTACTGGTAAATCAATACGATTGAATTCATCAAAGCAACCCCAGGAGCCAGATTGAGCAAGACCTTCAAAGAAAAGAGCAACTAAGTATTTGCCCAGAATGTTGGTAATCCTTTTTTCCTGAGCTCCTCTGCTCAGGAAAAAAAAATTCTGTTGAGACATTGGGAAAAGGAAAAGCAAGAATATACAAATTTTCAAAAATCTATAAGCCCTTCTTGGACACAACATGATTAGATCTCTGCTTCTTCTATCAGTATCTTCAACATTTTCCTGTTCCTCTGTACCCAAAGAAAATCTCTGTAATAAATCTTTGAAAATATGACAGGATATCAATAGCTTATTTTTCAGATTAAAATAAACAGCAAAGTCAGTTTCATTCAGAAAAAAAGCTGAGGGTCATTCTGTGCCAATGTTCCATTCATCCTCGGGTATTATCAGGAGGGGGGAATCATCATCAAAATTGCACCAAGAAAACAGTCAAGGACCTCCACATGATCTCTAACATGTCATCTGCAATCACTGATGGATATCACCTTCTGGTGCCTTCTTGTATCTATCTACCATCCGTAAGGTATGCCAAGACTTGGTTTAAACACATATACTGCTACTCATTCATTTCTTTCAAATGACAAGAACTTTGACATTTGTAAGGAGAAAAAAAAAAAACTGAAATAAGAAACCAACACATTCTATTAATACACAGCTTTTTCTTTTTGTATTGATAGTCCTCCTTGATTATTTTAAAGATATTTATATATCCTTTCATAAGCTGTCTAATCTTTTCAGACTTTCCTATTTCTTGGAGTGTTGCAATGGTATTTAACATTAACAAGGTATTCATTACTTGCAGTTATTAAAAGGCAGAGAATCAGCTGCTGATTACATGTTGATCTTGATTTATAAAGCCATTCTCTGAGCATTTGTAACTCATATAGTCCACATCTTACCTTTGAAGATCCTCCCAAGTCCTCGGAAATCCATCTGATCTGAACAGTTGAAGACAACTACATATTTACCAAGGCACCGTCCCATATCTTTGATGGTTTCAGTTTTTCCAGTTCCTGCAGGCCCCACAGGTGCTCCACCCATATTCATGCCTAAAGCTTGAGCCAGAGTGATGTAACATCTAGAAGGAAACAAGCAATTATTACCTAAAGGACTGAAACATATGGTTTTCTGTGCAGTGCCAGAGGCTCTTACTCAAGTATGTCATGAGGAAGGCTTTGTTGATGGAGATGAGGAAGTGCAAAAATGCATGTGAATATGATTTAAATCAATCAGAAGAAAAACCATGATGTGAGTAGTATTACGATTAGTCTCCTCAAATATAAAGTGGAATATGCAGAATGAAAGAAAAAATTACAGAAAATCTCCATAATCCATTTGGATAGCTTAGTTCCTACGTTACTCAAGCTGATGCAGCTCTTAACTATGTTATACTGTGGAGTACAATAATGAAAGAGAGCTATTTTTATTTTGCTACCCATCTTTAAAATTTGATCATACAATGCATCTCATTTTCACAAACAAAACCTATGTGATGTAATAAAACATGTCCTATCAATTATATATAAATAGAAGCTGTAGAATTTGCTATGTCGTTTAAAAATATTTTCTTCAAATCTCTTATTTTGTTACTGTTTATTTATAAATCACTTTGTGTTATTAGTTAGATGAGCGGATCTTTCCTTTAATAGTCTTGCAATTACTGCTACATCCTTCTAGATCAAAAACCTGCAATATACTGCAGCTGAATGAAATTAATTTCCCTGTTTATTCTTACTTAGCTATTACCATTAGCTTGCTTGTAAACACACACCTTTGTCCTCTATCTGAATATTGTATCTGTTGGATGTATCTGACCCACAGTTTTATTAGTATACATGAGGATCATAGTGTCATGCATCATATGCATGGGAAACATAAGCTTGTGGCAGAAATAAACCTTATTATACATATAAACAGAAATATTCCTTATTATACAACACAGAAACAAAAATATTAAAGCAAATTTATTGGCTTCAGTAAGACTGTGATGGATAAACTCTGCAGAGATCCATTTTGCATCCAGAAAGTATGACTGAGTCGCTCATGTAAAAGACCAGATTTGGAGTCAAAGAAAAAAGGAATAAAATCAGTCTTTGTCACCTGTCTGTAAGAGGTGTGATGACAAGCCTGTCAGTACAGCCCAAGAATTCATTCTGGTATGTGAAACCCACATCAGTGATATTAATCATCATTTTATCATCATCTTCATTAAAATAAAATCTACACTGTTTCAGCCACTCAAAGTCTGTAGGACTCTTAATATGCATGCAAACCTTAAAAAAGAAAAAGAGGAAAAAGACAAGACTGGTGCAACATTTACTCTTGCATTTGTGTTATCTAAGTAGTATGTAAAGGTAGCACTACAAGCACATTGGAAGGCAAAGTATATCCTAGTAACACAAGAATTGTGGAGATCTTACTTTGATTATTACCACAAACATTCTTGAAGTGTTACTGCTGTCTCTGAAACTATGCTAAAAGCAAAGGAAATAGCAAAGTACAAATCTACAGTTCAATTCACACAATCAATCTTCAACTCTATCATTTTATTTTTACATCTGAGGAAATATAATATGACTTGCTGCTTTATGTAAAAACACAAAAGTCATTCTGTATGCAAAATGGAAGAAAATGATATTTTAAGACAATGAGATGCTGTGAAGACATTAGTCAAGAAATTCAACAGAGCTGGAAGGTGTTCAAAATTGACCAACTGTAAAGTAACTAAAAATGATACTTTTCATAAGATCGCTGTTAAGATGATTTGAAGTCGAAACAACGGGTCCTATTTTGGCACCTACCTATCAGCAGTGGGTAAAAAAAAATCAGTAATCCCTTCCTCAGACAACATAATTTCAGTCAAACCCAGAGCTTCCTAAAGAGAAAAGGCATGCCAAGATTTTGAATGTTTAAGGAGTAAATGCCTTCGTTTTCCTAATTTTAGTATCCTGTGGCAACATGAAAAGGTGTGAAGTGAATAAATAAATCCCTAAGTAATAAGATATTCTATTGAAACTAGAACAGAGATGACAGCAGCTTCAACCAACTTCAAGTCTTCTTCTGTTATTATAATACTACCTATTCTGTTTATTCCTTCAGAATCACAATGTAGCCCACATAAAGGACGATTACTTTCAACACAGTATACAAGAAATTTTTTTAACTGACCACACAACAGCAGCATCTAACTTAGATTGGCCAACACAGAACATCATAAAATTCTTCTATTGCTGGGGCAGACCACAACACAAAATTTCCTATAGAGAAGCTGTGACATGGATTGAATAAACTCCAACATTTCTGTAAGACTCAAGTCACAACATCATTACAGGCCTTACAGAAATTATTTGGCTTAACAGGCAGGCATTCATATGTCACAGCTGTGCTGTCTACTTGACATTTCATACTGTTTTACATGGCTACCACCTCATAACCCAGTACATTTTTCAGTACTTACCAGACCATCGAAGATGTCCCTCTGATGCACGTGAATAGTGATTAATGTCTCATATTTAATTCGTTCGACTGGGTTAAGGTCTTTTGTTGTCATATCTATCAATGTGTTTAGAAGATCCAGGAAAAACTGGTTTGTCTTTCGCATAATTTTTTTATCATACCTGGCATTAGTCAAAGCTTCCTCTGAGTCTCTTGTCCAAATCATTTGGATCCCCAACAACCCAACCTTAGGAAATATAAAATGGTATGCTTCATCTTTTCACTTTCCTCTTAAATGAACATTCACAGACACAGATAGTAATAAGAAGAAATTGTTCTATTTGTATAAAATTATTTTTCTATGCTTCCTTTTAAAAGTCACAGATTCCACGCATTTAATAGTTCCAACTCCATTTATAAACATCTATAAAAGCCTGCAGAGACACAGCCTATCAAGCAACGGCAATACAACTGTTCAATATAATTTTCATCATAATATATAATAGCCAATAGGTTATCAGAACAATTAATGTTTCAATTTAAAATATTTCTTTAGTAATTCAGTAACTTTTAGTTCCTTCTCTAATCACGTTCCTGATCACAAGTGAAGAAGCTTTTCCTGAATTTATAAACAAACATACAACCCTACCACTTGTCCGTTAGTAGTTATTAAGTGTGAAAAGAATAGCATTAGCTCTATTGCATTAATTTACTGTACTCAGCTTTTTTTTTTTTTAAATCAGGAGCTTCAGCATAAGTTTTAATCTTTTGTTTTCAGATATCTAAATTGGAATTCAAAAGATTGCACCGATTAATTTATATGTCAGTTTTGCATCCAGCTGCAATCTTAATTTCAAAGAGAAGAAAATCCCACCAATGTACAAATCTATATATGAGCAATTTTTCATTGATATAACAGTGATTTTACCTGGGCTGGGTAGGTAGAAAGAAATTCAATCAGTTGGAAACTAGTTTCCTGGATATGCATAGCTGCCTGGCGAATAACATGGTGCAGTGACAGCTGGGACTCCTTCAACAGAGAATTGAGCCAAACTTCCACATTACCTTCAGCCATTACAGGTCTACTCAGCTCAACAGTCTCACCCTCTCGCGAACTAATTGACAATATACGATCATATATCTAATAAAAGCAAGAAAAAAACAATTTGTGATTAATAGACTGATTATTACGTCTATTACAACTGGCTTTCATGCTAGCATTTCATTAAATTTATTTAGATACATACAAAATTATACCAATCTATTAAGCAAAATGTGAACACAATAAAACCGTTGCTTTAAGTATGAATAAAGGCTTTAAACAAAACATTGCCATCTAAAGGAGACAAACCTCAGTACACTGCTAACACTCAAATTTCACTTCATTTCAATGAAGACACTCATTTTCCAGTAAGAAGAGAAGAAAACCTCTCCTTATTAGTGCATATCCTAACAAAAGTTGCAGACTTAAAATAAAAAACAATGGAAATATGGAAGTTAAGGAACATGGACAACCAAAAGAATTTCATGCATGGGGAGGTAGCAAATGTCTAAGGAAATACGTATATACACAGGTAAAAGAAAACCTGTACTGCAATCTATTCTTTTCATACAGCGTAAGAAAATTGTTCTTCAAACAACATTTTTCCAGGCAATCTAAGCATACAAATATGCTTATAAAACATCCTCTCTGGTGAGCTTCTGATTCTAACCTATATTAAGCCACAGAAGACAATTCAGCTTGCTATTCAACAGATATCATGCATTGTTTAACAATCTGAAAGAATGCAACTTCAAGGTTTGGGGAGTACACACCCTTTCATGGAACTTGACAGTTTTAATGTTGTCAAAGACATTCAGCAGATGTGCTTGTATAGTGTGAGAATCTGATGCCTGGCCAAGAATTTCTAATAGGGCAGGATCTGATACAAAGAAGAATCGTGGAAATAGGAGACGCTTCTTCTCCAGGTACCTGCATTTAAAAATATTTGTTAGGAGGAGAAGCAGTAGACAGAAAATGAATTAGGTTACTTTATACATCCTTTTCTTTTTAAATGTGGTGTTTCTCACTATTCATTATTGCTTTTATTTTTTTAATTTGTGGTAGCAATAACAATTCTTATCCATCATACCTCCATTTTAAGCACCTGCTTGAAGACTACTCTTTTAGTACCAGAAATAATTTCACTGAAACCTCTGCTGCTTTCTATAATGTAAACACTACTAAAATGAAAAGAAATTATTATGAAGCTGGTGTTTTTAATTTAGGTCAGTTACTTGCTGCTTAGTTGTCTTATTCTGAATTTCTCCTAGACCTGAGAAGGATCTGGAAAGATATTCAAACTTAGACTGCCTGTTGGATTGAAACCAGACACAAACAGCTTTGATGTCATCAGAGAAAGACAGTGACAGCTTAGTCACTAATCAAATACTTAGCAGTAAGTTACTGGCAGTATCTTTGGAAGACTTGCATCAGCCTGCTACCTTGTTTACTAAGTTCAACTGAATTCATAGTGAAATAAAAACAGGATCTTTATGAAGTCCATGGGACTTGATCTTTTGCTAGTTACACAATTTACAAACATTCCCTTGAGACTGATATTGTAGTAATCTTACCCTGTGAGTGATTTCTGACAGATTTCAAGCTGTTCTAGTAAATGTGGTAGTAACTGTCCCATGATTTCATCTCCAATGCAGCACTGAACAACATTAGGTGCTTCATGAGCTCTAGTCATGATCCTTACCCAGGATTTATCAATGTTAGAGAAACGCTTTGCTTCCTGTTTAAATATAGAGAGGTGAAGAAATGGAGGAAGGAAAAAAAAAAAAGAAAAGGAAAAATGAACCTTCTGGAAGAACTGGCACCAGTAATCCTCTCACAAGTAATCACAACACTCCAGTCCCAAAGATTTTTCAGCTTAGAAAAACAAATCTGCTTGCATAATAGAATTTATTTTATACTTCATTGACAAACCTGATATCCACTTTCAAACATTCTTAGAGAAAAACACAGAAAATGTCTTATTCTGGAGAATGCACGCTCCAAATTTGAAGATTTTTTCTAAAAACTACATTAATTTTAATTCAAAAAGCAATGTAGAAAAGTTTAAGATTCCTAGCAAAACTGCAAGTAGTACTGGGCTAGTGACAAATATTACTAGATTAACATAATACTAGTACTAGGCACAACACTTACACAAGTACTGGTTAATAATTTAACAGTCTAGAAATAAAGAGATCAACCTGAGGACCTTTTATTATTCTTTCTAAGGCAATATTTTGGTAGCAATTTGTTACCTAATGTCTTACTAAGTCTAATTTTGCTAACCATTAAGACAGTGAAGCATAAGTTACTTCATTCATTATGACATCATAGTTACGTTTTATTCTTTAGAAGCTCAAACTGAAAAAATGCGGATCTGAAAACCTTTGGAAGCTGCTTTGCTATGTCACCACCAACAAAAACAGCTTCTAAATAAATCCACAAGTTCTGCACAGTTATCCAGTTCTCAATGATATCTGTTGTGTTGGAAAGATAGTGCACCCATTTCTGAATCTCTGTCTTGAAGGGCGTGTTGTATCTAAAATAAACAAAAGCAATTTGTTTTAATTTAAGAAGGAAACAAGTCTCTTAGAAGCCAGCACAGTCCTCAAACATGACAAGGAGGAATATTCTTGCCATTTTTATTTTTGTCAGGATCTGTGTTCCTTGTTTTATCAAGGGGCTTTGACTTTCCGCACAAGGTAATCTGTAGATCATTTTAATAGGGATTTTCAGTACCCTCAGAAAAAAATCTTTGTAAAAAAGGAGGTGGCCTCACTGGGGCAAAATAGCAATGCCCGTAATCCCAACAGGACCCCTACCACAACAGGACAGTGCTCCCTTTTATGTCTGTCTCCACTCTTGCATCCACGGAAACTGTTCAACTAATTAGTCAGGAAATCTGAATAATCATTTCAAAATATTTTAATGCAGGAATATCGACAATGAGAAGTAGCCCATGAACAGCTCAAGGACAAGAAAGCTTTTAGTTTTTATCTAGATGTTTACTTTCCTTCCCCTTTGTGAAATAAAGCCTCTTGCTTGTATTTATAACTCACACATACAAGTAGACCCTGCTCTTCTTGTTACCTGTTATTCATGAGAGAGCCAAGAATCATCAAGCTGTCCTCCATGGTAGCAATTGTTTCTGATATGCTGTCTCCTCTTAAAAGAAGTTCCCCACGGGTTTTAAAGTTTGCAAAGACAAATGTTCTGTTGTCCCATTCAGCTATCACTTGTTTTAACTTCTGTTCAATGTCTCTTTCCTTCACAGCACTTACGCAGATATCCTTTTAAATAAAAAGAATGTCAAAACAAGTTATAAACCATTCAGTTCTTTGGCATCCGAATCCAACTGTTATTTCCTTTAACCCTAGTTAAACTGAAGAGCAACTATTTAAGCAGAGACCCCTTCCAACCCAAGCCATTCTATGATTCTAAGTGGGAAGATCTAAAGACATGAGAACACCATAGCTAATAATCCATGTATCAGTTCACAATATGGTAAAGTTAGTGTGGCTACTAGAATGATATAATGATTATTTTCATACCTCTAATATTGTAAAACATCCTCATTAATGAATTAATTGTGAGCCACACTACATGTTTTATACAGGGTTTACACTACAATATGCGTCATTATTTTACACAGAAAACTTTACTGACTGCATATTTCTATGCTCTTTCTTTGCAGTGTTTTCCCTCTTAATACTGCTACTCAGATATCTTTCTGACCACATTGTTTAGTTTCATGCATCATTTCTCTTCCTTCTAAATACCTCTATTTCCTCCTTATATTTGAGTAGAGGAGCCTCCATAAAATTCTTCAGTCTCAGTGTTTCACCTTCTACAACAAAGTTGTGCTCAGTGAGTTCTGTTATCTGTTTCCAGTGCCGAGGCATCATTGCCTTACTTGACATGCGTTCCAGCAACGGGCAACATTCACAGAAGTCTTCAATAGTCTTCTTTAGGCCAAAAAAGGCTGGCCACTCCTTTACACCACGAGGAAGCTTATGGCATCTACATAAAAATAATCCAAGCTTTTTCACATATATTCAGATATCCCACTTTCCACTTAGCCATCATACTGTTTTAACAGTAGATGACATATCAAGTTCCCTGTATTTAGAGGATTTTGTATGCAACTAAATCTGTTACCAAATTATTTCACTGACCAGTAACTGAATACTCACAGGCTCAAACTAAAGGAGTGTATCTGCATAATTCTATTGAAGGTCCAAGTGAACCACCAGATACAATTGAATCACTTCATATCTTGATTTCATCTTTTGGTGAGGTTCATGATAAGGACTGCTCTATTCTCTTGCAAAAACTCTGTTCCTCTAGTTTTGTAGCAAATATATTCTAGCTACTTCAGGCATCTCAGGTAAATCTCTACCTCTCATGATTAATAATGTTAAAAGAAACAAGGTAAATTTCCTTTATGAACAAAATAAACTGCATAAACTTTAACGTATGTTCAAATGAAGAGAAGAAAAAATATATATCCAAAGCTCTCTAAGGAGCAATAATCAAATAATCCTCTTTATTTAGAGCATATTCTAGCTTCCTTAATTTAGGAAATTAGTAATGAATATATTTTTTCAATTAAAATTAATAGTGCTATTACATTTAAGAAGTAAAAAAAAATAAATAAATTTAGCCATCTTTTCAGAGAACCAGTTTCTCACCTGTTCTGAAATTCCATAAGTTCACCACTAATTTTTCCAACATCCAATTCTGACCAAAGAATATCATAGTACCCACTGACTGTGTCAAGAACACAATTATATAGATTATAGAGTTTCTGTAACAGATTCAGTTGCTTCTTTATTTCAAGTAGCTGAGGATATTGTGTAGCAGGCAAACCAAAAAGATCTTCTCCATCAGTGTAAGTAATGTATTTCCGAAAGAGATTATCAAATCGATTCTAAAGAGAGAGAGAGAAATGAAATGTATTTAAGTAACTAAATATTCAAAATCTGGCATTATGCTTAGAGGTGCATTGTGGAAAAAGGAGAACAACTAGAAGTCATCATTACAGGAACATAAATTAGCCCAGTATAATTAAATATTTGAAAAGGAGAACCAGACAGTATTTTGTTTTAAGGGAAGAAGAACAAACAGAAATGGGCAAAAATGCAGATGTGAAAAAGACACAATAATAAACACAAGAACAGCTTATAACCAAATACACTAAATTTGAGAATAGGCTCAGCTCCAGATGTATGTATTAACTATTACTCAGGTCCTAAAAACATAGTTTTAATCAGCTTGAAAATGCATGGAAAAAATGTTACCTTAACTTTCATTACATTAAAATAGCTTTGACAGATCAGTAACCCTATGTACCAACAAAAATTAGTTCAACTAATTCCCAATTCATTCTCAGAGCCTTCAGTTGTTAGTTTATTTGCATTAAGCAATAAGAAAAATCTTAGAATTAATAGTACCTGAAACATGGTAAGCCTATCACTGGCTTCCTGAGGCTCTAAACCAACCACCAGCGGCCCACTCTGAAAAGAATGGATATATATGAAATTAGAGCAAGTTTAGAGGAGAGGGAAGGACATCAAATTAAACAACAATGCTGATTTGAAATGCAAACATTTTTGGTGTTGCAAGACCTCATACTTACATCAGGTAACAACTGATCTGACAGATGACAGAATTACTAAAACAACCATTTTATTTTCATTAAATAAAAGCAATTTGCTTTCTTTTAATATAGAAGTTTTATTAATACTGGAAAAGGTAGGCAGTACTAGAAAAGGTAGGCAGTAGTAGCTCCTTTTTCAAGAATAAATATTAGTTAAAAGACTGGTTTGGCTTGACATATTCTGCTGAGAAGGAACATAAGAGTTGAAGTCATTTGTATTAATATTCCCTGCCAGAAATCTCTTCTTACATTCTAATTTAATTTCTCTTAAATTCCAACTTTTATATTTGCACATGGTAACAAGCTATGTATTAGGAACTTTATATGTCTCCAACCTTTTAGAGCTGATTACCAGCATAAATTTCAGTCACACACAAAAAATAACATAATCTTGTCCTGCATGGAATCTCAGCTACCACATTAACAAGAATAAGCATAGTTTTCAGATAGTAGAGGATCATCATGCTATTTAGTCAACTCCACAATCTTTCCATGCTTCCACTGCTCTTCAAAAGCTCCTCTAATCCAATATCGCAAACTCTTACCTGTTCATAATCTGAATAGAACTGTGCACAGTCTTCAGTAAAAGCCTTCAGAGAGCTAATAAGCTCTCCTCTGAACTTTGGCTGCAAAGCAATGAGCTCATTCTGCACTTCATTTGCTCGGAGCAGCAGCTTTTCCCAAGTATAGTGCAAAGTATCCACCTTCTCTGACTCTTCCTTGGTCACAAGTAGATCATACTTGTTTAATATAGCATAGGATTCCTGTCAGAAGGTTGGATCAAGATAAACAAAACAGTTGCAGATGCTAATTGTACACGTTTAAGTGCTAACATTTTAAATACTGAAGAGTACAGAAAAATATTTGCTAGAAAGAAAATTTGTTCTTTTTATTATAGTATTGGCACAATCTGGCAAGCCAATACCCAACTTGAAGAAATATAAAAAGAAAAAAAATACCTACCTCTCCTTCACTTCTAACCTTCCCATAGACTCTGTGAAGGTTGGCTTCTTCTCCCATGTAACTAGCAATAGGACAAGAGGGAATAGCCTCAAGTTGCATCAGGGGAGGTTCAGGATGGATATTAGGAAAAATTTCTTCAAAAGAGTGGTCAGGCATAGGAACAGGCTGCCCAGGGTGTGCCTGGAGGTGTTCAGGAAATGCGTGTATGTGGTACTAAGGAACACAGTTTAGAGGGTAATATTGGTGGTAAGTGGATGGTTAACTAGATGATCTTAGAGGTCTTTTCCAACCTTAATGATTTTGTGATTCTATGATTCTGCTTTTTTATCTTTGCTCCAGTGTCCTACATCTCCCCAAAAACAATTTCCATTTAAAGTACTTCTCAATTTTACAGGTTTTAGTTTTATTTTAATAGGAATATTATTCAGATCCATGTCTTCCATTGTACAGCATGACCCAATCTGGATATTTATTACATGATGTAAGCCATGAGAAAACAACTAACCAGAGGCCTGCAAATTAGCAAAGAAAACAAGCATCTGTCCATATGGATACTGAAGCCTCACTTTTTGTTTTCAACAACAAAGCATCAATAAATCATTTCAAAAGTTACAAAAACTAATATGTAGCAACAGATTCAAACATTAAAACTGTTCTTCATTCATAGAAACACAGAATCACAGAATGGTTTGAGTTGGATTGTTGCATTAAAAATCATCTAGTTCCAACCCCCTGCCATAGGCACAGACATTTTTCTCTAAGTCAGGTTGATCAAAGCCCTGTCCAAACCACATCAAATGATGGAGCATCCAGAAATTCTCCAGACAACCTGTTCCAATGTCTCACCATTGTCATCACTGAAGATTTTTTCCTTATTCCCAATCCAAATGTCTCTTTCAGTTCAAAATCATTTCTCCTTGTCCTGGCATTACAAGACCCAGTAAAAGTAATTCTCATTACTATAAATTTATTTAATGTTCCCTTCACTTATTATGAATTAGTTCAGCAATTGAATTTTGTGGGCTAGCAGTTTCATTTGAATTTTTTTCTGAAAAGAATTATTTCTTTATATGTTTATGTTTAATATGTTTACATTTTTCAGTTTGATCAACTTGCAAACAAATTATCAACATGAAATCAGAACTATCTGCCCATCACTCTGTGTGGAAAATAGGTTAAACTATTCCAAAAATCTGACCCATGACTTCCTGTGCCTACAGACTCCAAGAAACTGTCTGCAGAATTGGAAGTTTAGGAATCCTTGACTACCAAAGCTCATTGCCTAGGCTCATGGTAAGAGCAAACCACGACAGTTCTCAGAACTTCTAAAACGTCAGCTCCCAAGAGATCCCATTAACAATTCCATTGATAGTTCTAGCTGTGGGTGTGCTTCTCCTTTTACCTACTAGTCCCCTACTTTGCTCCTTCATGGAACTATGGAGACCTTCACAAGGCTGAGGGATTCACTACTTCTTTGTAATGAAATACAGAAGGGCTCTATGCTGATTTTTAATTGTTTGCACATAGAACATTTCATAAATTTCCTCAGGTCAGAGAAAATCAGGTGAAGAAACAGCTGTGAGAAATTTGTCTGAGAGCAAGATGTCAGTTTTGCATTTCCAAAACAGAATTTTGTGTTGATCTACTTTAATTAAAAATAATAGTAATAATCAACACAAACAATATAAATATGAGTAACCAGGAACTGTCACGTGTCTTGGCAAAAAAAGTTCTTCTGAATATCTAGTTAATCCTGCATTTTGCCAAACTACAGCATTCTACAGAACATAGCAAGTCTGCAACCCAGCATTAACCCACCTGAAATCATATGTTTTCAATGTGCGCTAAGTACCAACGCAGAAAACAAATACTGTGCAGAAACATTACCCAGAAATGCAACATTCTTTTTAACTACCTCAATGGGCCCAACTTGAGAATCTATGGAAATCTGTAATTCTCTGATGTCTTTTAGTGCAGACATGGCTGTTCTTATGTCATCCAGATCCTCAATGCGACGATTTAACTTCCTGTCAGTTTCCTCTATAAAAGTGAAAATTGTTTCCATCTCTGTTCTGTACTTCTTATTGCAATGATGACCCAAAACACTCATCCAGTCTTGGATTTCTGCTCTCAGTGCTAGCTTCAGATCAGCTGAAAACAGTGAACATTTATAGTTATTTCAATATTTTAGATATTTTTTAAGATGTACTTTTAATCTTATTTCAACATGTATTCTTTTCACTCCTTGTTCTGTTTTTGCTTTTTTTTTTGTCTAATTTTCCATGCAAACAGAAGATGAAATTATTTTGACACCTTTGAGTAATTTATAGGATTACCTGCAATTCAGGATTGTTTTCCTCATAACCTTCTCAAAATACATCATCTTTCCAGTAGGAAGCTGGACTCCACATTTCTCTCATTTTGTTGATATAGCATTACATACATTTTTGTCCCAAAAACTACTAATAAATTCATTAATAGTCTTATCAATGTCTAAAACTTTTCAAAAATAAACTTTAAAAAAATCAGGGGTGAATGCAGGGTAGAATCAAAAAGTCTGACTATAGAAGCTGAAGCTGATATTTAATGAAACCGTTATATCCACCAAATGGATACTTTTTTAAAGATTCCATTGCATCAGTGGAACCAAGGACCAAAATGTAGAGAAACTTGAAATCTTGCCAAGTTCCTACCCAATTTGCAGCAATCCAGCCCATTCCCTATAGCTCTGCCCTTCAGTTCAGATTTCTTTCTCATTGTTCTCAAGAGAAGTCAAAAATTCAAACCAGTACAAGCACTACATAACATTTTAGCTGGATATAAATTCAACTCTGTTACAGCTAGATGTTCATTCACTGTGCATATTTCACTAGTGCTTCCTCCTTTTTACAAGTATCTCTTTCCATGCTTTATCTCTTATACCTGAAGGTATTTTCAATCTATAAAATATCAGACTCATCCTATCTCCATCGAGTTTTAATAGCCAAGTTTTACATGTAACAAAAGACATTTGTTTGATACTTCCTCCTATTGAAGAAGCCATTTTGCTCTCTCAGATTTGTCATTCACTGTAAATCAGCTGCATATATTTCTTACATTCCATCATAGTTCCTGTCGTATCTGTTATAGCAATATAAAATGCTTATGTGACATGGAAACTGAGCTAGAGAAAAGTGAAGATGCTAGGCTTCCACAGCAAAAAGGGAAACAGTAACAACATGTATGCTTCACTTAATTAACTGTATTAAATAGACAACTTTTCATTTGAAACCAGCGTTTGAAATTTCATCACGTGCAGCCAGGCAAGGAGAAAAGCAACATAAGCATAGTACACTCCTCTCAAAATATATATACTTATTGAAGCCAATGACATAAGAATGAATAAACTCTACTATCCACTCCATAAGTGAACAGAAATGTCCAGGCAGGGGAAGAAACATCAAATGATCCTCACAATACTTTTTGTATGCATTTACATCCAAACAATAGCAACCACTTCACATTTCTGCTTCATATCTTTAAGCTAGCTCACTCATCCACAACTAAACATCATTTCTCCTCCCTATAGGAATCAGAAAGTATAATACTGTAGAAAGAAGTGGAAAGTTGAACTTTACCAGTGTACAGTGCAATAGCTCCCACACAGATGTATTCAGGCTCAGAACTGACTTTCATCTCCAAGTCTTTGACAAGTAGAATTTGAGATTCCAATTCAGAGAGTAATGGGTTTCCCATCATGAATTTTTCAATGGTCTTCTCCTTGTCCCTCTGCCATATATGGTGGTAACAACTAAAACTCTCCATAGCTGTAAGAACTTCCTGAAACACATTACAAGTTCACAAAAAGATTAGCAAACCACACATCACACATAATTTCTTAGTGTATTAAGCATTCATTCATAAGAGGAGCAGGTTTGCCTCATCCTAGTAAAACAGAAGGCTGCTGGTAAACTTATGCTAAAGTAGGTTCATTAGCAATCATAATCCTTAGCACTGTTTGCTAGCTACAGTCAATTTGTCTAATCAGTTAAAGTATTTTACAATAAAGTGATTCTTCAGTCACTAACAACTTCTATATGAATAAAACTGTATTTAACACATTCGTGCAATTACTACCATTTCTATATTAAATATGCAGACCCAACTACAGTTAAGATATATTTCATGGTGTTTTACTAATTGTAGATATGTTTTCAGTCAGTCTTAAACATTAAATAATATGCAAACTCTCATGCATCTTTGAACACTGAAAACACGTTACCCAACATTACTTTCAAAGCAGAACTGTAAATTTGCAACACATCTGCCATCCACCACTCTACACTTTCTCATTCATATGCTTAACCAGGGCTTTCAATGCCTATCCTTTTTCCCCCAAAGATATTAAAATCGGTACACTTATATGCTTTAGACAGTAACTTAAATTAACATCCCTATTGTCTTACCTTTTTTGTAGAATTAATAGCAGTGGTGAGTAAAGATACCAGTTTAATAATTTCTTTGTTATTTGAAACACTCTTGAAGTAGTTCTTGCTCTGCACTGATTCAGACAAACTGAGAGATGCTGTATCTGAAGCCCCATCTCCAAAGGCAAAGTCAAATACAAAAGCAGGTTTAGTACAAATTGCTACCAGCAAAAATAAAGACTTTTTCAATAAGCATACATTTTAAAATTGTGTTTACTAATCGAAAAGACAACTAGAAATCTAGGAGGCCAATGTATTTACCACACATTCACAAACTTTTCCACTGTTGGTAAATTTGCTTCATCCAGGCTCTTTGTGAAATTTGGAACAAGTTCCTCCCTAATTTTTCAAGTGTAATCTTCCTCTTTTCCACCCAAAACGTTTTTCTAACAAAACTAACTCATTTTTCTCTAAACACTCTGGTTAATTGATCATTTTAAATAGAAATTAACATTAAATCCTAGCAGATTATTTTGAAAGGGTTAGGCCTGAAAATAAAAGAATAACAGATATATAATAAAACATAAGCAGAATGTCCTTTAGCTAGGAAATACCCATAGGATTGAAGTTTTCAGAAATTCATATTGCATCTCAAGCAAGAGAAAATCTTGGTTTTGAAAAACTAATTTAATTCCTCATGCAGTTCAAAGATTACTTACTACTTCTTAGATATACTAGAGGATGTTACCCTAAAAACACTCTATATACTTTTCAATTATCTGAAGTACAAAGTAGAAAAATTAATTTGGTTTGATTCTAAAAAATCAGATAGGAAAAGAAAAAAACAGAAACCTAAGACAAAAGCATCTTAAATTTGCTTAAATGAATGTCTTTGATAACTGAATTTCAAGTCTGATCCCAAAACATATTAATTAGTTTTAGCAATTTTAGTCTATTCAATCCTTCACACAAACCTCTCCGCCAATACTGAGATTTATCTAGATATCTCTACTCAACAACAGTTTTTGTTTAAGTCTAATTTATCCTTCTTAAAAGAATGTTAACACAATTTTAAAGATCATCTTGAGATACCAAGTCACAAACCACACTGGCAAATCACAAAAGATTTTGTGCAATGGCAGTGACTATAATTGTTTTCCAAATTCACTCAAAATTTCTGCTGTGCCGCCAAAGCTGGCAAACTAACAGATTCCCACACACTCCAAGTAGAATCCAAAGCAGGACAACTCTGAATTTTACAACAAAATCTCCTTACTCAAATTCCCACAAGAAAATATCTTCATGCCACCTTAATTGCTATACGTAGGAAAAGCTCTGGCATTGTTGCATCCTAGTTCTTCTCCAAGGTGGATTAAAATCTGTGAAGTCTTTATTCCCTTGCTTTTGATGTATTTTAGGTCTAAATCCTTTTACACATACTGTATAAATCACGTTTACCTAAAACTCAAATTGAGCGATATCAGAGCTTATCATTACCATGCGTGTTTTTCATTCCAATCTCTTTCATTCCATCTTCAGAATCACTGTCTCCACTCTCACACTGCAACATAGCTAATTTTCTCTCTAATAGTTCTTTCTGTGGAAGAAATAAAAGTTCATTTTCCATTTGCAGTAGTTTTTAAACCTTAATTTTGTATTAAGGACAGTTATAAAGACAAACCTTGGATATTCTCTCCTTACTCCACTGCCCAACTCCTTTCATTACTTTCACAATACTGTCTACAGCTTTGTTAAGCGTTTGCTGTACCTCATCCAAAGAAGGCTTCATGACAATATTAGGGATAGACAGGTTAATGCTAGTCTTAATGATAGGATGAGCACTTGTTTTCTTCTTAGAGGCATCGTGATTTTCTAAATGAAAGAAAATAACAGCAACAAAAAAGTTGTTCACGTTTATTTCAAGACCTCCATCTAGGGTTTATGATTATATAAACCATTTTCTACAGCACAATATTGAGTAATGAGTGTAATTTCTTAAAGAAAAAAGTCATGAGTAGTTTACAAGATGTATTGGTTAAGTCCATAGTAGCACAAGCGAAAACTAAGTGCCATCTTATTTTTGTTCATGAAACTCCTTGTTAACTTGTTCTCTGCAGCTAAGCTCAATTCAACAGAAAACCTTGTTACCTGGCTTGTACTCACAGACAGCATATTAAATTGGGCAAGAAAACTCCACTGTTCATATTGTTTGGTTTATGTTCCATAGAGACCAAAACCAAATGCCCTTATTTTTATTTCTTATAAGTAACAAAAAAATACTTCAAAAGAGTACATCATCATAATCTATAGAAAGATCTGATAGCAGTTAGTAAGAGAAAGACAAAACACTCTCTTGTCTTTTTTTTCATAGTTTTATGTAAAAGTCAAGGTCAAACAGGTAAACTTAAATGTCAAGTCCAGCTCCAAATATACTAACCAGTTCCAGAACATAGGGTCTGTCCTAAAAGAAACTTTATCAAAATGATACTTTTCTGTGTTTACAGGGGAAAAAAATATCCTCTGGAGAAATACTGTGTTATCAACTGTGATTTAACAAGACAGCTCGCTTAGGCTTGTCTTCCCTTCTCTTACTTATCTGGCTCTTTTTATGATATAGTTCTGCAATACTACATTTACATATATCTTTCCATAGGCTAAATAAGCAGGCAAAGTACTGCAATATGGCTACCTGGGAGGCTGATCACGGCAGATGCATGGACACGCTTCCGTATGTTCTCCAGAGTATTTCGAGTGAGTTTCAGAAGGGCATCAACATTACAACCATTGAAGTAAGAAAGTAGTTCATTGGCTTCTTCCTCTAATATTTCTGTATCTTGTCTCTTCTTCTTTGCCAACGGAGAGAGTCCAGCCCATATCTCAATTGAATTGTTGGAGGAAGTCAGGCTTTTTGATCTTCTTTCCTCCTCTGTTGCTAAAACATCATAAATCAAGTTAGTTAAATCTATGTAGGAGAACTGAAGACACAATAAAGCAACACTTCCATAGGTGTGTGAAACACAGGTAAGTCTTACAGAAGTGCAAATAATACTCATTTGTCATCTGTACCTGTATGTGCTGGTCCTTTTATTTCTAACTACCTTCTCTACTCAGTTCAAACTGGAGTAACAATCTTTCTTGCTTTCTCTAGGAAGTCCAGCACTTAATCAAGGCCTGTAAGTAGCTGTTTCCAATTTATCAATATTTGAACATGAAAGTTAGACTGACAACACTGTCCTGTTTCGCAGACGATTGTTAGATGATCCATCATTAGATGATCCATAAAGCAGAAGTCTTTAGACATCATATATTGATGGATACTACAGCCAGCTGAGATACAGCATTCCTCCCCCCTCTACATTACCAACAATATCGACCACGCACAAGAATAAGCACAGAGGAGCAGTACAATCTTACCTGTGCTTTTTCCCCTTCTTTCACCAGTGGAAACAACTGACTTCTCATCTTTTTTGACCTGTACCTCCGTGTCCAGTAACATGTTAATCAGCTCATTAGCCGCTTCTTCCACCAGTGAGCTTTTAAAATGTAAAGTCTGAGAACCTTTCATACAAAGCTCCTATTTATCAGATCAAAACAAACATATATTCTTATGGTTCCTGGTTTTATTTCTACTTCACAATCATAGCATCCTTTATTAGCACAAATTTCAAGGCTTTACATTTGTGAAAAACACAATCAGTGTACAACGTTATTTTAAAATCTGTTTGTTCTGATTTTTATTTCCTATTTCAATTTAGTTTTTGATTTTTTGTTGTCCCAAATAAAACATCATAAACGTATTATAAAATTGCTGTGACTTGTTTCCTAAATCACACAACTAATCCAGAGTTGCTGTTATGAATTAATGTTTATAATACATAACTGCGTTAAAGGGCTCTCAAAAGCAAGTACTGCTTAATTTTCTTATTTTTCCAAGGTAGGCATAGACATTAACCTTTCATTTGATCATTTCTATTTTGCAATATTTGGCTGTGCCACAGGGAGTATTAGCCAACTGTATTTTCCTTTTACACTCAGATAGGAGATAAAATCCATCCAAAGTTGAATTCATGAATGGAATAAGCACAAAAATTATTAACTGTGTGAAGGAATAAAAAAAGTGAGATTTAACAAAATTCAGAAATATTTTTTTTGATGGTGCAAATGAAGTGGCATTTCCCAGAATACTTTCACCCTGGTACTTCTGAGCATATTTTGCATATACAAACTCAAGACAGCTTCAGATTTTGAAAGATATTCAGTACACAATCATTTCCATAGTATTTACTCTCCCAGGAAACCAAGTGCACTTATTATGGAGCTATTCTCAAGCATCAGACAGGCAATTCTGTTATGTAAGGGCACTAACAAGCAAAAATGACCAAAAAAATACTATCACAAAAGAAAAGAACTTGAGTGGTATTAAAGCATAGAAGAAATATCATGCAGAAGTTGGCTTGACATTAATAAAGTGAGGAAAGAATGCTCAGCTCAGATATCATAGCATTTTGTATTTTTGTTCCTATTTAATGTTCCAGTGAAAAAAACAACTGCAGATGTCCTTTCTCCATTTTCCCACCAATTCTGCAAATACTACATCTCATTTAAAAAAGGAAAATATGTTAATTTGAAATATTAAACACTTCTTTACGAAAATGTTATCTATCACCTTAGTCTTTTGGAGAAATTCCTCACAGCTCAGTGGTTCATCTTCTGGCAATTTACAGAGCGGCACACTACTCATTTCTTGAAGGACAGCATCAATACGAAATTCAATCAAGTCATTCACTCTATCAAGCAATAACTCCAGTTCAGCTTTTGAGGCAAAGAGAAGATTCAAAACAAGCTTAAAAGTTTGAAATAACAGTTTTGCAGAGCCCTGATTAAATTCATACTCAAACAAGATAACATATTCAATTATATATTAATTTTACATCTTATCCATTTTATTTCAAACACCTAAATTTACATGGCAAGGTTCACCAGTGGACTCATAACTGGTGTTTTGAACAATATATGCTCATCTAGTATATTCTGTACATATCCTAAAAGACAGTAGGCAAAATTGCACACAAATATATAAGATTAACTTGAAATATATGCATTTCAAACAAAAACGGAAAAAAATAAAGACATCAAAACTCAACTGAGGCATTCCAGGAATACTACTCCTATAGCATGAATAAATTACCACTTAGAGAACCCAATAGCAATAGAAATTTTTGATAAACAAAATGACCATCCTTCAAAAAATGTTAGAAACTAAATAATAAAGGACACCAATAACTAGAATTTTCAGTTTTATACCAATTCGCTTTCAATGCTGAAATTGAAATAACAGCAAGGTGCCTCTTCTAGACTCAAACGACTTATGTTATTCAAAATTAAATTGAGTATAATGTCAGGCTAGCATCTGAAATGCATTTTAACTTGCCATTTCAACTAAAGAAAACTTCCACTATGACTTACATCATTTTAAAAAACAATCTAAGTTGATGTAATAATAGAGATTAAGCAAAAGGAATTTAGCAGCTTCAGAAACAATACATATCAGTGCAATCTTACTAACAGAATAAAAGCTCATCTGTTTTCTAAAGCATGCACATCTTTTGGGGAAACAACATCAGTGTTAGACTCACTTAAAAAAAAGAAAATGTAATAGGAAAAGCTATTGAGCAGTAACAGTGCCAACTCAGGGAAGATATTATTTCTTGAGAATTTTTATTGAAGAAACACAAGGATAGACTACAAAAAGTCTGAAACCTTGATATTATTAAAAAAAAGAGGTATCTTTCTCTGATGTAAGAATATACAGGAACTTCTGCATACTACCGTATGCTTGGTTAAACCCTACTGCCATCTCATTCACATTAGTAAAAAATTTCAAACAGATGTCAGAAAATAAAAAAATAAAGATTTTTTTTTAGAAGCAGAGTTTACGTGAAGTAAAGGGGACAGGTGAATATTCTAATTACAATTAAGCAAAAATCATATAAATGGCAGTAGGCTTAATAATGAAATTTGCATTTGTACAGAAACAAGCAGAAATTACTGAAAGAGGCAAATGACTTACCTAGCTTTCTAAAAATTGTATCAATATATTTCTCAATATTCAATGATGTCCAGGTCAGTAACATCAGACCTGGCTGGACAGCATCATCTATATTTGCTAACCAAGGGATCATCAATCGTTCAACAGGGTGTTTTATTTTTAGTTTAATTCTTTTATACTCTGCTAGCATCATCTGAAACAAACAGAGGATTAAAGCATTTTAATACACACTGTTCTAAACCTCTTCAAATACATACATTCATCGTGACTTAAGACATAAAATTATTCCACGTTACTGAAATTAGTGAGAAATAATAAAATTCTTAGGATTTTTTCCATTATTTTTGGCAAAAGTTCAAGGTTTGCTGCTTTTTACAATAGTGGAATTACTAATTCATAGGGAAATTCACCTTTTCTGATATAAAGAAGGATTTTTTTGTAAATATCTTATTCCCTAAGTGGACGTTCCCAGAGAAAAAAAATCCCAAGAAAAAAATCATCTAAGTTAACTTTTCAGCGGTTTTATTAGAGCTGTCTTAAAAGAGCTTCAATATGGTGTTTAGTTTTAAACGCCTCTTTAACCCACTGATCTATTTTCACATTTTGGAAGAAAATACCCTTGTAATAGCTTTATGATGTAACATGACACTTTTATCTCATTTCAGAATCAAGTAGCCCTTTGAAACTCTATTTTTCCAGACATGCTTTATCTTTGAATCTTTGTCTTCACTCATCTAGAACTTTGTCTGTTCACAGGGAGACAAAATGACCCAAAAGAATTACTGAATGAGAGAAGAGGAAGCTTTAGCTGCTCTATTTTAATCTCCTCTACAGACATTTATGTCTAACACTGATGCAGGAACTACGTTGTTACACGATGTCTGCTGGATCTTTTGAACTTTTTAAAAGCACGCCATCTGCTAACTATCCTCTTAAAACCAAGTGGATTGTTTGACTTGGAGTCAACGATAATTGACTCCATTGTTGGATGAGAGATAAACTGATTATCATTTAGAAAGCTAGCAATGGAGTGAGGCATCTTGTAAGTTCCTTTCCCTCCCCCTCTTCACCTCTTTCCCAAATTCTGCAGTACTTTCCTAAACCTGTGCAACTTTTAAGCAACTTCACAGAACATGCAAAGCCTGGAAATTCATTTTAAAAATGTCTTAAGAAAGAAAAGAAAAAACCCCAACTTGTCAATATTGTCTTAATATTGATCTTTTTTTAATTCTCATGTGTGTAGAGCCAAGTCATTTTAACATATGCCATACATACATAAAACAACTAAAATGAACCCACCTGCAAACTGTGGACAATATTCTTATACCAGTCTCTCTTCTGTTGAATAGCACTTGCAAATGGTGGGATATCAAGGCACATGTGAGCCATGCAATCTGTTTCTCTAATTAAAGTTAATATTTGAGGGTCAAAATTCACAAATAACTCTCCTGTTTCTGGAGATTTTACCAAGAGAGCTGCCTGAAGTCTTGTTTTAGTTAATTCAATCTGCAGGAAACAAAGTCATCACTCCTGATAAGACAAGCTAATATAACAAAACACTTTGATTTGGAGGTAAATATCAATTTGTTACAAAGAGATAATAAAATCAGGTATTGCTGACAATCAAGATTGATATGGTGAATCAAAAATAAAACTGTTGATGCAATCTGTATGCACTCAAAAACCTAACAATGAAATGAACTTTCATCATCTGACAGACATTTTTTCTGTTGGGTTCCTGGATATCCTAAGTCCCATTCCATAAGCAAACATTACATTCAAAACCATAGAGATTTTGACTTCAGTTCTCCTGAGTCTCATTTTCATAAAACTTAATGCACATTTTGAAAGCTGCGCACCTCCTTGATGAATTGAACTTAGACTTGGATAATTTCTTTAGACTTCTTTTATAACTGATTCCTGGTTTCTCCTTTAGCTTCTTTTCCATTTTCTAACAGTTATATAACTCTGCAATCTTAACAGCTTTATAATCCCTAATTATATCAAACTTTCTGGGCAATTTGTGACCAAAAAAAAAAGATTAAAATTCACATTCGTCATAATTCTTTTATTCTTAAAAGGGAAATCTAGTCACACTATAGATTTAGCTGTTTCATTTGAATACAACAATATCATTTGTTCTCCAGGTAACTAGAGGGGAGAAGATTCTTAAGAAGATCACTCATGGAAAATTTGGCTGACATCAGTCATTTCTTCCAGTTATGCCTGTTTTCAAGTTGTCCTTCAGCTCATTATTCACTTCTCAAATGTCATGCATCACTTTACTTTTATTTGGAGAATGTTTTAAAGTAACAGTTTCACAACCCATTGCTTTTTTCCATGCACTTCATCCTTCTCTATGTAATTCCCTGAAACTTTGCATCCTCTTTCCATGTCTAAAATACAGTGGACAATACTCTTTGATTCAACAGTTTCATATGTTACAATGCAATTTTACACAATTTTCAAGTTAACATCAAATGTTGTAAACAAAGTTGTCATATTCTACCCACTGACAGCCAGTTACTCTGTACAACTGCCTCAAATGGCAACTGACTTTTTTCTCAAAATGTTCATCGCCAGATCTTACTCAATTCTTCTCTGGGCTTTGGAAACTCATTAATCTTACTTTCACTTTCTTCCTCTCCCATCTATGTTTGTAAACGTGGGGGTGTTTTTAGGCAATTCTCATTACTAAGATGTTACACACTGTTAACAAAAATCAGGGGTATGTTAAATGCAAGAATCTTACACTGTCATAGTACTATAGTAAATTTCACATCTTCTATTAGTTTAATATGTCCGAGTAGAATTATGCATAGTATGAAAATTATGGCTTTAAAACTTACGCAGTAAAAAGAAGCAGATAACAAAATGGTTGGTATTCACAAAAGGCTAAAAAATAAAAAAAAAAGAAAAAGAAAGAGCCACTGAACCTATCTATTTCCACTGAATAGAAGGATAAAAATTAGTATGCCACAGCCCTATTTCTACTGCATTTGTATTCTACATATGACACTTGCCCATCTCCCATTTTACTTTTGTTCAGGAACAGAGCATGAGCTCCACCTTGTGTTCTCTGATATTTATGTCTACATCAGTCTGTACTTCAAAGCCTCAAAAAGAGACTACTGAGTAGGCAAGCACTATTTCAGGAGAAAGCCCCATGCATTGGTGTTAGATTGCACAAGAAACAGCAGAAGCTTCTGGCCTCAGATCTTCTAGTCTAAGACTAATTTTGAGAAAACTGATATTTATCAGCCTCAGAGTTCTTCATATTTTACAGAAGATGGAGTTCAGCTACAAGAACAAGTAGCTGCATTGATAACTGAGCCAGAACCTTCAAGAGAGTTTTTAGGAGATTTCGATTCCTTTCTTTTGATATTTAAGAGTCTGAGGCCAATTTTTCTACAATGTGATTTTGCCAAGGCAACAGAGAAACTGCAGGAGAAAAACGTGTGTATAGCACAGTAGAAACTTGCAGAAATTTCAAAGCTAGAAAGTAGTGTCTGAAGAAGCCACCTGATAATACAAAGGCAGTCAGAGGTTCTACATACAAAAACCAAGAAATCAAATTGGTCAAATGAGATTTAGAAGTTAAGGCAAACCATGTTTTCTGAAGAATATTATACTACAGTGTTCTACTTGAACAGATGCTTGACAGGAAGCAAATTGGTACAAAATACATTTGCATACTTAATATCTTATTAATTCTATGAGATGCTCTATTAGTTGAGACTGGATGCTTTTTATACATATGCCCACACTGAGGGCAAATGTGGATTATCACTTTAAAAGATAAGAATCATACTATTAAAGTTAGCTAAGCATACTTGACTATTAACCAGAGATTTCTTCGAACTGCTGCTACCCAGTGTTTTAGTGATGCCTAGCACAATCAGAATCCAGTCTGGTCTGCAAACCTAGATTGTACTGATCTACCATCAACAAAAACCTAGCATATTTTTAAAGAGAAATATTTTAATCAAGATCAGCTATTTTACCTGCTGAAGCCATCCCCTGTGATAGATCACCTCAAACTCCATAAGAACTCTTGCTACTTTGTTGTAGTTGTGGATTATGCGCTTGCCATCTGGCGTTTGCAGAACAGCTGGCAGCTGCTGGAAAGAATCCATGGGCTGCTGGATCCTATGGAATAGGTGGCGTGCCCACAAGATCTTACCAGCTATTGGAGGCAGATTACGAGCCAGTGGAGGATCCTGCTTCTGCTTACTGTAGAGTTTACAGACTGCTTCTATGTCATATCCATAGTTTTGAAGGATTTTCTGATACTTTTCATTAATGCCAAGATTAGGGATTTGTAATCTGATTAGAAAAATAATAATTAGAACAATCATTGAAAAATTCAGAAATTCTTCTCACGCGTTGTTGGAACTTTTTCCCAGACAACTTTGCATTCATTTGAAAATAACTACTTTAGTAGCAGATTTTCCACTAAAGCTTGAACAAATACTGTCACGACTTGATTCCAAGCAACCAAGATTTAGGCCAGATGATAGAAGTTCCCAAGTAAGCCTACACATTTTCCATTTTGTCGCTGTTTTCAAACACTGAACTAAAATTATGTGCAAACTGTAACCAATCTGCCACTAGCTGTCTATTCTACTAAGCAGAATAGTGTTTAAAAAAAAAAAAAAAAAATTGGTGCAAGAAAAACTGAGACTGCTTTGAAATAATCTGAATTTATCAAGACAAATTTTAACATTTCCTAATATAAGCATTCTAACAGATTAGTTTCATTATTCAAGAAGAAAACTAAGGTAAATATGCTAACAGAACAAAGTTTTCCCATACATATAATAGTTTTAAAACATGAAGTCCATTCATTACATTTTTGATACATAAAAATATGTGGTTTTTTTTATTAATCTACATAACTGAACAGACTTCCCTTACCAGAGCTGAGCAGTTGATGGAGTGGAGATTAAATTGATTTTGCTTTGTATTTAAGGAGATACCTGTTCTATTTCCTGCTTTCTCACCATTCTCAAAGTATCATTTCCATTTTCTGGCAGAATTCCAACAAAGTAAATAGAACATAGTACCTTTCAAATTTCTTCAACATACACAGTGCTCTTTCAGTGTTCAGAATATTTTCAAAGGTGTTGTCCATAAAAGTCTTTAACTGATCCTGAAGGAGAGCAAATAATTCTATAGTAGACATAAGGCACGTACCTCAAATATACCAGGTGTGATTTTACATGATTTATAATGTATTATATTAGAACAAAGTTTATGTGAAAGTTACTCAGTGAGTATCAATTTTCACTCTTTCCTACCCATTTCAAACAAAATACAGTCAACTTTCAAGGCATTTCCTTCCACTGTTCCCTCTGTAGCTATGCAACCAGAAAAGGCTTTTGAAGCATCAAAGGTTCCACCATACTGGGAACCTAAAAGAATGCTGGCTTAACTCTTGGGCAGACAAAGCCAGTTTCATTTAAATTTGCACTTAAACACCTACACATTTCTTCCATCACTTTGTGAAATCAGAACAAAGGGAAAGTTAATTGTCTAAGCCATTTGTACTGTGTATTTCCATTCAACCAACTAAATCAAGCATTTTTATGTCAGTCTTCCCACTATTACATTCAAATAGAATAACAAGAAACCCTTGCCTATTCCCTGGTTTAAATGCTGGATAATAACCAGCATTCAAGTTATTTCTCAATTTCAGAATAGAAATCTTCAGATTTCCATAATTTTTCTGTGGTAACTCAGAGGTACTATTTTTTTCAGGAATTATTAGTAAATTAAATTCTTTGATAAAACCTACATGTAGATCATTTATCTCTTTGCAAAACTCTTCATAGTCTCGGTCAAAATCAGCCTTCCGTTGATCCAAGAAATTGTAATCCTTTTTCTTCATGATGTCAACAATATTCTAAATAGTTTTACAGAAAAACAGAATTATCACCATAAAATCGTCCCAAGAAATACATCAAAATATTTATGAATTTTTGAGTTGTGCATACTTACATTTTAACTTAGTCATTAGTTATCTTTATTTGATGAGCAATATAAGCAAAAGACATAAATGACATACTTGCAGGAAACAATCTAGAGCAACGGCCATATGAATTCTAGGTTTTTTTATTTACTTTCGCTGTAAGTCAATTAGAATTGGTAGGATATTCAGACCTCCACTCCATAAAAGGCATTTGTTACCCACTGCTTCCCATTAAACATTTTCTCATGCAGGAGATCATTAGATTTATTTCAAAATTAACAGTTTATTTTCATAATAGTATTTTCCAAGTCTCTAACTCATTTAATAGAAAAACAGACTATTTAAAAATCACAGTAAGGTGCAGCATGCTAATAGCCCATGTCTTATCATTCCTTCCTTCACATAGCTGCTGTTCGCTCTAACGAAAGCACATCTTAATCAGCATCTCCCATGAGCTGTACACACATTTAAAGATTTCTGATAATGAATCACTGTTCAGGTTGCTAGTAGTTTACTAGCAACTATAAAGTTCAACACATGTTCAGCACAGCAGACTTCTACCACTTTACCATAAGCCAACTGAGCCTCAATTTTATTACTTTGCTGTAAAGAAACATCCCAGGAAAGAAGTTAAAAAAAATAAAAAATAAAAAAAAAAGGTAATAAGATAAGTAACTTACAAAAGAAAAAGCCTAAACTTGGATAACTTTCCAGAGCAAACAAGCTATATCATTTCTTCCCCTCCCTCACCCTAAAAATCTATGACTTAACACTTTGTTTCTTTCATGAAACACAAAGCTATTGGCAATGCTCTAGATCAGTAGAATTTTACATAAATTTAATGATCTGCTTTGCTGAAATAAAGCTATTTCTTTAATGAAATTGAGTAAATCTCAGAATCCAAGTTGTTTTTCTTTCTGTTTGTTAAAAATAACTTATTTCAAGAAATCAAAATTTGTTTGCAGAAATGCATCATTGAAACTGGACTGGATGTGATTTCACTTCAAGCTGTAAGGAAAATCTGACTGCAGCAACAGCCTTCAGAGTAACAGAACTGGCCTCTATGGCAGGCAATGACCAGGTGCCCCACGAACAATGGGCCAGAGATGAAGTGGTCACAGTACACGTTCATAGCCAACAAAACACTGTTAAAGAGAAAAATGTTGTATATCTCACTTTTTTGTCTGACCATAACACAAAACTAGGGCACCAATTACTCTTCTTATAAATTCTTCCTATTTCATTGATTTTTCAATCAATTTTGATTTTAAAACAGCTCCTTCACAGGGCCACCTGCCCTTTTTCACATCCCAGTAATATTGTAATTCACATTACAATATTAACTATTTCCTAGCAATTTTAGCACTGCTTGCAGAATTATTTTCTCTCTTGATAAATGTTGATTTTCAAAATTATTTAACGTTTCAATTTCAAGTCAGATTGACATGATATCCAAAAGTTACTATGTACCTCATATTTTGTGATCATTTCTTCCAAACCTTCTATCTTAGACTCTTGTAGAACTGAGTAGGTTTTCATAGTATTGAAAATATCTATTATCTTTAACAGACGTCGGTTAAAGGTTTCAAATTTTCCAAAGATATACACCTCACTGAAATCAAACTGTCTTTCAGCTGAATTTTGCTCCAGAGTCTTCTTCATGTTACGAAAGCAATTTTGATACTCCTAAAAATGAAGAAGTTCAAAGAAGAATTTCAAGCATGTAAAAAACAACATTGCTAACAGGTAGAATAAAATTTATGCAGACAGATATGATCTCCTCTAATTCAACAGTAAGTAGAATTTTGATCCATAAACAAACATTGCAACAGTACTATTTTGGGGTCACACATTTCATCAAATCAATAAACTGCATAGATGTATTTGTGCACTCCATCCTTAGTCAGTGCGGTATTTTCTTCCCTTCCTTTTAAAACAGGACATGGATCTACTGACCATCTAACATGACAAACCAGATTTCAGTTTTCAGAGACTGAAAATTATGATTGTGTATTCAGCACTTTTACTAAGTAAACGTATTTCCAACATCACTTTTAAGAATAAATCTCTTCTGAAGCTAAAATGCTATTCTACTGCAACTTAAATTTTCCATTGTGCTTCGTTAGCTGAGAACAAACTTAACTCCAAACCTGTTAAAATTAAATTATTCTCAAATTAAATAGGCAACAAACTTGCTGGAAATGGTTCTTTCAAGAGCAGTACTTCAAATACAAGCTCCATTATTTTCTATCAAATATACGTATCAATAATCACAACTGACAGGTATTATTACAAAGGACTCAGATTTTTATTGATTTTATGAAAGCTTTTGGACTTGGTAATTATCAAAACCTAATCCCTCAACATATTTTAATCCCCAGATGAAAAATCTGTTACATCTTAATAGAAATATACACCTTTACAGTTTGTTCTGATGGTAAGAAGTCATAAATTTATATTAATTTTTGCAATAACTATGAAAGACCTGTTGCTTCAGAAAGGTGTCAGGATAAAATTCTGTATTTATAAACGCATGTTATTATCAAGAAATGAAAAAGTAATAACAGAGAAAACCTGTTGTGAGCCTTCTGATACCTATAGGGAGGTTATTGAAAAGACAAAGCTAGTCTCTTTCCAGTAGAGTACAGACAGTGGCCACGAGACAGCATGTAAACTGAAGCAGAAGAGGTGTTCTGACTGGTTGTTAAGGAGAAAATCCTTCACTCAAAGGAGAGTCAAGCAGTGGAAGATGTTGCCCAGAAAGGCTATGCAGATTCCAGCCTTGGAAAATTTCAAAGGCAGGACTGAAGAAAGTCCTAGACAACCACATTTGAACTCATACTTGCTTCTGCCTTGGCTTAGAGTAAGATATCAGATTAGAAAACTGCTGAGGAGCATTTCAACCTGAATTAGCTAAATTCTAAAGGGTAAAAAAAAAATCCCCAAATGATCATGGAATTGTTTTTAAAAAAAAGTGTAGCCTATAATCCCAATAAGTCTAGTCAATGCAAACAGCCAGATTTTTGTTTGTTACATCATCCTTTCTAAAGATACAGCCTGTCGATTTGTCTTCAGAAAACATTTAGAACAGCGAGGCTCTCTATTTTCATTTCTATTACATAGATGAGAATAAGCTTTCTAGAGAAATTCAGATATAAAAAAACAAGTAGACATCATTTAAGAAGCATAGTTAAGTTAGCTTAAGTATGGAAATCTATGCTTCCAGAAAATAATCAGATACTGGACTGACTTTTCCATTAGCTCTAACAAAAACAACCGAGTGTCAAAGGACATTTTTCAGTTGCTTCATTTTCCTTCATGATAACATTCCTTCCTTGTATAAAATTAACAGTTTTGCTAATCATGCACACTTAAATCTCAGTCGATATTCTGCTTTTCTCCTGCCCTACCTACCTGTTTAAGCCGAATGGCTGCACGTAGTTTTTCCATAACTCTGTCTGGAGGTTGATTCCAGATGGTGGCAGTATCATTGTTAGTGATATAAGATTTACATGCTGTGATCATCTGAGTGGTGACCTAAAAGCAGTTTTAACCTTGTGAAAAATCACTTCAAGACAAAGCACTTCATACCCTCTTCTTACCCTTCTTTCAGTCTCATTCCGCACCTCTTACTCCACTGGCCTAAGACCTGCAAATTAGCAACGCCAAACACCATCAACACAGACCACATGCCTTCCTTGCAGGATTCAGCCTGTAGATTACTGCGCTTCCACAGTGTCATTGGTTAGCTACATCCATCCATCCTAAACCTGAACACCTTGTAACAGCCTTAAAATGGCATTGAGAGTAAAACTTTTTAAGATTTTGACATTTCTGAAACAAAAGATAAACCAAGGGTCCATGGGACCATGAAAATAAAAGAACAAGTTGTCCCTCCAACTCTAGTTCTTTCTGCAAGCAATCTAAAGGAGGTGGGAATATAAAGGTTATGTTAACATAAGCACTTTTGCAAAGCATTGTTTGTTGTAGGAAAAATCATTTTAATAAAAAAGTTCTTCAAATCTACTCATATCAGGGTTGATATTAGCCCTGATTTTCAAGTAGCATGAGATAATTCTCACAATTCCATATTATTCCTAGTAAAATAAGTTCTAACTTCAAAGAAGGTTTATCATTATTCCCAAATCTCTCTACATTCAAAATATAGCATTATACTGACCAATAGAAGAGCTCTTTAATTGCTTTTTTCTTTTGTATTCTCTCTTTCATTCAACCAACAACAAGAACAAAAAAATAAATTGACAATTTTCACACTGTCTGCATCTACCTTCACAAACAATGAGGAGATCTTTTCAGAGGTATTGTAATACAGTGAGACACTCTGAATCATTTTAATTGCATTTATAAGTCCTGGAATAGCATCCACCATGGACACCTGCAAAGACACACACAGTATCTGAACTTAGCAAAATATTTCTGTTATCATACATTAGCTCAACATCTATTTAGATAGTCCAGGATAGATATAAACACAGTATTTCTAATGTGTCTGACTCTTGTTTCCCTGGGCTTCTCCTGCAGTGAATCCTGTCCTACCCTCACCACTTCTACAAGTCCAATTTGGGGAAAATAATTTTGACATCAGCTTGGCCGGAAGAACTCCAGCCAGTGAGGTAAACATGACAGTGATAAGGGCCTATTTCAAATTTGTAACATTGCATTAAGCCTCACAGCCTCTCAACGACTGAACAATTTCCTTACAGTACTGGTATTTATAACAAAATCTGCAATGGGGAGGACAGTGGAGATAAAATTCAACAGGCGCTGCTCAGTGCCAGTAGCAAGCATGTCTACTTGTGCTTTGTTCTGTATCTTTAACACACCAATCTTTCATTAGTGAACCTCCAATGCTGGACTCGGAATCACCAATGCAAAACAGTTTTATCATTATGCCATAATGGGAAATAAACAGACTGCATTGTGAGTCTGTACCAATAAGCCGTAAACTGCCCTATAAATGTTAGCCTAAGCATAATCTGTACACCAACACAAAGACAAAAACACAACCATCATCTTCTACAAAGTGTTTTGTTGTTTGTTTTTTTTTTAATTGTCAAATATTTTACTTGATCCCATAGCACAGAATCCAGTTTCATCATTAGACTGAAATCTTTTATAATCATTTCAGCCAACTTTCAGCATATCTGAACAGTCTCAAACTGAATATGCATAACTAAACTGCTAACTATGCAATTTATAGACTTATTCTATAAATGACAGACTGTTCATTTCAGTTGGCTCCAGAGATTAATGATGAGATTCTAAATGTTTTGCTTACAGGGTCCGTGTTGTACAATGGGTCACAATGTTTTTCCAGGGAATAGAGATATCTCACATTATCTTTAGCTTCATTTACTGCATCTGTGATGCGAATGTCCAGCACTCTCCAATTCTAAGAACAGAAAGTTTGAAGAATAATAATTTTAAATAACATATTTCAAATACTATTTTGACCATGAAATTTTGAGATTATCCTTTTGTGTCAATAACCTTTAAATTAGTTCAAAAGCACAGATCTTGTACTTTAGACAAAGGGGTTTTCCAGTCATTTGCAAGAAATTAAACTACATTTATACTTTGTACATTTAAAGTGAGGAATATGTAAGACAGAGGAAAACAAAAGTCAAAGATACTTCAGTATTTTGTTCACCAGCAATATTATATACATTACCAAATTGAAGTAGGTTACACAGAAAATTTCTAGTCTTTACATTTGTCATAATTCAAAACAGAAACCTTCAGCAGCTTGGATTTAGCAGCAGTGAGCACCCCAAGCACTGCTTTCACATCTGGGCTCTTCAGCTGATCCATAAGGTAGTTGAATTTAGACAATCTTTTTTTCCAGTAATCAAGCTCTGCTCGTGGTCCAAGGTTGTCAGCTTCCTTCCTCAACTGGTCATTTTCTGCAAGAATCTTTTATCATACAGTATTATTAGTGATTGATACTAATACTTTTATCTGTACGGATAGTGTGGCTTAATTCATGATTTAATTCCCAGTATTAACTCCTGTGATAAATCACCTAGCCTAGCCACCACCTAATATACTCAGGCCTTTAATTTTGTCTATCTTTCTTTTGTTTTGAGTTTTGAGTTTGAGTTTCAAGTATTTCAAGAATGCTGGTACAGAAATTTTCTGCAAATAATCTACAAAGCTGGTTTCATAGTATGATTTTGACCATTAAATCGACTAGGAATTAAAAGCCTATTTCTTGGCTAAGGTGAATCTTTCTAGTAGTCCATTTGTTCCAAGAGTATATTACAAAGTAGAGAGGAACCCCAGTAACCATAATATAACCACAGTCAGAATATTTTCTCTAATGCAGTATAGACAGATGGAAATTACAGTAAATGCTGAAGTATTAATAGGAAGGAGCATAATTACTGTGATCCTTATCTAGTGGGTACCACTATCCTTACTCTGCTTTTCTACTTTTCTCCACCATCAACTGCTTCCCATTTCCAGAGAGACGGCATTGGTTTAAAAGAACCTTTAATTTGACTCAATAATAATAGTTCTTACAATAATTTGTTTGCAAAAATGATGAAGCCGTAGTCGTAAGAGGAAATGCAAATTCAAGTCCCTTTGAAAACAAGACAACGTGAGAACATGTCTATATTAATAAGTTATTATAAGCTTAAATATAAATAAGGCTCTGTTTGCACACATCTCTCATTGTAGAAATGGCTTTGCTTTCCCCAGAAAAGCAGAAAATAACTAGGACTTATATATATATACAAATAACTCTAACTTCTACTTATTAATTTTATCAGCACTTGTAAAAAGTATACTGACCTTACAGTATTTTAAACCATGTGAAGAGGTTTCATCAATGCATGGATGAGGCAATTATTAATAACAGGGAACTAAGCCTCCAAATTAAACTGTACTTTCCATACAAAAATGGATGGAAAAAGCTCTTTGTAATATTATGATTTAGAAAAGAAAGCACACAAAGCACACCAAAAATAACTTAAGATAAAGGTATCAATCACATTTATCTTTATAGAAAGGTAGATAGGTATATGCCAAAAGGATTAACTTCAACATCTGCTAATATGCATATCAGTCATATTTCACCTCTGTCCAGTGTATTATTTACCTGCTGAATCTGTTTGGTCCATCCTTTCATGCAGACTTCTATTCTCTCAAGATCTTCTGTGCTGTTAGCAACCATCAGATAATCTGCAGGTCCTTTCAGATTCTTCAGATCATAAGTTTCACATTTCTTCAGACTGATCTACAACACAAGTTAAGGAACTCCAAAATGCTGAAATATTTGTGACAAGTAATCCAGGAACTTTACACAAAGACTGATTTTCTTACTTGGGATATCTCATTTCATCTTCCCACTTCAATTTAAAGCAAACTGTTTTGAGCCTAGAACTGAACTCCAGAATCTGAACAACTCACCAAACCAGCAGCTGTGCTTCCTTGTCATTTCCTTCAAAAAGACTTAACAGTTGAAGTAACTGTTTGTTTTGTGTTAATTGTCTTGGTATAAGAAAGGCCACCAAAGAACTGAATAGCTCAAAGGAACTGGCACCAGAATGAAAAAAAAAAAAAACAGAAGCAGCTGCAGAATTTTTAAAACCATAAACTTTCACAGATGCTAAAGCCACAGATCCACGTATATCAAGTTGTTGATGACAACAAGCAATATTTAGAAACATTGTTCCTTTTCTCCAGCTTAACAAAAGCAATTTTACACGTATTCTACAAAAACAGTAAATTTAAGAACTACAGATCAAGACATTTCACAGCTAGCTTGTTTCCCAGCTGCTGCTTGAATATATTACCTTCTCCAGCAGACTTTGCTGAGTTCCTGAGAGCACACTAACAAACGATTCAACAGAAGTGAGGAACTCTTTCTTAATATTGTCATTTTGTTGATGTTCACCAAGTCCAACCCAGCCATAATCTGCAATTCGTAAGGCTGGAATGAAGATTTCTAATATCAGCTGCTCAACACTTTTTAGTAAGCCATCTCGGCCTACATCCATCATATTAAAATTTACTTCCTGTAAAAGACATAAAATAAATATTAAAATGGAAAACAACATTTTGCTTTTTTTCCCAGTCCTACAGTCTAAGCATCTCAAAAATTACAAGTATGTGTGAGTGCACTACTATTTCATGCAATAACAAGAATTCTTCTTAGCATGGCCTGTGAGATTTGCAGAGGGTCACAGTTTGTCATAAAAACTTCCAAAATATAATTTTATAAGAGACCTCTCTCACCGATAAAAAGTTGTTTATTTATACACTCATAAAAATAAAAGCATTTTTGTTTGCTTAATGTAGAATCCAATACTGCTTTAAAAACTTGATACTTAGGTGACCAGTTACTTTTCGTCATCTTGCATGATCACAAATTGTCATAGCATTATACTATACACAATGATATACTTCAAATTGCTGCCACTGCACAGTGTCAGCTTTCCCATTCCCCTCCATTTTGCCCTGCATTTCATGTAGCCAAACTGTCCTTTTGCTCATTTCACCATGTAAAAGGCCGTCAACTTATGTGCTGAGAGTAAATACCCCAAGATGAAAAATAATTTTCAACAAGATTACATACAAAGAACAGTAGTCACTAACTCTTACCTGATAGATATTCTCAGCTGTGATGGCTTTCAGAACATTAGATCTAATGAAGAAAATACATACACCAGTTAAAGCAACGTCCTTCCCCTCTGTCACAAATACTTTAGGTTTCTTCTTCTTTGTCAAGTGAGAATTAATTCCTGGAAAGCTAAAATGCTCTGTAGGTTGAAATAAAACAAATATTTAATAAACACTTATCATTTATTCAAAGAAAAACTTTTTAAATTATGTATCTATGAGTCCCAGTTCCTTGGTGCTTCACCACGACTTCCCAGTGAACGCACACAGCACCGAGAGTCTCAGAGCACCATTAGAATTATTTCATCTCATTTTGTCATTTTCGTATCAAAAGTCTTTTCTTCCTATTCATTTATTTGTTTTCTGCTCACTCTAATAAAAGGTTCAGGGTCAAGGTGCTCTTGCATAGCAATCCCTCTCTATCATGTAGTTGAAGATAATGCTCTACTGCTTAAAATAAAAAAAAAATAAAAAAAAATCAGCAAATATTGTTTACCTCAAATGAGCTATTATCAACAGAACATGCAGACCTAAGTCTAATGCAGAAAAAAATAGGAGCATTTCTGAAAACAAGGAGTGTCATGCCACAGAATATTCTTGGGGGAAAAAATAAATGAGGGAGCTACAAAGGGCTTTTCTGACCTTTCTTATTCCCCACACATGAATATGCTGCTCACAGGTTTACACTGTTGGTAACAATTGTAAAGAGTCACCAAGAGGTAGCAGTGTCTTATCTTAAATTGTCTGGGTTTTGACCACGTTATTTGTTTGTTAATAGTTTCCCAGCATTGCCTCAGAGAAAAATTCACATGTGCACACACATGCACATATTTTTCAGTGAACCACTGTAATAAAAAAAAGATTTTTAAAAATAGTTGTTGGTATCTGTAATTAAAGGAAAATAGTCAACCAAGGCAAAACGTAACAGTGCCACTCCACCTTTCTTGTTCAGTCATATGATCTGAGCGGCAGAGATCCCCAATTTTGGATCACATGCCCATACATCTGTCCCCTCACTTCTGTTCATATAATCTTCCTCTTTCCCTTCTCCTGAAGAAGTTTCTTCTTTACTTTGCAAGTACATCGCCTAAACAGTCTTGACTTGGAAATTTTTACAAATTTGATTTATTGTTAATTAACACAAACTTTCACAATCCTCGCACTTCAGTAATTTCAAAGGCCAGATCAACAACAGAAATTCATTTTCAGGACATCTCCGTGATGTATAAAGATACAGTAGATAATCTGTGATATCTTCAGAAGAGATGCGCTGTTACTGAAAACTGTGTTAAAAGCCGTTGAGCCACAAACTAAAAGTCACACTCAAAACATTGCAAAAATGTGATCAGGTGCGTCTCTCAAGCAAACACAGACATACTGAGAACTTCAGCAATCAGGATGGCTTCCATATATTCAAAGACAGATCTCTAAAATAAAAAATAGATACTTCACACCCTGGAAGAGCTGGCTCTCCTCAGCTCCTCAGAAGTACAGCGGGCTTTCCCTGAGATGGGTTTCATTCATAGTTGTTCCCAAAGATGAGCCAAATTTAAACAGAACTGGCTCCAGCACAGACCAGCACTGAGAGAAGTCTGTTCCAGATTACTCTGCGTTTGGTTATTGTAGAGCCAGAACTACCCTTCCTTCTCATAGCAAGGGATGGGCACAGTTAGGTAGCTGAACTCTTTTCCTGCAGCAGTGTTAATGTCAGCTATGTCTTTTCTTGTACATCCAGGGTAAACAAGCGAGGCTCTAAAGACCCACATAGAAGTGCACTAATAAGCTCCAGTATTCATCAGCCCTTATTTCATGAGCAAGGACAGGTATTCCTGAGTGACCAAACCTGACTTGCTTTAAGCCCCAATTAATAAAAACATCAGCTTTTTTTTTTAATTTGCGCACCTCAGAAGAAACACAACATGTTTCAGTAAACCCTATGTAGCTTTACCCGTATCAGTTGCCTCCACATCTTGATAGTAGAACATCAGATGGCGCAGACCTCCTGGGTCCAAGAATTTGTCAATGCGCTCTATCTGTTTGAGATGACGTGAAAGTATTTATGCCTGGCATATCCACTACAAAAATTTTACATGATCAAATTTTTAACAAAAAGTGCTTATAAATATATATCACATTACCAATGCCTAGTACTAACATTACATCAGGATCAGTTACTGCCTTTTCTAAGAAAAAAAACAAGGAGCAAGTTTTTTCCTTCAGTAGCACACGCTACTTAAGTATTTTGATTTTTTTTTTCTTTGCTGAACATAGTTCATTATAGTCAGGTCACACTCCTATTTATTGAAATCACTTATGCACATACTGCACATCATCTCTCAGAGGGCATTTCTACATTTGTCAAAGTGCAGCAGCAACTGACTGAAGTCCTTCCCCCATTTTATTCTTGCCATCATTCAGCTAAACAGCTGAAAACAGAGAGCATACATTCCATAACATAGCAACAGAGAAAGCCCATGTTTATTTATACTTTAAGCATCATGCCAATTTTGCAGTTCTCCATCAACCTCAGGCTGTCATCAGTCTTCCTTGAACTATACATGGGTAGTGCAGTCCAGGAATCTCATGTATAGGCTACACAGGACTTGGAAGAAATTTAATTGCTCTATGTTCAGGAAATTTTGGCTGAACCCTCCAGAAAGGTCAGAACAACTAATAAAATTGTTAAACAAAGTGTAATAGCTTTACTCAATAATATTTTCCAAGTATAATAGCTGGAAATATTTTCTTCATTGATAATTATTCTCAGGCAATAAAATTTTTCAGGAAATCCACCCAGAGATAAAATGCCAAAAGGTTGAAACAAGTTCTGTGCTTTAACTTGAGACAGTGTTCAGCACAGCGCATTTTCCTGTCTCATACAGAATCACAGAATTGTTGGAAAGGACCTTATTAGGTTAAGCTCGTGTTTTGCCAATAATAGCTCTGCTCATCCAAAGCCTGAAAGCTGAGTCTCAAAAGTCTCCAAGGACAGAACTACTTGGGTAACCTACTACCATGCCGATTTACATTCCTGGTGAAGAAGGATCTCTAAGTTGCACAACGTGCAATTTGTGGCTATTGCCCCTAGTTACATGTTCTGCCACTGCTAAGAACGGTTCAGCTCCATCTGTAACTACTCTTCAAACAATTGCAGGCAACCACTTGACAGCCCTTCAATCACTTGTTCTTGCTCTTCTCATACTTCACACGCTTTATGTCCCTGACCATCTTTGTAGTCTTCCACTGGATCTTTCAATATATTCATACTGAAATGAAAATATCTACATTTTAAAACTTAAGTTTAAAAACAAAGTGATTTATTTTCAAATCACAAACTATATGCATCTCCAATGCATATAATATTTACCTAGTAACAACACAAACACTTATGTCTTTAGTGGGATCGCTAGCCAGCCTATTTTGTCAAGTAGTTTTCTGCTGATTTAATTCCCTAAACTAGTTCACAGTATAGTCTCAAAAATGCTGGTAGCAGTCTAGTGAAAACAATATTAATATGCAGCCTAGTACAGACAGCACCCTCCTGCATCTGTGAAACCACAGTCTGGCAACTATCTCACTAAGTATTCAATGGTGGCATCAATTTTAAAGCACCCTCTGATCTTCACTTAGCAAATTAATCAGATTACCTGATTACCATCAAGAATAGCTTCTTCTATTTCTGCTTTGTCGAGATTCACACAAGTGGCAACAATATCCAGTAAGTAATCATGCCTGTCATCCAGTCGAGCACGCTTAGCCTCCCTTTCCTCCTTCAGCTTTTGCTGTTATAAAACACAAAGTATTTGAATTACTCAAAAATCACGATTTTGAAGACAAATATAAGGAAAATCTTGGAATTTATTTTAAAAATGAACAGCACTGCATCTTCCATACTTGTGGTTTAAAATTTTAGGCACTTAAATTTTTAGAAGCAGACTGTTGCAATTTTGCATATGATTTCCTGAGTTCTATTATCATATTTATCATAACATTTTTATCACTGGCATTTTGTACAGTATTACTTATTTGTTGAAAGCCTCTCTAGGGGGGAAAAAATGGTATTTTATAAGTACAGCTCCATTACCCCGCTAGTCATCTTCAATACAATTCAAGCTTTTGGCTTTTCAGTCTATTGACATAGCACCACCAAATCAACACAGGATTGTGACCTGTATTTGTTACTTGTGGAAGATATCATAAGTGTTTACCAACAAAGATAAACGCTGCTGGAGGAAGCTAAGATTTCATGCATTATCTCTTAATATAGTTAGAAGTAGAACAAGCAACAAGCCTCAAGGTACTCAAGTGTTTATAAATGTGCTTAACTATTGCTATTATACCATACTTCAGGCAGTATACCTACTCTTCTAATTAAATTGAATTCCCATATGTAAGACACCTCATTATATTGCAGACAAAACAGCCTTCTGGAATAGTTACTGCTACTACTGTGCTTGTGGATTACAAGATTTAATATAATTTCAGTTTCAAAAAAAAATTTAGAATTAAGTTCCATTGGTATTAAGTTCAATCTTTATTTCCTTGGTGACTGTCAAAAATCTAGTAACTGTAAGGAGTATGCACAAGTGACTTATGTACAGGCTTCTGCAGAGTTAATAGGACCTGCATAGCACATTTTATACCATTAAGTAAATTTCTTTGTTACTTCCTGAAGGAATTTTCAGATATTTACTAAACTCATAACTGCTAGGATATCTGCATAAACACTAAACGTACTGGAAATGTTTCTCCAGGTTAATGACAAATATACAAATAGCATTTCTCACACAGATATGCCTGAAGAATGCGTAGTACATTAATTTGTATACATATTTTATGGTTTTTTAGCTGTGTTTTAGATGTAGGCTTTGCCTATATCTCAGAGAAGGAATGAAATTTTTCTGCTAATTAGATACGAAAAGCAACCTTTTTTGGCCAAATCTATTCACAAGAGCTTTGCTATTTCAACAGCTTCAGCACAACTGGCTGTGCACCTGGAGCATGGAAAAATATAAGCACTAAGCCAATTAGTTTCTCTTTAATTCACAAAAACTTATTTGTATTTTGCTCAAAATACAGTCAGATTAATTTTTGTACTCTGCAATGTTTTCAGTACAGAGTTCCAGATACACTGCAGCAAACAGAATTCATCGTACACAGGTTATCAGTTCCCCCATAGGCATAAACTTTCATATGCTCACAGCCTCCGCTCCTCCTCCAAGCTGCTGTTTATGAGCTCAAATCATGAGCATCTTCTCAAACTAGAAAATCATGTCTTGGCATTAATTTCAGTTCTTTCAACATTTTCTAATTCAATCCTATAATTGCAGTCTCCCAAGTCCTACAGCATTTCTTTTAACTGTTGTGTATAGGAGTTCACATAGAATTAAACAATATATGATGTCTGAGAATTTTTTAATATATCACAAATCTCAAAAAGACCAATTAACCTTCCCTAGGGAACACAGGCAATTATGAACAAGATAGTAAAGCTACAGTTCTCAACAGACTAAGACAAACTTGCACTTATCATGTGTCGCTTTTGTAAGGCATTTGCATTGTTCTGGTGGATATCTCTCTACTTGATGTTAGTTACATGCATTTTTTCCCTGATAAATTTTTTTCCCTGATAATTTTCTACAATACAATTCAAGAAACACACAGTCTGTCTGTCATGCTTCCATATCTTGATGCTCACCATCAAATTCCCTCGGTTGCAGAGCCCACACTTGCTTTGTTGTCAAATGCAACAAGAAAATGTTTACTGTACTATATTGTACTAAAACATCAGTGATTTTATAGCACTGAAACAATCAGGACAAGATTTAGGTATCAATACTACAAACACATGAAAGGGTGTTCTGAAATTAATGCCTACTATTTTACGATGTTGGCCCACAATGTCAGAGGCAGATACTGGTGGTAAGGCAGAAGAGACTGAACCTTCCCACCAATATTCCATTACATTTTGTTATCATGACAAACAGCAGTAGAGGGACAGTCTGACAGAATGGCATATGACATGGAAGTGCAGATGGAGCAAAGGCATGTCACTGAATTACTCCATGCAAAAAAAGTAGCGCCAATGAACATTTATGGAGCCAAACAGTGGATGCAAGAGCACTGAGGTTGTGGGTGGTGCATTTCAGCAGTGGCAACAGCAACAGTGGCAACAGCAACAAGTGGATCACTTCTCCTGGAGCAGATTTTTGTGAGTGTGGCACGCAGGTTCCTGTTCATGGTTGATGAAAAAGCATAGCTAATGGTTGTAACTATGTTGAAAAATAGTGTTTTGCAGCTAAGAATTTGGTTTATCAAACAGTGTTTCAAACACTGTTATTGTGCTCTCTGTATCTGTTATAGCTTCCAAGGAAATAAATAGCAAGCATTACTTTCGAAGCAATCAATGTACAAATACCTGAGCACAAACTTGCCTTTCCAAACAAACTGTGCAACTAAGCCTTAGTTGATATCCTACCAATTAAATTATCAGACTGGCTGATCCATTTACAAGACTAGACAAACAAAAGAACGCCTATCTTTGACATATACCTATCCCAAATGCTATATCTTGCTTTAAAAAATAAAGTCTAATTAGAGTGTTTTATGAAATTAATACCATCCACTTACACTATTTTAAAACAGACATTAAAACAGACCCTCTACCCCAATTTAAGCATTATTCAAGCTGCATGGTTACTAGTCTGGACCTAATCCACAGTTCTATTTTCCTTACCTTTATAACTCTGCCAATGCTCTGCTTCCAAAGTTGCTTTCTTCCAGCTCTAAACATTGTACTACTTGATATAAACATCTATTTTCAACATAAGCCTTAAACTATGATACAAGATTCTTCATTCATCATTTTGCATTCTCCCCCCAGCCTTTTGTTCATACTTCTTTCATTCCTGTTCTGTAGGAACACCAAAAAACACCTAGAAAATACAGTAGACCTAAAAAGTTAACAATTACTAAGATTAGCACTGCATCTTTTTTTTTTCCCCTCAGTTCTAACATGCATTTAAGTTACTTGAAGACTGAACTGAGAAACTAGAGAATATACTGCCTGCGGATCTGCAGTTGAAAACCACTGCTACCAACCTAGCGTTGTTAAGGTGATATTGTTTGTATATAAACACCACTTAATACAATTCATCATGCTCAAGGGCAACATAACCATTTGCAAAAGTCAATATCTGATTTGTGTTTAGGCTTCTTAAGTAATCCTCATGTCAACAGACATCTCTGTTTCCTTGTCACAGGCGATTGTTTAAATATATAGCAACAGCAGTCAAGCAGCTTTCAAATAGCTATTACCTACAGACTACTAAACTACCAAATTTTTATTCATAGTTTTTATACAAGCACACTCAGTCTCAATTATTTTTCAGTTGCACAGTGGGTGCTTAATGAAAATATTTTTCTTCAGCAATGAATATTGGGTTTTTTCTTCTCAAAATCACTTCAATTTTTTTCACTTCAGTGACAGAATCCAAATCTGATGTCATGAAAATTCCAAGCAGAACAAGATAATCATCCAATATGAGAAACAAGAAGGCCCTTTTTTTTTCTTTTTTTTTTTTTCTAACAGCTATTTCAGGCTTAAAACGCTTCTAAATATTTTTCCCCCTACTGATATCAGTGTGAATCACATTTACAATCGTTCAACAGCCTCCTTATTGATAACATTTTCATGAATAAAAGCCATTTTCCTTGCATTACCTGAATTTCTTTGCAATTTTCGTCATCTACTACAGTCAAATCAGATTTATATATTGATAGATATGTAGATATATTTGAAAGAGAAAGATCTAAAAGAATTGCACTTTGTGTAAAATTAAACATTCATTCTCTAAACTCTTTATGGTCTCTCTTAATATTAAAGATGTTACTAAATATTACACAATGAATTGATTCCTAGATATATTTGAGATCACTGAAGAATTATTTTATTTTGCGTGTGATTTCTAATGTAAAAAAGTCAGCCCAACAGTCTGAACTTGCATCAAGAGAAGTTATCCCAAGAAAAACATCTCTCAAAGAAGAACCTAAGAAAGTAGAGATTTTCATAAAATGATGTAAGGTCATAGCAGCTACCTTGAAGAAACAAACCAAAAAAAACCATTAGGATATTTGTATATAATCCAGTCTCCTACACAACAAAAGCACAATTAGAGAGGGGTAACCGAGACAAGTATGCAGTTGAGTTTTGAATTGATCCAAGGATGAAGATTGTACAATTTCTCCAGTGGTATCTGACCATCCAACATGAAGATCATTCTCATACATCTAACTGGAATTTCCTCTATTTCAACTTACGTCTTGTTGACTCATATTACTTTGCATGTTCATTAAAAGCCCAGCTGTGACTGTACTCTGCTTTTAAAGGTAGACTGGAATACAATCTCCCTTACTGCTTTCTTCCTAGTGCAGAACAAAGCCAGTTCTCTCAACATCTTCTCATATATCATATATTCCAGTATCCTGGTCATGACACACTGCCAAACTTGCTCTATCAACCTGTTGGCTGTTTCACCCCAGCCTGTGGCACCTTTGCTGCAAGGTGCATTATTGGCTCAAGTTCGAGGCAAGTCCTTCTCTGTAAACCTGACATATAGCAAGCTGGCCACTAACATGTACTGTCATACAAGATCATTCCATCCTTGCAGGACTTAGCATTTGCTTATGTTGAATTTCTTGAGGTTTCTCTAAATCTATTCTCAAGCCTGTCCAGCAGCCATGCTCTTTGGTACATCATCCCCCTCCAGTTTGATACCATCAGAGTCGTGCTCTGTCCCATAATTAAATTACCTTTTAAAGGCACTAAACAATATGAGCCTCAGTATCATCCCTGAGAGTTCACTAGTAACTGGCCATCAGCTTGGCTTTGGTACCACCTGCATGCCAGCCAATTTTCCACCTAAATTAGCTCAGACAATTAGCACTTAAATCACCAGTTTGACTTTAAGGAAGCTAAGGGATACCACATCAGACACCTTGCTAGACTTAAGACAAAGAACAACTATTGCCTTCCCTTTGTCCTTACAGCCAATAATCCTGTCACAGAAAATAATCAGGTTGGTTGTACAGGATACGACACTTGGAAATCTCTTTCGGTGGTTGGCAGTCATCATTTTGGTTCTCCATGTGCCATCGTGTCTTTCAGAACATTCAGTTCTCATATTAGCTGATACATTATGAAAGTTCATTTAACTGTGCCAAGATTTTTTTGATGGTGTTACAATGCGGAACTCCAGCAGCAACTTTTCTTTCATTAGGGGTAATTAGCTGCCATCTCGTGGTTGAAAGCCCTAAGTGCACATTACATTTATGCTGTTTTTTCGAAGACCATAAAACAGAGCCACGGTAACATTTGAAAACTGAAATACAAAGTTGTCTTTTATGGAGATGATTACTTATAAATCACAGATGATTATCTACACTGAATAAAAGTAGAGGAACCTAAAGAAAAGCATATCATTCTCTGCTGTTCTATTTTAGTATAACTGCAATGAAAGAAATCAAAGCTCATAGTAGACTTTCTTAATGTACTTGAGCTTCTTTAAAAGTTGAACAAATGGAGTTTTCAATACCTTTAATTGAGACAAGGAATTCTAAGCTGCTTTGTTGACCAAAACTAAAGCTTCAACATATTCAATCGATCATTGCTGAAAAATACAATTTCTACTAAGTAAGAATATCTCTTCAACCTATTTGTTTGATGAGATAAAAGATATGCCTAAGGCAAATAATGTCATCTTGCTGCTGAACAGGATAATTTAACTATCATGTAGGAAGTCCAAATGTAATTCCCTGTTTTGCTTTATGCAAGACATTAGCTCTCTCTGTTTGCCTGTTTCCTGCACTGTTAGGAAAATAAAACTCAATTTAAAACACAGCAAAAAATACTGAATATATAAACAGACAGAAACACATAAATAGCCAAAATAAATTAATTAAACTTCTGTTTACAGGAATAGATAGGATGTTTGGGTCTTACCAAATAATTACTAACTCAAACTAACTATCAGATTGGCAGCCATTACAGGAGATATTTCATAGAATAACAGCATTCTGAGGGACAGATGGACTTCAGTTCAAGTAGCCATGCAAAATATTACATTTTCCATTTTGAGCAGCTACAGAATCTCTCACTCTCTCTGTCATTTCCCACTATCAGTTATTTGGATATTGTACCCATCATGTTCTTCAAGCACCCCTAACATTGCTCAAATGTCCTTGCTACCTCAAACAAAACTGTCTAATAAGAAGGATAAATCCTCAACACATAATTTAAGACTGAGAGAGGTCTGAATTCATTGGAAGCTGGAGACACAGCTAAAATTGAGTGGCTGTGAAAGAAGCAAGTTTAGGATCTCTGACCCTTGAGAAAGTGGGCCAGAGGGGAGTTTTTAAAACCATCCGAGGAAAATCTAGTAGCCATTGAAAAGCACGTGGTTTCAATCAGTATACTCATTTGGATAAAATGCCAGGAGCCTTGCATCCTCAAAGCAGGTCACAGAGCAGAGGCTGTCGCTTGCCAAAGCAGGAATCATACCAAGAGGCAGGAAGAGGCACTGTCCCTTTGAACAGGTGGAAGAAAACAGAAAATTGAATAGAAATCCTAAAGAAGTGCACATCAGCTTCTACCTAAGTGTAAGAAGTTCTATAGGACAAAGTTAGAGGAACTGAAATCCAATCACTAACTTGAGATGTTCTATAAGAGCAATAAAGTTTAACATAAAGAAGGTATTATTGGAATACTGCATCATGTACATCAATATATTTACAAAATAAGAAGGATGAAAAAGCTTACATCAGTGTAAAAGAGCTCATGTTCAAACAGACAGTAAGTTAAAGGCCAATGAAGTCATGTTTCAATAATTATTATTAAATAGACATTAAATAGGATATTGACAGTAACAATCACAGGAACCCCTATGGCAGGAAGCAGTATCAGCAGGGAACTTCAGGAGTCTTCACGTACACTAGGGAAACATCACACTACTTCAAAAAAAGGAAACACTGAAAATAAAATGGTAAAGACAAGCAGTCAAACAAATTAAATGCTTGTAGACAACATGCAAACACGTACTAGAAATGCAGAGCAACTGCATAGCTTCTGCCAGAAACACTTGAAGTGTAAGTAAACCAGCACAGATAAATAACAGTAAAAGCAAAAAGGACAACCTCCCACACTGAAATGACATGTAATCTGCATCAGTATCAGAGGACTTATAAAATGAACCTGTTCAGTCTTGCAAGCTGAATGAGAAAATCTGACTAGGTAAAATAACAGGCATTATAATCAGAGAATTAAGTGCCAGGCAATTGATTTTATTTCCCAAGAAGAAGTGAACAAGATTTTTGAAAAAGGGAGAAACATCTATAACGATCTGGTGAGTTTCATTGAAGGGGTTAATAAGCATACATGTAAACAAGATTGATCTAAATGACCTGGATTTGCAAAAAACTTTCAGAAAGATCCATTGTCAAACGATTTTAAGAAGAGCATAAGGGAAACGATCCTCCAGGGAAGGAAATTGATTAAATGGTAGAAGAGGATAGGAATAAAATGAAGAGCAAGTCCTTATATAAGAAAGAGATAACAAGCAAGAGTTTTCCAGGCGACTGCATTGTTCAAAGCACTTGCATGGGAAAGGGGAAAGCTGTAAGAACAAAGCCTTAGATGAAACTAAGTTATTTGAGGAACTACCACAAAGAATTATACAGCCTTTCAAGACTGAACAACTCTGTCAACTTCTTAACTGGTGACACAGAAGCTGTAGTTCT